TTAGTATGCAAGAAATTCTGTCTCATTGAGTGATTCATTTTATAACAGTAACCATCTGAATACTATTTTTAACTGTGTGACAGCAAAACCACACCCACTATAAGAATGAGAGTATTTTTGCTCAAAATGCAACTTGTTTGATATTCCCTAGCTAAAGAACTTTTGATTTTTTTTCTGCCGCAATGAGAAACACATGCACACAATCAATACCATGCGCATTTTACAGAGGCAGCAGTCAGTTGTGATGTAACAATTGCATGCTGGGTAAAAAGCAATACTTAAAGACGCTGTGTTGTAAAGATGTAGTATTGACTGACATTCTTTCCTACTCAGCAAAATAAATTTCTAGTGCACATTTACATCTTATGAATGCATTAAAACAGTCTATTAATAGAAACAGGAAAATTATCTATTCAAAATTTATGAGGTTTTAGATGAGGAAGCTTTCAAGGAAAGATTCATTAATGACAAGATTTTCCTGGCAAAATGTGAAAACCCCAGGGAGATAGCCTCAGATTGAATAAACATGTCTGGTGCATATGGAAAGCAATTCAATATGAAATGTCTACATGATAAAGGGATATGGAGACCTTAGGTTGACATTAATACCGCTTATGTTACATAAACCTCAATTTGATATTAATTTTTTTTCCTGATTGCATAAAAAAAAATCTCACATTTACAGTAATCAACCTAGTTTAACTTGTCCCCCCCCTCTCCTCCCCCCCCCAATAATCTCTGATTTTCCACTGAATCCATGATAAGGCAATAAATGTCCTTGCTTTATGCAAACATCACCAGAAAACATTATGTGAAGATCATGTTGACCTAAATATTGACCTATACATCTGGTGTGGTAATAGTTATCTGAATAATGTGAAGACCTTAAAAAAATTAATATCGGTTGGTGCATAGCACAATTATGACTTGATGCAGAAGCATCGATGTTCAGATTGGTGGAGATCAAATTCAGCATCAAATTTAATCAACAAATTCATTTTTTTAAACACTGATAAAGATCATCGCACTTATTCTAAGTTAATGAAATTCCAGTTCATTGATGAATGAAAACGAAATTAATCATTCTCTTTTCTGAGCTTTTAGTACTTAATAACCGTTCATACAACACTAATAATATGGAACTATTGATTGAAACATAAGCTGCAATTAAAGAGGAATAATTCCCTTATTTAACCATCAAGGGCCACAAAGTTTGTTCCCTAATCGCACATCATATGAACTTTATGACTTGGGGTCGTGTTTACTGGCAATTTAAGTACGAGGACACATGGTTCAGAATTAATCATATTTACTAATTAGCACACAGACTGAACACGGAATTAACGTAATTGAACAGGAAATCAATATACTACATTCATACATGTTGCAAGGAAGGATCAGTCAATCACATCAGTGATGTTTTGTTTCTACTTAACATTTAACCCTGTTGACGTATTCTTTATAGATTTACCCTGCGTTTTAAATTGACCCTTTTTTTTCAAAACTTAGTGCAATATATTATTTATTTCAGCGTAAAAATTTACTATCAAAAATACAGTTGTACAGGTAATGGCTCTATGCTGTTGAAACAATGGTGTCTTGTAATCACAAATGTTATAAAAATCTGAATAAGAGGATGCTTTGCAGTATTTTCTTTTAGCTTTTATCTTGTAACACTGTTCAGACACATCAATTCATATCCTCTGCAAACATAAATCATCTAAAAAATAATTTCTTGCCTTAAAAGGATAGAATATTACCCACATTAAACCTGCACAATTATTCTTAACTAATCAAATTTCTCCTAAAAATAAAATGATTCACTCCCATAGTATGTACTTCAATAGCTCGCTCAACCCCTCAAAAAACAGCTACATTATCTATACATCAAAAGCCAAGAGCACAAGGGGGCGGAGCTTATGTAGTAGCATATATGAGAATAATATGAGTGCAAACAGAGTGCAGACAGGTTTCCCTAGATCTGTGCATGCCATTTACATTCCTCAGATGAGTGATTATATAACAGAAGTGGTTATACACATCTGGAACCCTACATCTGTTAGCTTTGTATAGAATCCCAGACACTGCTCCATACATTTTTTCTGAGTTTTTTCTTAACCTGGTTGTTTGTTTTTATGCAGTTTTTTTGCTATTTTTTGTTGATGTTATTCCATCCATGATGATTTGCTTTTTTGATGTGTTTCACTACCTGGCCCATATATTTCAAATGGAATGGTGGTCTCAATTATGCTGAAGTCGGGTGGTCTTAATTGTGAATCATGTTTAATATAATATTTAAATAAAGAACAAAAAATTCTACTCCTTTTTAAAATTGGTCTTAAAAGCAGGTTGACTTAATTCCTGGGTGGTCTTAAGTATGTTGATACTTTAAGATTAATATATAAATTGCAAGAACTTGTTTCAAAGTTTCATCTGGTGTCACAAGAACGTAGTTTCTTACGCACATTATTACAGGGTTAGTTTTTCCATTTTCAATAAAAAATTGGCCATAAATATTAAGACTGCATCAATGAACATTCTAACATGTAGTAATATTTTAAACATTTAGCCAAAACACCACTCCCACCTTAGCAAAATAACTGTACTAAGAGACTAGGTTTAATGTAACTTTGATTCAAGTATTTTTACAGTTACATTTATCACAAAGCCTGCTATAAAAAACCTAAGGGTACTTTACTTTCCACTATCCTTTAACTGGAACAACCTGTGTTTTCATCTACCTGCATTACATCATCCTAACAAGGAGTGTGAAATTTTTCGTACTTGCCAGATGCAAACAAATTACTAGCATTGTCTATTTCAGTGTTCAACAATCCAGCTAAAAATTTTGATTGACGTTCCTACTTCCCATGTAATATAAAAACCCATTTTAGTGTTACATGAAAGGACTGTGTATTCTTTGAAAACTGTGTCTTTATTGGGTTATTTTCTCTCTGATCAATGAAGCTTACAGTGTCCTTGACACCTTTTCTGCTGAGTCATTCTGACATGAAAAATGGTAACTTAACTGAACTGAACCCTGAAGTAATCAACATATATCTACCTCATCAAACAAATGTATACAATATTGATTCCAGAATGTTGTTTCTCTTTTATTTATGATGGTAAATACACATCCAGAAAGTAAGCAACAAGTTAACAGTGAGAACAAAATTAATAAGAATCTGCAAAAAAGCTGCTAAACTGATACTGGTAAAAAAGGAGAAAATTAACTATTCAGCAGGACATTATACACCTAAATTATAAAATAATACCATTGAATTTCTGGAATGTGTAAATCAATACAGTCATACACATCTGCCTTCAATTAATTTATTTTGTTTCAAAAAGTATAACTGATACTCCCATGTTATTTATTCATGTGATACAAATTTACAGGAAAACAGTAATGAATGAATTTTTAATTTCTAGTTATGAATGAATTTTTAATTTCTGAATGAATTATAGTCTTCATCAGTGTCTTTCTTTGTTGCAAATTTAGGATTGTGTTTGGTTTTGAATTGAACTAACAGCTTTATTCACTCAGCATTTAAGACCACACACTACTAATTAGATATCTGGATTGACAGTCAAACAATGTTCCCAAGTATCAAGCTGCCTGGGTAGCACCCTAATTATAATACAAAGTGATAAGGAGGAATTGGATGACAATTTATCTAAGATATTACTTCATTAAGCAAATCTAGTAAAAGAACTTTATATACATACTGAGGTAACAAGAATTGTATAATCAAAAGCACTGCATGTGGTGTTAAACTCGTCTGTAAAGGGCATCAACAATCAGTCAATCAATATCCAATTTCATCAAAAAATTCAAAGTTAAAAAGGGGCTTAACTCCAAAAAATGTAGCTTTCAGAATGATGCCCTTTGTAGACAATTAAAAGCTGGGTTAACCATACATTATTAATTAATGTGACTATGAAAATTTATTTTCACCTACTAATTTGTATGTAATAGGGGAGAAGGAAGTAACAATTGACTTTTATAACTGAACGCCTTACACTCATATATCTGTGGTATACGCCTGTCTGGCTTATTTGCATAAAGCACTTCAACATTAATAACCCTTACTGCACTAAATATCATAATGGACTAGCCCATCTTTCAATCTGGATAAAGCTATTCATTAGTTTTAGGGAAAATTTCAAAATATGTACAGACTTATTGACAACAGTATGCACCAATCTGTTTCAGCTAGCAAGCTAAAGAATAACATAGATATTTAACCATCATTTTATTCGACATAAAACTTTGTCTTATAAACATCTGTTATTGAGCTGCTTCTGTAGATCTTATTACTTCCTGATACTGCCAAACTGCGCTTGTATCCTTTATACTCACAAAAAAGTACCTTTTTAAACAATGACCTTTTTTCACCTAAATTTTTAAGAAATGTTTTGTACTTATAATAAACCAAATGGTAAAGGACATTCACAGCTCCTGGAAAACATGGTGTTATCATTGATATATTATTATTGGGGAAGCTATTCCTGTACTTTTTAAGTTATAAGACAGGCATTAAATGTCATTATAAATGTCTGGTTCATCTGTTACTATTTATAGCTTATCAATGATATCTCCAGAGTTCAGTTAACAGTGTCCTCTTCTTACTTACTAAATGGTCAATATAGTCTAATTAGTTACATTCCTGTTACTGGTCAGTGGCCGGTCACTTGAAAAACTTATATAAGCTCTTGACCATAACTACAAATAACATGTTGTTTATTAACCTGTTCCAATAAAGGGTAAAAGTTCAAACATAAGTGTACAACCAAGCCTGCCAACACACAAGAGCACTCTATTCATGCACTCAATTAAGACTAATGCCGGCACAGTCAGGCAAATCTGCATCAGCAACACTTACATTTATACTAATTTAAAAATACTTACAAAATTATTTTTTTAAATGACAGTACCAAATTCAAATAAGATCAAGCCTATCAGTAACAATCAGTATGGGCTAATCCTAAATACTTACATTTTCCAATATGTGAGATCGAGGAATGGACTTATTTGGTGTTCTAATAATTTCTGCGGGGTTTTATGGCTGATATGTGGCAGAGTCTGGCTTGTCTCTGTGTCTGACTCCTCACTGTCTGTCATCGACTGACTGAACAGATCTGACTTATCTAAACTATCTTCATACCCTGAAATATACAAAAAGTTTAATTATGAAACATGTTTGTATAACTCATATGACCAAAAATACAAAATTACTTTACGTTTTAATTATCAACTTTTGCTTACTTATTATGAAATATCAGAGTTTTAGTAATAACACTGTCTACTAGTAGTCTTTTTCACAAGATTGAATGAGAACTGGTGTCATTATGAAGAAATTATTATAAATGACGTTTAATAGACCTACTAGGGTCTAGTGCTGAAGTTCCCTACCCATGGGAGGCAAGCATCTTTAAACTAAGCTCCCCTATTAATCATATACCAGTCTACAATCAAGATAATGCAAAAGAAGCAGTATAAAGTAATGCAAACTTGAGTACTAGTTGACATTCCATCCAACCACAAATATGTAATACAGGCCATATAAATGTATTGAATTTAGAGAGGACAAAGTCAGCATAAAGATTATGAAAAGCTGATAAGGGTAGGAACAAGAGCTGTCCGTAAGACAGCGCGCTCGACTTTTTTATTGCTTGCCAATAAAAAAAGTTTTTGCAGTAAAAGGCAATACAAGAATCTCTGTATTTTTAAAGTGAACAATGGCCATGAGCATTAAGATATTTAGTGAAGAATTATTTTACTGAATTGTGTGATACCCTTGAACACTGCAGCAAAGTTTGAAATGTTTAAGTCAAAAGAGGGCTGGTAAGAAAGAAAAAAAAACTGAGTTGAGCCTTAAATAAATTTAATAGTATTAAACCCACTTTGAGAGTGAACAAGTGGATAGGAATGAATTTTTTTAGATTTTTTAAGTTTTTTAGTGCTTGCCTATAATACAAAACATTGACAGTTAAGGGCCATAATTCAAATAAAATCTTTGACAGAATTACCTTCTCCTGGACATGTTTGGGAATCATGATTGTAAACAAGTATTCCAACTTTCAAATTAATATCTCAAACAGTTCAGTCAAAAAAGTGGACTGGTACTAAAAACTTAACCAAGATTCTAAGTCGATAAAAGGCCTTAATTTTTAAAACAAATCCTTGACAGAGTTACCTTCTCTTGCGTACAGATGGTAATGATGTGAAATAGCATTAAAAGTTTCAAAGCAATATCTCAAAGGGTTAAGGCAATAAGTGGATTTTACCCATATTCAATGTATTTTCTAAGTCAAAAAGGGCATAATTCTGTCAAAAAACCTTGACAGAGTTATGTCCTCTTGTCTGTTGATGAAGGTCGTGATGGTAAACAAGTATGGTCAGTTTCAAAGCAATACCTCCAATGGTTTTGAAATAAAGTGAGGTGGTACAAAAAACTTAACCAAGCTCAATACACTTTCTAAGTCAAAAAAGGGCCATAATTCTGTCAAAAACCTTGACAGAGTTATGTACTCTTGTCTGTAGATGGAGGTTATGATGGTGAACAAGTATGGTAAGTTTCAAAGCCATACTTGTAATACTTCTGAAATAAAGTGGGGTGGTACGAAAAACTTAACCAAGGTGTGACGCCAACGCCGACGCCGGGGCGAGTAGGATAGCTCCCCTTTTCATAGAAAAGTCGAGCTAAAAATAATTTACATGATATATTATTCTTAAAGAAACAGTTGAATTACATTGTAGTTCTACTTTCTTTTAAAGCACAACAAATTTAAGAGAATATTAGATAATTAAACATAATTATTTCATGATGACCCATGAACACAAAATCCAGAGCTGAGCCACTGTGATCTACAATATATCAAGCTGCGTAGATATATTTCTATATACATATTTTGTATTACTTTACATCTTCACCTCAAATCTTTCAGTCAAGTTTAAAGTAAACAACACGTGCTTCCATTCATATCTTTAGTATGTCGCTAAGTGCAATTTTGCTATAGTCAGTTAATGATTACAATATTCAATGATTAAACAAAAAATTCAATCAATCCAGAAATGGCACGAGAATGCGATGAGGCGGCTAGGTACAAGGCAATATTCTTATCGATTGGATTCCCCCACATCCTTCCTGCAGAACGACCAGACTGCAGATTGTCTAAATACGTTCACCATGTCAGACAATATTGTAGAATTCGCAGAAATCAATAACTGAAAGTTCAATGGAAACTGGGATGGCAACTGGGTCATTTTACGTCAACAGATTTTTATTAGAATTCATCGTAAACATTCCACAATACTTTAGCCTTCTAACTGAACAAAGAAAAACATGGACCATAAAATTTTGTTTACATTTTCAGGTAACATGTTTTCTCGTTCAGTTTGAACCAAAATCAGGTGTAACATTCTTAAAACTACTTCTTATATTGAAACTTATTTTGAACAATCCTTGCATTGAAGCCAAACAGCAGAAAATTCACCCAGCTGCTGATGAATTCTGGAAGAAACTATCAATTCCAGCCCACATGTTTATTTCACAAAAACACATTACCATAAATGGCAACTGTTTTTTCTCAAATAAAGAGAGAAGAGTGTTGTTTTGTTGTCAAGGGATGTGAGAAGGTGATTGTATCTCCAGCTATAGAACCCTAATAAGCTACATGCTGATAATGTCACTGATCTGTCATTCACATGAATACATGCGCAAATTGCCTTGACTTGACTTTCAGACACCCAGTATAATGCCCAGCTGTATGAAATTTCACACCAATTTGTTTTAATGAAACAGTATCTTCAGTCAGCCAATTACCATTTCAAGGAGTGAGGCAATAACAAAAACCTTTAACAAATACATGTACATAAGCATGTATACAATTTTCCTAATTTACAACCAGTCTTGCCTGTCTTTTGTTCAGAATAATCAAACTAATTTAAAGCTGAAGTACAAATTTAAAGCAACCTTTAAGGCGACCCTGATTTGAAATAGGAGACATTAACCTATGACCTTTTATCCTCATGAAGAAGGTCATGTGAGGACAATGTCCTGAAACTGCACAGAGAAACTGCAGATGCAGGGAGAGCGGGAGAAAATGTCCAATACTGTCACTGTCCGCAGTAAGCAGTAAACCTGATGTACAATAAAGAAAGGTAGTAAACAGGAGGTTGTTTGTTTGTTTGTTTGTTTACAAAAAATAGACTAATGCTGTAGTTCATCTGTTAACAGGTCAGCAAGTCATACTAGATAGTATTTCAAGTTTGTTTCCAGCATCATCAATTCAAGGATCATAGAGATGGAATGTCACAAGAATACATTTCATAATTAATGATCAACATTATTTTTTGTCCAATCACATTGTAGTATTTTTCAAATTTCTGCTTAGTCTAACTTTGGTTAATGTGTACTAACTAAATAAAATTCACTTAATCTGTCGTCTAACCGCAGTCTAACAAATTTCAATAATGCATTATATTAGGGAGGAGTTAGAGGTGTGATTTGCACTCTGAATTGTAACATGTCAAGGTTAGCAAAACAATGCCAACATAAAAAAAGTCGAGGTCAGGTGTTTGTAAATGTGAGGATACAATTAATTGATTTATTACATAGATAATACATGTGGGACATGTAGAGACAAATGATTACATAGTAACTTTTTTATATCCTTTTGACTGTAAGAAAATGTCTGTTATAAATGGCTGACTGTTTTAAACTTTATATTTTCCAAAACATTTTTTTTCCCACTTGATAGGAATGAACTGCATTAACAATCATTGATATTAAGAATACAATGATTACATTTTTTGGTTGGAAAACTGATTGTTAATGGACCCCCCCCCCCCACACACACACACACCTGTAAACCTAAATTGATACACAGAAAAAAAGAAGAAATGTTTTACTGTAGATAAAGGTATAAATTCTGTGACATTTCAGAAAACATGTGCCTGATTATTTGTTGATCAGGCCATCCTTAAAAATATGTTTGTTTGCAGTAACCCGACCCAGAATTTTCAAGGTGGGAAGGTAGGTCGATTTTTTTTTTTTTTATTGAACTGTACTCCCAAAAAACATTGAATTTCAAAATGCAGGACAATATATGCTTTGATGATCTGGTAACAATTAATAAATTGATAACTGAATTCTTTCTTAATAAGAACTACATTTTATTTCTACTATCAACCTTAAAAAGAACGAAAACAAAGCACAAGGCATAATTTTCTGATTCAAAAAAATTTTTTTTTATCCAGACCATGAAAAAAAAATTTGAGTAGGGGCAAATTTTGTGAGTCGGTCTCGTTACTGCAAACAAACATTTTTTTAAGGATGGCTTCAGGGCCATTTATTTAGCTTATATCTAAATGTGATATGTTAGAAATTTGACAAGGTGTAGACATCTTGTAGAGCGAAAGGGCGGAGCTATCGGTGATTTAGTGAAATGCCTTGTTTTTGGTTGAAAAAATAATGTTGATCATTAAATAGGTTACTGTTTAATAATATGCATTAACAAAAATAATTGGTCGCCTGCCTGCGGCAGGCTTGACCAATTATTTTTGTTAATACATATTATTAAACACTAACCTATACATAGTCAGCCATTTACATTAATAGAAACACCATACTTGAACTTACTATAAGACTAAGGTCATAAACATGTATAACAACAATCCTCTTATTCTGTCTCATTCATACTGGCAGCATAAATTTTGTAAAGAGCTTTAAGTTTATTTACACTTTTTATGAATCCTTAGGTGAATATTAATTGCTCCCTTCAGATTGGTTTTTGGCAGAAAACAACAGCATACAGGTATATATTATTAAACAGCTAAATATTTTCACCCAGTGCTCATAATACAAGTATACACAACAGGATGGGTATATGTTAACAATAGAATAAATCATAGTGTCTAGACACACTGTATTACATAACCCACTTTCATCACACTCTCACAGACACTGAATGAACTATATATACACTTGGTATTATAAATATTTTATACCTCAGAAAAACAATGAACAACTATTTCCTTACATATAGTAACATCAAATTATTCAGCTGTAAAAGATGGTGGTTTTTCTTACTTAATTTGGATGAAGCCATAGCCTGTTATATACACATGAGGTTATCGGCGTGGGACCAAGCCCTACCCCCAGGACCCTCTATACTACCCGAATGTACTTCAGCCCCTTCAGAAAAGTATAGAGGGTCCTGGGGCTGGTAACCTTGGGATATGACTTGGTCCCATGACGATAACCTGATGATTGTAAATAAGATAATTTATAACTTATATTTTAAGTTAACATTGTATAATCTTGCATTAAGCTCTAAAAATTGTTGATTTTCTCATCCAAACAACTTGAACTTGCTAGTATGGTCTTTAAACAATTATGTTCTCTAAAATCAAGCTGCATGGTCACACCAGTCAATTTTGAACAGAGATAAGAAGAAAAACAAGACCAGGGACACATTAATTGTACATCATTGTTCAGATGGCTACTGAATTATGGACTTGTACAAAAAATGATATCTAGTTGAATCATACTGCATCCCATAATATAAATTGCCTATTTCCGCTGTATTATTACAGTTGTATTAACAATAGTCCACTTAAAATTGTGTCAATTTGTATCTTCTGATTCACACTCAAAGCTTGACTCAAGAATGCGGAAATGGCAAGTACAGGCATGCAAGCAAAAACATGTTATTGTGATAAGACTGCCATTTTAATTTCCATAAATACATGCCGAATATAAGGACTTTGCCTCTATCTAACAACTGCACCTCCTGATGATAGGCAAGTATTCCAAGTTTCATGTTGACAACTTTTTAAATGTTGGACTAATGGGCTACATTATATTTTTTTGCACTATGACAACCACATAGCAGCAATTAAAATATTTTGACATTTTCTTTTATACGGACTTGAGCTAAAAATCTACTAGCATTAACCAGCTTGGTCTCTGTCTGCCACAGAGCTCTTGAGGTCAAAATCTAATGACAGCATGATAGCACTTTCCCAGCAATTCCCAATGGAGCTACCCTGAACTTTGCGATGTATATGAACTCATTAATTGCATATTGTCAATGCTGGTGATTAAATTATTAATACCATATTCATCACACTAGAGTGATACCATCATACAAGGAAACACTTTCACTAGAACAGAGGAGATATAGTTAAGCTAGGAAAAAGGAACACAAAATAAAGAAAATTAACAAGGAAAACTTTGCCTAATTACTTTGTGTTCTATGAAAATTAGCATTACATGTATATAACCGAGTTTCCTTTTTAACAAAAATCATCAATCTAGTATGTTTTCAGTCAGACAGATATAATTATCATATTGTTGTATCATAATTTTGTAGCTTTTTATTGGTAAGGAAAGCTTAAGTTGTTTCTTTGATTATATATGGATTGAGGAAACTTTGATAAAACCAACGACCTTCCAACTTATTTTCTACTAGAAGATCAGAAGAAGAAGTTCCTTTGAAACAATAAATATACATATATCTTAATGGCTTTTTTCACTACACTTCTGTTACACACAAAACCCAATGTTTCATTATGTTAAATGATGTATCACGTTACAGGTATGTTTTGTTGAAATAGCTGATTAAACAAATTATAAAGAGGTATTATGTTAATCAACTTTAATCCTATATATCCACGTTGATCTCTTTATACTAATCAGTATTGTTACTATACTATTTTACAAAGGAAATTTTGCGGTTTAATTAAATGACTCAAGGTTGTCTTTTAAATTCAAATGTAAACACATGCAGTTTTTTTTTCTTAATTGCCATGACTTTGTATCATAACTTTTTCCTTGCTAATTCTATAGTGGTCATAAGTGAAGCTATCCATTTGTTCAGGAGTTCACCTTTTTCATACAGGTCAAAACACCAATCTGTAAAACTCATCAGCTACATTTACTACAACATGCAAAATATAACTTACACCATCAGATTTCAAGTTCAGTGCACAATGGAGTCAGGTAAAAGGCATTTTGGATGTGGAGTCATTCACCCCCTGCATCCGATGAAGCAAGACAGTGCTGGTGATTAACCTTGTTACACTGCGGACATTTACCCTGGCTACTATTACTATAAAACTCCAGGAAATGAAGCGTTAATAAATTAGTTTATTCATGAGATCATTGTAAGAGTGCTATTGCTATTCATACATTTAAACCGGTCAATAACTCTTTTGTGTAAGTTTCTATGTACTTTGGTTCAAATTTGGAATTTACTATTTAACTTTGCAGAATGATCATTAATAACAAACATTAAACCTCATTGGATATCAAAGTTGGCACACATTCCTTTTCAAGCAAAAACCAAAAACACTGCCTACAAAAACAGGGTTCAGACTGCAATCATTTATCAAGATTAGTGGTACATATGCCTCATTCAAACCTTTAACCCCTGTATTGAAATATGTATGATTCAAATTCAGCTTTAAAACATGCCAAAGTGTAATAATGGAGCTATTTCCATATCATATTGCCTGGAAATCTGTCATTTTCTCAGTATATGAGACCCATCTATTTCCCCTGGTACAATACAGGATGTATTAAGACAGACAAGGAACTCAAAACCTCATTATATTAACAACCCTTCACTCTCCAGCTTCCCCCTTTCCCTTCATAATCTTCTCAGGCATATTAATGGACATGTATTGATTATAAAAAACTCATCTCATAAGTTCAGTGAACTCTAACAAGGAATGCGGACAAGGCTGAAATAAGAAATAGCTATGAATGGTAAATGGAAGTGTGTTAATTAGGTGTAAAGCTGGGGCAGAAACACAGATGCCTGACACAAGAAACTGTGTTTAAAGACATAACTTTGTAACACCATCAAGCAAGAACAATTATGTGTTTTTTTTATGGCTTAATTGATGGCAAGCCTTGACACAGCTGGGCGAGTCTAAAATCTGTTAAAACACTGTATGATCCATTGGTGACTAATAAAAACCTTTCATGAACAGACATCAGGTGTAATCCAAGGCAAATGTAATAAAGTCATTCATTGAAATAAAACCAGCTTAGCTTCTTATTTGCATAATAAAATCTCAAGGGAACCTTGGTTAAATGTGTTTTTTTCAGTGTTAATTTTATTACTTGTATTATTCTAGACAATGTAGTTTGTTTTTGCTTTTACAACTAAAATTCATGAACTCCTTTTATGGAGAAAAAGAATTGCCAAGGGAGAAGAAAACTATATTGACATTTTGTATTTCTGTCTCTCACCTATCATCCACAAATTTACACAATTTGTACCCGTCTCTAAAAGGTTATCTTTTAAAACTCCCATTATCAAGGAAGGGCCGTTAGTTTCGTTTTAAGTTTATGCTAGTAAATGTATTTTTACTTCCTGCATATATCAATGCAAGAAACTTTGGATAAAAAAAAATTGCATAAACTTCTTAACATTTATAGTCAAGCTTTTCATATTATTTGACACATTTTTCAATCAAATGTGTTGGTTTCTGTGCATGACTTGAATTCATGACTGACACTCCATAAATACAGTATTACCCTAGGGCAATAATGATCTCCCTGTCAAAATTGTAGACCAAACACTGGTATAACTATGTCATAAAACATGTTGATGAGCACTTTTGTATGTATGATGTCTTTATATGTATGATGTCAGGTTTTCTATATATGGGTGTTGAAGACTAAAAATAAATCAAATGTACGTAGAAGTTAAACCATCAGATCATATATATGATCTGGGCAATTTCCAATACACTGAATTTGCTTCTTTTTAAAATACAGATCTCTCTAATCAAATAATTGGCCATTTTCAGATTAGTGTCAAATATTACCTGATAATTCCTCTGGAAGTGGACTTGGAATGGAGGAGAAGGTCTGCTGGTGAAGTTGTTGTTGTTGTTGTTGAGATGGTGTTGATGAGCGTTGTTTGGCTTTCAGTGGGGATTTATACTTCTGCATAGTGGGACTCAGTTGTTTCTTGATCTTGTGTGTTGACTTTGTACCTGGACCGGCTCTTGCGTCCACCACCTAAAATACAATAAAATACCTGCTTTAATATTGAATTAAACAATTCTGTAGACTTAAATTAGCCAGAGTAAAATATTCAAATTTTACATATTCAAATTGAACATGCACAGTAGCTGAATTGGGTAAGATATTTTAACTATCCAAAAATCAAATTTACTATTCTAAGGCATCACACTCAGTGTAAACCCATAAAGCAATTATACAATAGATTTTCTTTCTTCATGCATCCCAATTTCTGCATCATAAAGTCTGGTTGAATATCAGTATGGCTATATGTTTTGTGCAGACAGTTGCTTGTACTTTCAGAGTGAATTAAATCACATTTTATGAATGCATATTTCCGGAACAAATGAACACAAGACATTAATATTGTCTATTGCGGCTGCACATCAACAAGAATTAGGAATGTGAAGTCTATATTAACATTGTCTTTCTCTTGTAAAACTAAATACTTAAACAGGTAACTCTGTCTCCAAATTTTGCAGCAATTACAACAGGTGGTCAAAGAAAGCCCTTTGAAATTCTAGCATTTGTTCATAGTCTATCAATCTGAGATAGGATCACTAGAGTGTAGGACAAAAGCCCCCCCGACGAAAGCCCCCCATCCAAAAATGACATGGTGGACAAAAGCCCCCCCATGAAATTTTCACATAGGACAAAAGCCCCCCCATCAAAAATACAGGTAGGACAAAAGCCCCCCCCCATCTTTTTTCACACGCGCAGGTGCTCAAATTCATCAAATTTCACACAAACTTTTAAATAAAAATGAAAATAATTTGTTTTAATGTTTATTTATAATGTATATGTTGAAGTGATAACAAAGTTTATGATAAAAAATTAAATAATGCATGCCTGCGATACCGAATTCATAGCTTTTCAAATACACAACAAGGGTCAGAAGAGTAGTAATGTTTAATCACTTTTGTAAAGGGATCAAATTAATATCCTAAGCACTATGTCACCTACATGTGATGTCCATACATATCTTTTAAACACATAAAAAATACAACTTTAATACACTATATGTAAATTTGATTGACAATGGGGGGGGGGGGGCTTTTGTCCTACCTTTACTTTTTTATGGGGGGGGCTTTTGTCCTATGTGAAAATTTCATGGGGGGGCTTTTGTCCACCTTGTCATTTTTAGATGGGGGGGCTTTCGTCCGGGGGGGCTTTTGTCCGTATCCCGGATCACTAAACAAAGACATGTATGATGATGAGGATCTAACCACACAAAGACAAATTTACTCTACAGAGAAACTAATCAATGTACAAAATTACTAATAACAAAATTATAGTATATTTGTAAATCAATACACATTTATAATAGCAATGTCATCAGACGAAATCAATATATAGTTATGGCACTTTTTTTTCTTTCTTCCTTTATTGGGAACCAGTCATCAGCTGGTCATACAGTTAAGTACCAGTCATCATCTGCGGAATCAGTCAACAAAGTGTTTGTATAATAAGGATAGTGTTTACACAGTAATTGATTATCCTTGACCTTGTAGAGTTATAATGACCAATATAAATCAAAACTGGATAAATTTACAACAAAGGGTCTCATCCTTTGTCATTTTTTATATATCCACTTTATAAAGCCAGTTTCAACTGCATCTAATGTCAACAACTTAACAATATTCTGCTGTCTGAAGGTGAAGAATAATCTCATGCAAAAATTCGTTTCCATACCAGGGACACAATAAACCCAGACAAATTATTAGACGTTATAATTAGCAAAAGCTCATAAATAAATTTTAAAAATCATGTAGATAGGAAATCAAAACGAAGAGAAAATGCTCTTGAAATTTGATTCGATAACCATATGACTTTTGTTTAGTATGCAAGGAGTGTAAATAAACTGAATGACCATTCAGGTATGATTTTTAACCAAATTGTGAAAAAGGTTAATAATTACATTGTTGTATCATTTTTACCAGTTTCATAACCGGAAAGGGAACAAAAATACAGGGGTAGTTTATGAAATTATTTCCTAGTCCAGTTTATTATCAATATGAACTTTTCAAGAATGCACAAGAACTGACAATAACTTTCCTGACCTATGGCTGACACTATAAGCCTTGAAATAGGCTAGCTAGTTTACCCATTTTACAAATCAGAAGTATTTCCTTGCCAAGTTTCTCAAGTATCTCTATTTAAACATCCTGGTTTCACCATACTGGCAACAAGAAAATCATTGTATTGTTTCATATGGGTTGTTACTGTTATGTTACAGTCAATATGGATTGTAAAACTCAATTTTGTTGTTTAATTCAAGTTTCTCAGTGACAAACTTGTATCAAATATTATTGTAAATGATTACCAATGATAATTAAAAGCAAAGGATCCAAGTCAAACATATTCTAAACTAAGATACAAATGAAGTAACAATTGTTTGGAATAATTTAAGGTTAAATTGGTCAACTATAACACAGCTTTCTTTAGAGGTTTATCTTACAACATGGCATCAATGTTATCTTGGCTCCATTCCCACTGCTTTCTTTGTTTTAAATGTGCCAATATTTCTAGTAGTGAATATGATTTTTATTGGAAAGTAAACATTTTGTTTACTAAGTCTGCTTTCAAAGTCTGATATCACATCATAAATCAGCTTTTAAACAAAGAAATTAATTTCTCCTCTGAAAGAGTACTTAGGCAATAGGGGTCAGCTGGTGAAGACAGATAAAATTTGGACTTATTGACCAAACAATAACAAATGTCAGTGAAAAACAGAGGTCAATACACATTTATTGACCATTAAACTGACCACCTCCTATGCTAAAAATATACCTGCCCAAAAGGACAGACAGGACTGGGGTGAAAATTGACTAATAATAAGGACTACATTAATGTCAACAGCTGAAAATCTGCCCTTTTATCAAACAGCACTGTTAAAATAACTAACAAGCTTCATTATATAGCTCATAAATCTATCCATTGTGCAATGTCCATAGATATAACACCAATACAAAAACATAGCACTTATTTCGCATATTTCACAAGTTTGATAATAACCAGCAAAATTTTGCTATCTACTACATCTAATCTCATGCTATTCAAATACCGAATGCTGCTCCCCCTATGGGGCACCTCTCAAAATGACCACAGATGACCAGTGGTTTTAGTTCAGAAGTTCAAAGACCTCTTATACCGGTCACGTATCAGACATGCTTGTGCTGTCTGTAGTAATTAGGTAGAAATGCTCAGATCAATTCAGATAAATGCACAAATCACCATTTCTACAGTTGATCAGTATTTTGATGAGTGCTTTGGCTACATAAATACAAGCATACATTCACCAGGTATAAACCACTTTCAAGATGAGGAATTCAAACCAGAAGGGCATGAATTTAATATGATGAAAGGAGTGCATTCTGTAACTATTAGCAACCATTCAGGAATTCTGTAAAAAAAACATTTCAGGCATTAAATTGAGATTTGTAATATATTCACAGAAAAAAATTTATTGATCTCATTATAAATCAAACAGCTAGTTGCAACTGTTAGCTAAATCACTGAGATTTTTTTTACGCTTTATAGCTAGGTTTACTTTACAGAACAATTCTGTATAACGCCATCATGAAGATCTATCAATTCCTAGACATTGTGGGTGGGTTAAAATATCAAACTAAACCCTGAAAGATTTAAAGCTAATAAACACCTCCCAATCTTAAAAAGATCATAATTACATGTATGTACTTTCATGTTCATGTATATATAAAAGAGTCATCTTTCAAAATCAGAACACCTTAAACGTTGACATCTATAATTTAGGTTAAATTGTCAAGGAAAAAAGATAAATCAACCAACAATTACTGTATTTGCCATGACTTATCATGACAGTCTTTCCTGTTATAAATGATACACCTTGTCATGAAATTAACATTTAACCAAAAAATGTCAAGAGAGAGGAGAACAATAAATGGTTTATTCTATTTCATAAACCCATATTTTACTGAAGTAGAATTTAGACCAAAATAATCGGTCAAACAAATATAGTTTTATAGGTGTGACATACTGACTCAATATTGTCAGTGTTTTTGTTTTGGCAACCACTATGTATATACGTTATCTATATTTAAAACACTGAAACTAGCTAGGAAGTAATTTAATGTCAAGTCACAGTTCAAAATATAGTAAAATCTAGTACGAAATGAAATCAGCTGTTTATTATAGATATATAAATATTTAAATCAGCTTTATCAGCACCAAATAACCTGAACACAGACAATCATGGGTTTTTCTTTTTTCCATGAAACGTAATGATATCAATTTATCTTTCATTTAAATCTTGTGATAATTTAATCATTTTCAAAAAAAATGCCAGGAAGTTAAATGTGACTCAGAATTTATACTTTCAAGTTTATTTGTTTTTTTTTGTGTAATAACTGTAATACTATTTAAATTTATTATGACAAAAATGACTTTTATATGGAACATTTATCATAAATTTAATTTATAAAATTCATTTGGGATTTCTGCTGACCAAAACATGTTAAGTCTATTAACTTAACATTATTTATACATAGAATGGTCTGTTTGAGAGGAGGTTATCATTATCAGTGCACTTGGACCTGACATGTTTATCTATGCCATATGTACATATATAAAAGATGCCAACAGAAGTGTGCCGCTTCCCTTTTATCAATCAACTAATCACTCAATTATCAGTAATAGGTGTGATAAGGCCTGCTATTTTTCACACCTAATGAATGCTAGGCCACATCTGTGCAGCTACAGGACACAAGCTGTCTGGATATATACATCCCCTGCTTGACCTAGAGGGCATTATACTGCTATTTTATCTATATAAACAGTAGGTGCCAACATGCCTTCAATAAAGCTATCACTTTCAATTTTCATCATGACTAAAGCATTAAGAGTGTAAACATTTCTGTGATTTAAAAGCAGATAGAACCTTACTGCCTATTAATTTTTCTTTTAGCTGACCAGATGAAGGGCCTGCCAAGCTTTATAGGATCAACATTTAGGTTAGCTTGTTATTAATTATTTACCAGTTAAAATTAATAATTTATGGATATAACAGCAGGTTTAAGGGCTTTCTGGAATAAATGTACTTATCTGCATAACAGTTAACATCTGGCAACAGGTTTGAAATCTGAACCTTAACTTTTCTCCATTAACAAGAATTCTTATAGAAAAATTGTAATGTAAAATTGCTATTTCCCTACACACAAGTTTTCTCTGTAGCAGAAATATCTAGGGCAGTGGGTTATACAAGAGCTGGAAGATGATTATGTTCTGAAAACAAATACCAGGTTTTCATTATGGAGGCAGTGTTTTCATGAACCACATGATAATCATCTATCGACAGGCATTCTGAAATATGTTCTAGTGGCAAGATAACTTTTTATGGTTATCTGAGCTCTGATTTCATGAGGCGTCTATGAGCCAATGATAATTCTAATTGAAAGTTTCTAAAATAAGATCGGTAAAAACTCCTTTTTGCTTTGTTTGTTTTCAACTTTCTTTTAATAGATTCAAAATAACAATTATCATTTCTGTGTTCTACATATATCTATAAATTAAATATTATAATAAAACATTGTTATCAAAAGTCCCGAAGACTCAACTAAAATCATACAAATGTTGACCATCTGCCAACTTAAGGACACAGAGAAAGAAAGAAAAAAAAAGCGGTCAATTTGAGGTGAAGCAATCAGTTTGGGCCCAGAGATTCAATGTCAATGACCAGTTATAACTTGACCGCTCATTTCATTTACTTCAACACTGTACTAAATAATTTATCTCAAGGTATAGGGCTATAGGTTACTATATTCTCACTTGACAAACAGAATGTTTACTTTTAACACTCACAATTTTAGTCAAGCTCTCATCATCTTTGAAATTTTTATACAGGTTTAACATTTTCGAAAAACCAAAAATTAAAACTAAGATTGGGTGTCCTCACTGTGACAGGTTACGATATCATTGAAATATGAGTGGGCCGGTATATATGTAAACATTCCAATCAAATACCAGACTAATCTCTTATATCCATACTAATGTACTCGAGATTAAATCCATAATGATAACTTACAGTTTATCCAGTCAGAATGACATATAAGAAAAGTAACAGCACTTAAACTCTCTTTTTTTCAGAACCATTATATCAATTTTAAAATTAATTTTCACTTACATGATTCCAATGTCTGTTAGTTCCATCTGGTAACTTTTTCCATCGTTTCACTAACAGGACACAGGCGTTACATATTTCCCCACAACGCCTTTCTTGTATCCGAAAACATTTCTGAAACTCGTCCTCGTATTTGGAACTGTCTGTAAATCGTGAACTAGAAGATTTAGCACGACATATACAACATCCATTGTTACTCCTGTATATCTTCGGTTTATGGAAACTGAACATTTTCCCTGTGTTTATATTTTCTCCTTTCAAGTTTATTAAACTACCTGCAAAAAAAATTATACCAACTATACCAGCTAATAAAACCACTAATAATTTTTTTTACATTTTTCACATACTTTCTATTCAGAACTATATTTCTGTATCTAGTTATCACTGCTTCAACACAAGTTAACACTTACACACTATGAATCAGACTGGACGCCCACTCTACTTGGTAATGAATAACACTACAAGTGAAGTAGAAAGCAGTTCATGCATAACTGATCCAAGCACTGTGTGACATCATGATATATCGGAAAATTATATTGGCTATGTAGAGGGAGACAACTTCTGTTGAAGTTTATATGCACCCAGCATTAACATAATGTTACTTTTTTCATATTAAAGCCTATAATTATGTTAATCAGGAATAATGAATATATATATATATGCCTGAATTGACTTGAGATAAAAATTTAAAGTTAATACTGGTGTGTCAGTTATTCATACAATAAATAATTATGTTGATAGTATAATAGTATCAACAAATAAATAATTCTGTTGATAGTATAATAGTATCAAACATAACAACAAAGGAATTGTATATGGATGTTGTCAGAAAATCCAATATTACAAATATTTATATAGCAGATAATAAAGTATTCTTGAACAAAATACATATTATTATTCATTATATAAATGTTCATACACAATCACTTAAAATTTTATGAACATTTCTCTTTCAAACAATATTTGATAATAATATCCAAACGATACATTTCAATTGTTTTTATCAATATTTGAAATACTTATTGAAAATATACAAGAACGATTTCTTCTGATGATAGCCTGATGTATGGAGGGGTGACAGACCAGCTTGTTTCCTATATGTCACATGTTAAAGCTACTGAGTAGCAGGAGATATAAGTTCAACTAAATATCTTAAATTTCAGTGGTCTTGACTCTCCCTGTTTTGGGCCAAATTGGGGCATTTCTGCATTAAGTGCATTGTGGACCCTGGTGACTGATGAAATATTATGCTATACAGGAAGTTCAAATAAAATTTAACTAAAGTGTTACGTTGACACTGAGTAGGAGTTAAAAATCCATACATACATGAAGAGCCAATGGCACATAAATGCAAGACTTTCAGGCTGTGGTGGGGTATTCTTAAATAACAACTTTTCACGCTTACTGTATTTGCATGAGGAAGGCCATAAATATACATGTGAGAAATAAAAATCAGGAAACAAAATCAATTGTCACAATATTTTTTGTGACACCCATTTTCTCCTATCCTAAAAAAAACCCAAAAAGTTTTGTTTTTTATTTCTCTTGTTTTCTTATATAAATTTTAGCTTGGTTTTGTTTAATAACGTTTAAGTGAAAATAAGGAAATGTTTGACATTGGCGATGACAACATTTTGTCACTTTAGTGCAGTAACAGGTTTATTCCCTAACATATAAATCTAACATCAAACCCATGATCCCTGGACCGTCTAGGCCACAGCTCCCCAAAGTGTATAATATAGGATTGTGAGGAATGTATCACAGGGCTTTTTTTAAGAATCCCTTCCCTTAAGTTTTGGGGATACTCTCCTGCATATTGGTTGAATGTTTCCCTATCTTTCACTTTCTTACACACAGTAATGATAGTGTGGTCACTGAGCTTTTTAGGGAGCGTATTTTGAAGAATCAGCATTTTTAAGATGAAGAAGAAACTTGAAGTTAACTAAATTTTAAAGGAAAACTGCACAATTTTAAAGTTTGATTATGTAGTTTTTATGTAGATTTTAACTGAGATATTAAAGAATACACCATCAACTTGTAGTTGGCATCCAAGTAAAAAAGCAACAAATTTCAAAATCACTCTTGGCAAAAATCTGACCCAACAGTGGTGAGGGAAAGTTGTTTGATGTCATTGGCTTTAACCATTTGGCAGCCTTTATAATTTCACAACAGTAGGCAGGAATTTGAGATTTTTTTCTGATTTCCTAGAAAATGTAAAACATAACTACCTTTGTCTGTTTTTTATTCCTACTTGTTAGTAAAATTCTTCTAAATACCAAATGAAACTAAACCGACTGGTAAATTGATAGATTTGACAGTTGGTTATCATCCTGTCATTTCTTACATAGCTCGAGGGTACATGTACTGTCACTAGGCAGAGAACACTCACAAAGAAATAAACCGCGATCATTTGATTTCATGCACATACTTGACTAGGTATTGTTTTTAAATTGTACATTTTGTGAAATCAATATAAATAAATACATAATTTTTTTTGTTAAAACATCTTCCTATTATGAAACGGTAATCTGATCCATAGATACAAGTCTTTCGACGGAGTAGGCCTATAGGCCATCGACCTACAAACTGGAATTCTTTATGAGAAGAAGTAGGTCAACGAAATAAAATTAAAATATCTTGAAATAAATAGAGTAACAGCTGAAAGTAATACTTCTAAATAAGCAAACAATTAATGATTACCAGATTCCGCACTGTATTTCGTCTTTTACTCAGTTACTTCAGTAAAGATGTAAAATTTTCTGAACAGACGTCTGTTTCCTCTTTGGTCAACACGACTTCTGATGATCAATGAATGCGCATGCGTGATGACGCTTTGATATGCAAATATTTCATTGACGCACAAGGAAACGAAATTTCTTAACATAAACTGTATTTATCATTTATTGCTGATGAAAATATTCACATTTTGTTAAATATAGTATCATATATTCAGCTGAAATGAATTTTAAATCTTGACAACCTTTCACTAAATTATTATTTTCGAAAATAAAAAATTATCGGCGTGAAAATCTATTTTAGGACGCTCGAGATTTCTCGAGACTTTGCTTAGGATTCTGGGACGTTCACTTTGGAATACGCCATTTTGGACAAAATTTTACTCATTCCCGCCCGTTTCTGTGGTTTTTGCGTTGTTTCCTTATTTTTATTACGTGTGTTATAGAAACACCAATGTAAAACATACATGTTCATCAATTACTTTATAAATAGCAAGCAAAATGTCATGATTTTTGTGTCATGGCTTTGACATGTTAATCAGTTAAAATTATTTTTTTTGCGATCTTGTCATCACTCGGTATGTTTACCAAGGTTATGTGTGCGAAGTAAAACCTTCCAGAAGAACAACATTTGCGAGTGACATTCAAAGTTAATTAGATAAATAAGGTACTAAGTATTATTGTTTAAAAGTAAACATGTTCTTATCTCCAGTTTTAGTCACCTTCCCCTCCCACCCTTTTCAGGTTGTGGAAAATGACAGGTAAGGATTCACACCTCATACAGCAAGTCTGGTCTTTAAACCATGTGAAACTTCAATGCACAGACCTTCATTCACCTTGACAGTTAAACAAAATATTTGTTTTCTTAAGAAAATCTATGCCACACTATGTGTACTATTATCTATACATGCACTGTTCCAGTTTAAAGATGAGATAGAGCACTGAAAATTTTTTAACAACAGAGTTATTAGCCTGAATGAGAGAGCTTCTCAGATTTAATGATTAGTATTGCAACAATTCAAAAAGAGTGATTAAAATTGGAATAAAATCGAGTTTGATTGAACTTTTATTTGGTATAATCAGGCTGGTGAAAATGCCCGATCGGGCTTATGTAAAAAAAAATCATATTTCTAGAAAAGTAATAAATATATTTCTTTTAAACTTTGTTTGTTTATTGAGAATAATATTTGACATAAACAGGAAGAAAAATATTTGGTTACTGTCACCTTTGTGAGAATTATTTCCCCTTTTTCATGTTTTCATAACACATAATTTTTGAAGTCCTTAAAAAATATGTTACATAGGCAAAGTGTAAATCAAAATAGGTTAAATAACTTCTTTATGCGCTAATTCATTGCGCCAACACCTGTCAGCATACATTTCATTCAGTTTTAAGAGAAAACTTCAAAATATAATGTTCAGTGTCAAAGCATTGTCAAAATATAAATGCCAGAAGCAGAATTATAAATAAATTATATAGAATAAAGATCCTGGTGCAATAATCTAGAGCAAAACGAAGCTGTTGGACACATTTCTATTAAGAATTTTTCATTACAACATAATTTTTATGAACTTCAAATATTTTGTTTCCAGAAAATGGGAAAAAAGGGAAATAATTCTAAGAAAATAAAAGATAACACAAATATTTTTATTTTGATTTGTATCATATATAAATGCTTAATAAACAAAATTAGTGAGAAAAGAAACATATTAATTATCTTTTAGAAATATGATATTTTATGTTTAAGCCCGATCGGGCATTTTCACCAGCCTGATAATTAAAAGTCAAATAGTATGGTAAGGAAACCCTTCACCCTCACGATATGTAAGACACTATCATCCCAAAGACACTTTACAATAAGTTACTATAAATATAATTGTATTGCAGTGCTATATATGTTTAAGTTAGTGGAATAATATAATATAGCTAGATGCTATATATCTTGCATAGTACCAGTAGTACTAGTAATCAACGCGGGTATCAAGCCTTTGCCTATTCTAGTGAACAGTACATGGAGTGTCACTTATCATCTGTTTCTGAAACTAAAGTGTTTCATTTTGTGTTGGATCTAATAATAAGAAATTTATTCATTTACGGTAAGTTTCTCTCAGTGATATGAAAATCTACCTTGTACTGAAAATATTTCTGAATTTAAGCCCATTATGCCATATTAACAATAAAACAGATAATTTCATGGACAAATGAAAGTTGTCTGCTGAAATTGCAGTGAGTCTGTGATGCCTTTTCCTGTTGAAAATACTATTGAAGTTAAAACAAGCCAGTGTTTTTTTTCACTTTTGGGGGAAGGGGGTCGGTGCCCATTGGAGGGGGAAAATGCAATAGGAGGGGGATTTTTATACGGATCTAAAATATTGATGTGTCACATGATAAACTTGTTGGGATACCAGGAGTAGCTCCCCTTACCTAACAGTAAGTCTTACAGGCATAAAATAAAGCATTTTTCGACAGTTGGACAGCCATATTATAGGGGGAAATTTCAGCTTTGAGGGGGAAAAAAACATACTATTTTGAGTGGGGAATGGGGAGAATTTCGCCGAATATTTTGGTGAAAAAAAAACACTGCAAGCCATCAATTTAAATAAATAATATAAAAATGTTGGCTTGGTTTTGGTTTGTCAGGCCCGTCGTCACGATTTTGTGATTGGTGCGGCCAATTTGATTGGTTTTAGGTAGAATCTAGGGGGGTACGGGGGCATGCTCCCCCGAAAAAAATTTTATTCTAGGATGCTCTCAGGGGCGTTTTCCCGTATATTTGACACAGTTTACAGCCTGCCGCTAGTACATGTTATAGTAATATGACAGGGTTGTCATTAACATTTTTTGCAGAAGGTTTGTTTTGAACTTGAGGCGGTCATTTCTGTCTTTATCATGAATAACAAAGAGTGTTTTCTTAATTTTGAGGCGGCCCATAATGCATTTGAGACAGGCATTTTGGCCTCCTGCCACCTCTTAATGACAACCCTGTAATATGTCAAAGATTTAAGTGCGTCGTGAGTTTTAAGGGTGAAATTTAAGGTTCGCATGACGGACGGACAGGTGTACGTACATAAAAGATGAATACAATGTAATTGATATTTGGCAAATGAAAAATAAACAATAACTGATGTTTTTTAACTGATGTCAATTTTTATCGGATGATTATAAATAAACAAATAAAAGAAATATTACAGTACGTGGATTATTGTTTAGCATAAATCACACAATGGTATAAGCTTAAATAACAATCGATGACATGATGGAGAATAATTACGAGTCAACAATAACCACTTTTTGTTTAGCAGTAACTTGTATTTTGTTAACAATAATCTTACACAACATAGAGTCTCATTTTATGTAAATTTTCCAAAAACACATCGCCGTCGTTCTCTGGTTGGTAGTAATGAACTCATCGGCAATTACACGTAAATTGAGTTAATCTGTCCTGTACTTATGAATATGTAACACCATTCAAGCGTACTTGAGACATTGTCGATCTCAGGTATGTCTTAATTCTTCTGAACGCAGAGAATGTCCTTTCACTGCTAGCATTAGTAGCAGGCATTACTAACAAAATCTTTAACAACACAACAGCCTCAGAGAACAGTGCTGACTGTTCTTACACAAATTTCAAAATGTCAGGTAAAGTAACAGTACTAATTTCTGATTTGTCAAAATGTGAACGTAGCAGCTGAATCTGCACATCTTAGATGTCTCTGTCAATATCGTTACCATAGAAATCTCAAACAAAACCAAGTTCTCTAGTGTACGTTTTGAAGTACGTGATATCCCGGTTGGTCAAATCTCTCTTTAACTCTGGCGCAGGCAAGATTGCTTCAAAGTATCTAGGCCGGAACACGTCCTGCACTGTAACGGGGTGGTAGCCAACACCGTGCCCCATCTCGAATCATGTGGGCGCCTTTCTCTTCCATCGTTAACATCGACAAGATCACTCTCACTTTGAAGTTTAATTCATAAAGAACCAAAACTATAGTCTGATCTCATGTCTATCAAACTACCTAGAGTCCGCTTTGCTAGCCTCTGGCCCTCGGATGCTTACAATGAAACTTGTTGAGATTTGCTGAGGTTGTCTGTCAATGCTAGGATGTCGTGTGCGAGCATTACACCGAAAAAGTACTCGAACTTTACTTCTTAGGACTAGGACCCCTACATATTCCTGGTCAATTAATTGTGTCCAGTTGTTTCTTCGCGTCATGTTTGTATATTACCACGCATTGCATAAGGGGCCAGTTAAGTGTCAAATTGCTAATCAGTGATGCGTGTATTTTTTTGGTTTTGTTTATTTTTACTCATTTTCGGTCAAAATATTGGTCTGGCCAAGGCCGGACTGGCCGGACCATCGACGACGGCCTTGTTTGTGAAATATACTATGATATATTCTGTCTAACACACCTGTCAGACTACATTTTCCTATTGTCCTGCTGCAGATTCTGCTTCTTATACAAGTGGATGAGTTGAATAAGTTTCTTTTTGCATTGAAATTTATCCAACTGCTGCACATTTGTGACCATTGCTTATATTCTAGGTTGTTCACAAAATTCTAGGGGAAGTCAGATCCTTGTGTTTTTCTCTGATTTTTTAAAAATAAAATATTGCAAATTTGGATTGTAAAGGAACCCATAGATTAATGACACTTTTGTAAGGTCAAACAATGCTGTACATCATATGTAATTTGATTATATGTTGTTTAGTGTATATTTATATAAAAAAACAACACAAATTAAAACATGTGATGAGGGTTGTATATTGTTGGGTGTAATGTATATCAATGTGATATAATCTTGTTTGAAAATATATCTAATATCATGTTTCATACATGTACAAAATTTGTATTGCAAAAAAGGAGTATCTTAAAATATTTTAGCAAATATGATATAAGCTGTAACATTGTGATAAGAATAGAGCTAGTGTTTCAAATTATGACTACCAGCAATGGATTTGATTTCTGCTTCTAAATAGAAGAAAAGTCTTAATATTTTGGCATTTGGAATGTTTTAATAAATATAATTTACTATTCAAGTTCCATAAATACTTACTAAATTTTTTTGAATGTTTTTACTCATTTGATTTCTAAGAATGGATTAATAAGTTAATAAACCATAATTTCTCTGATGAAATTTATAACCAGTTTTGTATTGACAATACTGGCTAAATTATTAATATTGGACTAAAATGGTTTTGTTTATCTCATAACCTGTAAGGTGCAAGTTACAAATTCTACTCAGGCAACCAAGGTAGACCAAAATCTGTTGGCACTGGCTGATGATCATTTTGAAAAAATGATTGGTTTTGCCCAGATTGAAGTTGGACGAGTTTTATAAATACATAATAGGATTAGGAAAGGGTTAATTAAAAATTATAGACAAAAAATCCTGACATACTTGGTAGTATTTAGGCAGTATGTAAATGTTTAAACAAATAAAATTGTGTTGATTTTGTTGTTTCAAAAAAATCATTGTTTTAGGCATAAAGACTCATAAAATGTAGATTATTGAGACTTGTAGTTTTTTTTTTTTTTTAAATATGATAAATTCAGTATTTAAAGAATAACTTTTATTCCAATACTTTATTTAAAGATACAGGGACCTTTGTATTTGTAAAAGAAATGTATTGTCCAAATCGTGCTCTTTAATATTAAGTAAATAGACTTACTAAAATCAATTTAATACCTAATTAGAAGTGACATTTAAAGCGCCTAGGCTACTTTTGTGAGGAAACTAGAAACACAACTATTACAACTTGATTTTCATGTGAATGTATATCATTTTAGATTTCAAAAGATGTTTGCTGAATGTTTGGATAGAAAATCTTGTAGCTTAGCAACTTTTCATTTTTCTCTGTCCTTTATTTCAGATTTTTCTCTGTCCTTTATTTCAGTGAAGTAAACTATTCAAGATGTTTTGGAAGTTCAACTTACTGACAACTTCCCACATTGACACGTTATTGGACAAGGAAGTAAGTCTGAAATTAATTGTTTAAAGATAATCATTCCTGATTAATTACAAAAGATTTGGGGTTAATTTCTTGACCATCCATTCGTCTTGTTTGACCCATCCAGCCAGCCAGCCATGTCATTGTTAACTGCTTTCAGCATTGATAGAAAAATGTTTACTTTATTTTGGTAAAATATTATTGAAAGTTAAGTCATGTAATTTAAATGAATTTTAAATTATTTTCACATTTTTTTCAACTGGCTGGTATCTATCCTTACCTAGAAATCAACATGGATGAAACACAGTTACAAAGATGAACATAAAGCTGTTTTCTTCCAACATTAATGTCTAATGATTGCTTGATTACCAGTGATTGAAACTAACTCACAAATAAATGTTTGTACCAGTTTTACCCAGTAGCTCACACAGTTGACATTTGTTTATGCAAAAAGGAGCACCTGAGATCTTGCGGCAACCTGTTAGGATAGAAAGCTTCTTACTAAATGACCGTAACAAGTTGTGTCTTTAATCCTGATCTTAAAAATATATTACTAAAAATCATACCTGAATGGTCATTCAGAAATATTGCATAAACAATCTGATCCAAAAACTGGTGGGATTTGACAAGTTTTACAGCTATAACAATAGAATATAATAGCTAATTGTATTGATTGTTGCTTAATTCTTGTTATTGATCTAGATAGCGTGAGTGCGATGAATGATATCACAGAATATTCTATTATACATGTACACATAAAGCACAATGTCAGTTGTCATCAGGAGTGTTGTAAAAGACAACAGGGTGCATATGATGTACATCATATACATCTATGCTCAACAAAACTTCGAATGTTTACATAATGCTGAATAACTTGGCCACTGTTTATCTATGTTTTCATTTTTGTAACAATGTTTACAAATTACATTGTGTATAGTGTTATTATTTCATCATTAGTCTGTGCTTTGACATAAATATTATACATATGGTTCCACTGCTAACACGGCACATAATAAAAAGTAATGGCTAATTACATTTGGCAGTTTACACCGATTTATTTCCTAAATGTGCTGCAAAAACATTTTTGATAATTTTTAGCATAATTATAAAGAGGAATAACATAAACTTGCCAAAATAGTGACTGCTTGGCCTTCAACATCCAAGTTTGCAGCCTGGCACATTGTTACTTATATTAGCCAGCAGCCTGGCACATTGTTACTTATACTAGCCATTACAAGTTACGTTATTATTGATAACTGAGAAAGTTCCTCATGTAAAATTCGGAAAATTATCATGTGTACTGAACCATATATGAGCCATGCCATGACAAAACCAAAATAGTGCGTTTGCGACCAGCATGGATCCAGACCAGCCTGCGCATCCGAGCAGTCTGATCAGGATCCATGCTGTTCGCTTACAATCCATATTACAAGTAGAGAAACTGATAGCAAGCAGCATGGAGTGCAGGCTGGTCTGGATCCATGCTGGTTGCAAACCCACTATGTTGGTTTTGTCATGACACGGCTGATATGTAATATTGAATGATTTTAATGTATTATGATCATAACAATTACCAGTGTGTTTAAAATATGGTTTACCAGTATTATCTGTATAATTTTGAGTCAGTACACAGTGATTTACCTGCTTATATAACAGACTCCGATAAAAGGCCCCTTACCAATTGAAATTTTCTTTAAAATAAAATCATGCAGTTTTCCCAAAAATCTAAACTTAAACCTGCTTTTTTACTTCCCAAATTAACTATTTTAGCGATTATTTTCCCCAAAATCAAGCGGCCATGGTCTCTTCCCAATTAAGTGAGAAAAATCACCTGATACGTCAGTGTTGCTCCTGGAACAATACATTTTAGGCATACATAGCTCACTATGAAATTTTGAGGGAAACTTCTAAAAATTGAGGGGCATAAATAATGTTAAACTTCCCTTTAATGGACACTACATCACAGCCAATATAGAGATGTTTCAGAAATTTAAGACAGGAAAGTGGTTTGCTATTACTACTTAGTAGTACCCAACCACTAGGATTGAAAAAGTGATGTAAATTATGTTCATAATTGAAAGTAGTTTTTTTGTTGCTATCTGTAATTCCCTGTGCTTGGAAGGAAACACTGATACATTGAACCATATTTGAGAATATCAATTTGAAGTAGTGTCAGGTTAGCAGTGGAACCAGATAACTATTATATAAATAATTGGAGGAATGCCTATATTCTCTTTATATTGTATTTCAGGAAGTGACTCTCCATGAATTAATGGATGAAGATGATATCCTGCAGGAATGCAAGGCACAAAACAGAAAACTCATCAATTTGTAAGATTTATTTAGGGTTTCTCCCCAATTTTATAAATTTTGGGAGGATTTTAATCCTTCTTCTGAAATCTTCATGTTGTCACCTTGGTACAGTATAGTTTAACTCCTTTTAGTACCATTGAAGTTAACTGTAATTGCAAAATAAGGTGACAATGTGTCACATTCAATATTTTTATGGTATGATTATGATTGAAAACAAGTTTCTCATTCATTTGGTTATGATCCATTTGCGTAGGTCTAGGTATATTTTCCGACTCAATTGTTTAAATTGCACTTAGAGATACATTTGTATTATCAGAGAGACATTACAAATGATTCTATGTGGAAGTATTTCAAGGTTTACAATTAGTGGAAATTAAAAGCAAAGTAGACTAAACAATGAAAACCCTTTCATATGTAAGAACAAAATGGTTAGGTTAATGAAGGATTTAATTGGAGAACTGACTTAGATTTTTATATTTTACAGATTAAGATGTGTATGGAGTCTTTCATTAATTGCATCTGTTTTCAAGTAGTGATAATATCTATACCTTTAATGAAAATCTTATGATTTACAGGGTGTTCACTAGCCATGAAATCCTGAGGGTCATTTTTGACTAAATTCAAATCCCCATGATTTTAACAAAATTTGACACTCCATTAGAATCCTAAGTGTCAAATCAGGCCTTTTGGAAATTTGAAGGGTCAAAGAGTCATTTCAAGGATCAAACAGACACCCTGATTTATATTCATTAAATGATAATTTTGATAAGGTAATACAGGGCATCTTTAATTTCTGTAGCAGGGATCATCACCATCCTGTGATGTCTTCCCCTCAGGAAAATTCTTTAAAATGATCAGTTTTCCCCTAAAATCTAATTTATATAAAAAAAATTGCATTATTTTCACCAAATGTATGAGAAGGGTACCTATTCTTTCCTACCTGTAATGATGTATGTAAGTGTTAAAAGACCTTGTTTCAAATGACTTGCCTCTTAATCCATCTTTGGATGTTCAGTTTATTCATGTGAGAATTCAACCTAACCTTTAATGTTGATGATTCTACCCATGAAAACAGGAAACTAGGAAGATAAGAAATTGGCCCTAGTTTTAATTACAGACCAAAATCAACTCAACTGTAAATTTTTAACCAGGTTTTCCGAAGGAAAAAACTGGTTATTAGATTGAGGTATGTCGGCGGACGGACGGGCGGGCGGGCGTAAACAATTTCTTCTGTGCGCAACTCCTCCTACATTTCTCAACGGATTTTGACCAAACTTTCACAGAAGCTTTGTCATCAAGTGCCCTGGCGCATATTGTCGGGGTTTTGCGATTAGATAATATTTGACCTAATTATGGCCCTTTGTTTTTTTTCCTTATATAGAATATATAGTGAACAATTTCTTCTGTGCGCAACACCTACATTTCTCAACAGATTTTGACCAAACTTTCTCAGAAGCTTTGTCATCAAGTGCCCTGACGCATATTGTCAAGGTTTTGCAATTGGTATATATTTGACCTAATTATGGCCCTTTGTTTTTTTTCATTATATAGAATATATAGTGAACAATTTCTTCTGTGTGCAACTCCTCCTACATTTCTCAACGGATTTTGACCAAACTTTCACAGAAGCTTTGTCATCAAGTGCCCTGGCGCATATTGTCAGGGTTTTGCAATTGGTATATATTTGACCTAATTATGGCCCTTTGTTTTTTTTCCTTATATAGAATATATAGTGAACAATTTCTTCTGTGCGCAACTCCTCCTATGTTTCTCAACGGATTTTGACCAAACTTTCACAGAAGCTTTGTCATCAAGTGCCCTGGCGCATATTGTCGGGGTTTTGCGATTAGATAATATTTGACCTAATTATGGCCCTTTGTTTTTTTTCCTTATATAGAATATATAGTGAACAATTTCTACAGTGCGCAACTTCTCCTACATTTCTCAACAGATTTTGACCAAACTTTCACAGAAGCTTTGTCATCAAGTGCCCTGGCGCATATTGTCAGGGTTTTGTGATTGGATAATATTTGACCTTATTATGGCCCTTTGTTTTTTTTCCTTATACAGAATTGAACAAATTCTTCTGTGCTGAACTCTTCCTACATTTCTCAACGGATTTTGTTCAAACTTTCACAGAAGCTTTGTCATCAAGTGCCCTAGCACATGTTGTCGGGGTTTTGTGATTGGATAATTTTTTACCTCGGGGTTTTGTGATTGGATAATTTTTTACCTAATAATGGCTCTTTGTTTTTTTTCCTTATACAGAATATATATAGTGAACACTTCTTCTGTGCGCAATTCCTCCTACATTATTCATGTTTTACATTGCACATAGTTACATTGTTTGTTGCTTGTATTTGTATTTCAAATACAACATATTTATCTACAATGGTGATAATTGAAAACCTGGTTTCATGGCATTGCCATGTTTCTTGTTTCATTGTAGCTTGGTGCTGCCAGAAAATATGGAAGAGCTGGTGAGGCTAATAACAGAGGAGCCCGCAGATGATGTGGAAGAAAAAATCAGATACAAGTGAGTTATTATTCTAATTTGATCATATTTCACACTTTGTCTCTTCAAGGGCGGTAAAATTAATTGTCTGTATAATATTGCCCAGGTTGTCCCACAGCCTGTATGGACAAGTGGAAATTTACAAGAATTTACTGTATACATATCGTACGGACAAATTAAGAAATGCTTCAGATGAAGAAAGAAAACTGAGTCAAAATTCAAATTTTGCCATGCCCTGCTGAGTCTTTGTTTATCCTTTACTTTTCAGATGGTGACCATGAATGTATAATATATGCATTCAAATTGATATCTATCAACAATTGATAATAATACATTCATGTAAAAGAATTGGGTTCACAAAGATAAACACTCGTCACATTGTGAATTATCTTTCCTAACTGATAATAGATCATGAAATGAGTGTATCATTGTTTAACATTTCATGGAAAAATGGGAGAAGAGCTGTGATAAAAAGCTATATATATTCTGACAATCATTTGATGATAAAGTGTTTAATGTAGTTAGTAAAAACGCAGTTGTAAAATGTACTATGTAATATTTAATTTTTATCACAAAGTAAGATTTCATAACACCTGCTTAAAGTAAAAGTGATCATTTATTTTGATTGCTTAGATTCAAAGTACAGTTTTTGATTTTTAAACCACTTACCCCCTTGCTGCTGTAAGTAAAAATACCTCCAGACACTTGTAAGTACTACTCAGATGCTTTGCATGTGCCAGAATAATGCATGGAGGGCACCTGAGGTCTTCCTCTACCAGACCACCACTAAAGATGGAAAGATCATATAACCTCTATTCTGTTGGTGCTACATAAGCCAATATTTTTTTTTATATTATACTGAGTTCTTTGATGCAAAAGTTACTTTTAGCTTTGCTTTTATCTTTTTTGAAGACACATTTCTCAATTATGATCATGTAGGTATCCAAACACAGCTTGCGAGTTACTAACCTCTGATGTGTCCCAGATAAATGACGCACTGGCTGGCAGTGAGGAACTTGTGAAAAAACTCTACGCTTTCCTAGATACAGACAGTACGCTTAATCCATTACTTGCCAGTTTCTTCAGTAAAGTTATGGGTCTTCTTATAACAAGGAAAAGTGAAATGGTAAGTTTGTTGGTATGTTTGAACAAAACAGGAATATCACTATTTCTTGTAGCTTTAACCCTCAACCTGTGCAAACCAAGATAAGCTGGCACACCTGAGCTTGTCTAAACATGGTCTGCACAGTTAGATGTTAAGTTGAAACATATTTTGAAATTTACCCTATAAATGATGCATGATTGATTAAAGATATTTATTAATGTTGCAAGATTTAAGCAGAAAATGCTATTTACACTATGATACTGTCTACATAGACAACATATGAATGCTTGTGTTTAGTTGTGATATGTTAGTAATCACTATTGTAGTGTTCATTATTTAATTTTATGTCACATTGGCAAATATTTTGTATCCGATAATGTTAATAAGAGCCTTAACATGAAAGTTTACCAAATGATGCAGGAGATTGTTTGATAATAGACTATGTTAACATCGTAACATTACTTAGAATACCAAATTCATAAAAACAATGAAAGAGGAAAAAAGAGAGGTAAACAAAATCCATAATATTAAATATAACGGTTTTAATATTATATTATGTTGCATACAAAATGTGTAGTCAAAGGAAATATATAAAATTGTCTGTTAACACTAGAAAATTGATAACCAGGCATTGATTTTGTTTTTTCTGTTTGATTGTTTCAGATATTAGAATTTCTACAATCACGGGAAGATTTTGTTGGTACACTTTTAAAACATATAGGGACCTCGGCCATTATGGATTTACTTCTACGATTGCTCACATGTATAGAATCACCAGAAATCAGACGTGCCATGATAGAGGTATAATGAATTCAAATACAAGTATTAATAACATATATGAATAAATTTTTGTTCACCTGCAAAAATGCTGCATTATTTTCCCTAAATTATTAAATGAGCGTGGCAAATTGTGCAGAAACTAGTCAACTGTATTCATAAAGATTATGATGAAGATGTAAGAAATTTGTTCTCTAAATAATAGATTAACAATGGCTACTTTTGCCTATATGTTAAATAAAATGCTTTAAAAACAACTCGGGAGTGCTAAAGAAGTGCCTACTAGTATTTTTTAATTGGTTACTTTAAACTGAGGTAACGTGTAATAATACCAAGCTTATGATGCAAATCAACACTCGAGCCAATTAGTAATTTTGCACAGTCTGGCTATCCACTATGTCATTTGCTATTTGTGTACTTTGATATCAGAATCTCCTTAAATATAATAAAACCTTTTATATACAGTTGATGATTCTCAAAAGTCCAGTACTATTCATGTATTAAGAAATCTAGCAGGTTTAAGTTTAGTTTTAAATGCCAATACGAATTTCTCGATAATACAGAAATTGTTTCACCCAACCTTTCTGTACCTATTATTGAAAAAGAGCAGCTAAATTAAATGAATTCTTAATTGAAAATGGAAATGGATGGCTCATTTGAGAAATGTTAATTTATTTGTTCTAATTGGCAGAGATGAAGTATTTATAAATATTTTGAGTAATGTTTTATTCTAGTTCTAATTTTAACTCTCGGAGATTGCATGAAATCATTGTGTTTAATGTGGATGTTTTGTTTATAACATTGTTATGTTTGCCTGAATTTCAGTGGTTGAATGAACAGCAAATTGTGCAGAAACTAGTCAACTGTATTCATAAAGATTATGATGAAGATGTAAGACATTTGTTCTCTAAATTATTGATTAGCAATGTTCTGTATATTTATTTTAAAGGTCATCCAAAGTAGAACTTAATTAAATGTCTCATTTACAATATAGGTTAATGCATATATATGGCTGACAATTTAAATAGTAATGCATGGCTTATGTTACAATAAATGTTTTTATGGTAAGCAGTTACTGCAGGCAAACCTGTATGTCTGCAAATATATGTTACTGTTATTTTTTTCCTATGACATGTATATCTTAATTGAACATGGAATTTGAAATATGATTTCACTATTGCATGTCTGGAAATGTAATTATGTTTAACGAGAAATTAACTATTAAGACAGTCAGCAGTTTAAATATATGTTATGATGAGACGAGTCTCCCATGCTTGTGTAATTTAGTATTTTTTGTTTTGAAATTCGGATATATTATTAGATAGAAACAGGGAAAATCCATTAAATACTAGTTAATCAATTTGGGGTAAAAATTTGGAAAACTAAAAGACAAGATTGTAGGAATAAAAAGTTGCATTTTCCTTAATTGTATGAATCTTGTGAATTGAAATACAAGAATATAACTGAAATTTTACTGTTTTTGTTTTTAGATCCATTGTAATGCTGCACAGAGTTTGTGTGACATAATACGTCTAGGTAGAGAACAAGTTATACAACTACAAGACAGGGCAGATCCTGATCCTTTACTTACAACAGTAGAAATGTAAGTTGTTTCTTCAGATACTAGTCATTTGTTGCTCAGTTTGCTGTCCTCTGTCCATATGTAAATAATGTGTAATCCAGGTGGTTTGAGATTGCCAACTTTATTTCATTTCATCCCTTACTGAAGTAGATTTGAGTCTGTCAAAGGAGATTGCATTTATCCCATGCTAGGATGTTACTGAGCAATGTAAATAAGGTAACTACCCATGGCTGAATGAGTACATAAAATGGTATTTGAGATATTTTTGTATTTGAAAGATGCAATATTACATTTACAGTGTTCAATGTTATGACCTTAAACTTTACAAAAATAAATTGAAACAAAAAAAACATCTTTTTAGTTGTACATGATCTTGTGCTAGAGGTAGCTGAATATTAATACTTTCTGGATATTTTTTCAATTGAAAGTCGTCAAAGTAAAAGCAGCACGTACCTGCTATAAAATAAGGAAAGACTTAGGAGAAAGGATTAATACCTGCATAACTTATTAGTGATTTTTCAGTTTGTGTAAATATACTTGTAAGATGTAACTAAAAGGCATTCTATTTGTGATGATTTCTGAGTTTTAATTTTCCTGATTTTCAATGTTTATTTTATTAGATAATATTAATAAATATTTCTGTATTGACTGTTTCAGGGAAGAAAATGTCTCGAAGTTATTAGATAACATGTTGAAAGACGAGGCAAAAAATGAGTCTGTGATTGTAAATGGTTTGTCTGTAATACAGACTTTACTAGAGTTTAAGAAACAAGGGTAAGTTAACCATATATTTTTGAGAATTAAAAAAGCGACAGTCTTTGCAGATAATGGTTTTTTCTGTGGTTAGAAATTTGTAAACTTACTTAGCTAATTGTTCTTCCCTTGATTAAGCTATCCATTTTATGTGATTGAAAACAGGTGCTCTATTGTGCCTTAGATGAAATAAGGGAGGGGTCTTTATCCATCGCATAAAACTGGAGTAATAAACTTGAAACCCTGCAAACACAGCATTGAGAAAAAAACTTTTCAGTCACAGTTATTCTGATTTAACTGATACTTCTGACACTCAGGTGTTTTAAAAAGAAAATTTGCGGCAGTAGTTATATTCATTGTGACAAAAAAATGTTTGAATTTAATCAATCTTGACTTGAGATTATTTACAAGTATCATGTTGACTGAGATGAGTACATCATGGTTTATGTAACATTCAGTGTTTCTTTTATAGAGCTAAATTCAACTATCATTTTTCCTTTTTTCTGTAACACAACAGTTTAAATATGACTTACAGACCTTTATGAATGGTTTGAACAAATTAAGTATCATAAAGAATAAGAAAATGAGATTATGAACCAGTGTCCTCATATGGTAGCATACATGGGTGTATAATCTAATGACTGTTTTATATTGCAGGCCGGAAGATTCAGTAGAACAGATGACTACTGTTGATGCTGAACAGATGTTTTTAGGTGTAAATAATGTGCTTTCAGCAATCAATCCAAGATTGAAAGATTTCCACACTATATTGGTTGAGCCACCAAAGGTATTAAGCAGTCTTGTAATTTTAAACATTACACAATCTTTAACATAAATATTTTTAGAGCTCGCAGTTCTACTAACCTGTGGAGCTGTGCCTTAATTTTCTTAGTACACCATCGATTTTTACCATAACATGTTATAACAGATCTTGCTTCTTCTTGCATTAAGTAATAACAAATTAGACAAATGTTTTAATTAAAAATGCCAAGCAAAGCTTTAGCTTTGTTGAACTTTGAAATCAATTTTCTTCCTCTACAAACTTTAAATGATTTATGCCAAGATGTTGCATTGATATCTGCAAAGAATATATCCCTTTAAATTTTACCCAGAAAAAGTCGTCTAATAGACATGTTCCACTTAATACATCGATGAACACTGGCATCAAAGGGAAATTTAATAATCAAATTACACAAACATTTTAAAGCCTTCTCTACGGAATTATGAAACATTTGTTTCTGCCATGAACTGTTGTATTAAGTTTTATTTCTTGTATACTTTTCAGCAACGGTTTTGTGTTATGCCTTCCTCAGCAGGGTCATTAAACCCTCCACTTGGTAACACTAGGTTACAGACGGGTAGACTTGTAGCTTCTCTTCTCTTAACCAATACACATTCTATAAATGTAGAACTAGCACAGTTGGGGACCATAAATGTTTTAATAGTAAGTATGAGTACTATTACAGAATTAGATTTCATGTTACAATTTGAAATATTAGCACTACAAGATAATGAAAGGACTTTTGTTTGGCTGTTTTTGGACCTGAGCATTGATAAAATGGCCATGTCAAATTGGATTTTCATTACCTTGTTTTATTGAAAAATTTCTTGCTAAATGTTAATAAGTGAATAATTATTTGTTGTTAGAAGTAAAAAAATAATAGTATGGCAAGTTATTTATGTGGGATGACTAATTATACATGTTGGAAGACTGCCCATTCTACTTAAAATGGACTTCACTGAAGGAATGCATATTGATAAGAAACTGTGTCCTTGTTTGATGAAAAGAGTAAGTGATTTTGAAACATTAAATAAAAATTTGTTCTGTGCAATATACTGTGTTTTTTTTACATATAATATTATATGTGGTTTATAAAATAGAAATACCCAAACAATTTCTGTATAAACTTCAAATCCTGGATTAGTAAATAAAAAATTGTTTAGTTGAAATGCGAAAGTAGAAACGTACAAAACAATGTTAATTAACATATTTGTAAATTGAATTTTTACTGGAAAAAAATATTACATTAGTTTTGCCATAATACTTAAGTTTTTTTTTGTTTTTTTTTCATTTTTCAGGATTTATATTTTAATTATATATGGAATAATTTCTTACATACCCACGTCACCCAGTGTTTATATACAATACTCAGTAATCCGCCAATAGAAGTTGAGGGTAAAAAAGAATGTCCTCTTTTAAATCAAGTAAGTATTTCTAGCAAAATATTGCTTTCTTCATATTGCATTTGATAAAAGTAATATGTATGGTTAACTTATACTTGGTCACCATTTGAATATGAATTCTATAAACTTTTTTATATGTTTGCCATATTAACTGTTCCGTATGAAAGCCAAATTCTTGAATAAAAATGATCGGTAAAGTAATGACACATCAGTGTTTACAAATGTCAGTTATTAAATGAAATATGCCCATGTTACCAGTGAAGATGAAGATCAGCTGACATATCTGTGCTGTTTGATCATGGTCTGCACTGTTTCCTATTAAGTCAAAAAATATTTTGAAGTTTTCCTTAAAAATGATAAATAGTTAAGTCCAGATTTTAAGATGGACAAGTCCATTTAGAAATATTTAGCATAGTAAATCATTTTCAGGTCATTTGCTTGAGTATAGCAATGTACATTTTTCAATGACAACCTATATTGAAACACTTTCATTTACTCTTCCACTGAGAATGCATGTTCCTTTTCTTTCAGTTATTTACTGAATGCAAATTAGTACAAAGAATTTTAGATGAATGGGATTTAAATGATCAAGAACAGTAAGTATTGTTCCGTTACAATCTTTGTGTAGTCACATTGTGTATCCACTTCTATATTTTTAGCTCACCTGTCACAAAGTGACAGGGTGAGCTTTTGTGATCGCTTTTCGTCCGGCGTCCGTCCGGCGTCCGTCCGTAAACTTTTGCTTTAAATGACATCTCCTCATAAACCACTGAGCCAATTTCATCCAAACTTCACAGGAATGTTCCTTTGGTGGTCACCTTTAAAAATTGTTCAAAGAATTTAATTCCATACAGAACTCTGGTTGCCATGGCAACCGAAAGAAAAATCTTTAAATATCTTCTTTTAAACAACCCTAATAGCTAGAGCTTAGATATTTGGCATGAAACATCTTCTAGTGAATGTCTACCAAGTTTGTTCAAATAAAAACCCTGGGGTCAAAATTGGCCCCACCCCAGGGGGTCATTGATTTTCCCTATATGCATATAGTAAAAACTTAAAAAATCTTCTTTTAAAGAACCTTAAGAGCTAGAGCTAAGATATTTGGCATGAAACATCTTCTAGTGAGTGTCTACCAAGTTTGTTCAAATAAAAGCCCTGGGGTCAAAATTGGCCCCGCCCCGGGGGGTCATTGATTTTCCCTATATGCATATAGTAAAAACTTTAAAAAATCTTCTTTTAAAGAACTGTAAGAGCTAGAGCTTAGATATTTGGCATGAAACATCTTCTAGTGAATGTCTACCAAGTTTGTTCAAATAAAAACCCTGGGGTCAAAATTGGCCCCGCCCCAGGGGGTCATTGATTTTCCCTATATGCATATAGTAAAAACTTAAAAAATCTTCTTTTAAAGAACCTTAAGAGCTAGAGCTAAGATATTTGGCATGAAACATCTTCTAGTGAATGTCTATCAAGTTTGTTGAAATAAAAGCCCTTGGGTCAAAATTGGCCCTGCCCCAGGGGGTCATTGATTTTCCCTATATGCATATAGTAAAAACTTAAAAAATCTTCTTTTAAAGAACCCAAATAGCTAGAGCTAAGATATTTAGCATGAAACATGTTCTAATGGGTGTCTACCAAGTATGTTCAAATAAACAAATAAAAGCCCTTGGGTAAAAATTGGCTGGGGGGGGGGGGGGGCTATATACAGGTGAGCGACCTCAGGGCCATCATGGCCCTCTTGTTTACTTTAAACTGAACAGTATTGTACAGTGATTCAGATTGGATCTTCTTTCCTTAGGACAGGTGTCCTAAATGGTAAAAAAAAGTCAGGTCATTTGTCCTAAATCATAGGAAAAACTTTAGGACAATTTCTTTTACCGGTATCTCTAAATAAGTAATGTATATGGTTGGCTGGTATTCTGATAAAATAAGGATAAACAAATATTTAAATGCATATTCAATATCTATTTAACAAAGACAAAAGTTGCCGTCCGTCACACTGTTTCTGCCAGCTCCAATTTTTGTATCAGATTTAAGTGATCACTTGACAATTTAGAGGGTCATGCTAAACAATTTATTTTAATCAAAAAAAGAATTGGAACCACTACAGTACAGTATACTTGAATATATCAGCCTTTTCTCTATAATTTGTTCAGCCGTTGGAAAACGAAAATGAAAAGAAAAGAAAATGTTGTAGTAAAATCATTTGAAGATTCTCTATAAACTGAAAAAAGTTATTTAATGAATTACCTCAGTTAGCTCCATTCACAAGCCCGTATGTACATTACAACTTCACTTTTAATCAGCGAGTTAATTGTTTACATAGTTGCATCATGCTTACCATATTTGGTAGTATATATGCTACGTCACTAGCTGTACTGCATACAGGTAAAATGTGTAATGATTGAAAGAGGGTTGTGTAGACTAGTTTATTGTGAAAATGGGATAATTGATCAATTGAAAAGTGAACAATAATTGGATATAGTTATATTGCCTCTCTGGGTTGCTTGAACAGGGAATTTTGGTGTGATTAACGGACAATTGAAAGAAATGAAGTTATAAAAAAATCAGGACAAAGCAGTGCATGATTTGTAAAACAGTTTGCCGTGGATTTGAAATTGGCATAATTTCAGATGTTCTGTAAATTGATGAAGAATAAATAACTGTCACAGGAAAAGCACTAATTAAATCTCATTGAGTCAAAGTTATAAAAAATGCGCCAAAAAAAGGCCTCTGGAAAACACAGGTCCTTCGCATATTCCTCGGATGTATGTTAAAGTGCAAAATAATTAATTGGGTCATTAAGCATGGATCAATTGAAAAAATTCTATTTTTATTTTCAAATTAGCCTCTTTCAAGATTTACACAAGTAAAATGAAATACTAAATCGTTTTTTGATCTACAAAAAAAAATATGCCAAAGCACTGTACGCAAACAAAATTTATTCTACACTACTGTAGGCGGTCAATTGACTCACCGGCAAATGTAACAGGAATGCTGATAGGCTTATGACATTCTACGTCACATATGTGGGCGGGTACCGAATCACTTATCAATAATTGCTTGGGATTTAACGCTAATTTACGTTTTCTGCTGGTATGCAATGCATCAGTAGATTATATTATTCAATGAAATGTTGACTCTTTACTATGGAAATTCGTCGGTCATATGGTCTGAGAGACAGTATTTTTCTCGGTCCGATGGGCGTATTGAATTTAATTTTCTCGGTCATCCATGACTTTTATCGGCCATGGGCCGAAGGGCCGACCCAATCTGAATCACTGTTGTATTGTATTATATGAATGAACTTTTAATTTGTGTTTTATGTCTAAATTTCAAACATCAAGACTTTCTGATTTCAAAATGATATGACCTTGAATAATGAAAGTGTAAAATATAATGTAAATATATGTTACTTTTATATAATATAAATATAATGTCACTATTATGGCCTCCAGTTTTGTGTTACCTTGCAGTATTTATGGATAATTTATGAGCATATCTTTCTCATTACTTGTAGTTATGTTATATGAACTTATGTGCCTCTTTAATTAACATCTAGATTTATCTGGAGGTTTTTTGATCTGCTTTAAATTTGGAAAAGTCCTTAAAAAATTCAAAATTTAAGTGATTTCAATACTAAATGAAAAAAGGGCTACCAGCAGTATAGAGCCTGGTCAGGTTACATGAATGTTCAAGTTGACCTGGCTCTATACTGGTTGTAAAGGTTAATTTGATTCCAGCAGAGGAAGTAGGGTTAAACTAAAGTTAAAGTTTTTTATTCATACGTACAGGAGTAAAGAAGCTGGTAGAAGAAAAGGATTTATGGGTCATTTAACAAGATTAGCCAATGATGTAGTCAATGCTCAGGAAAAAGGGGAAAATGCCGAGACTATAAAAACATTATTTACAGGTAATTGCTGATTACTGATATAATATACTAGCTCAGATATTTGTTCTTTAGTAAGGACCGTGTCATATGTTAGTATTTAATATAACTTAATAATAAACCTGGAAAATTTCATTTTGTGTATAAAGACATCTAGATGTATATATGCGATTTGATATCATTTAAAACTTTAATTATATATAAAGTAAGCTTTTCAATAAAGTTATTATCCTATAAAGGGACATGGCAAATGTCAAAATATATTTACAGTGTAAGGGAGCTAACTCTCTTATGATTAAAATGTTTGATTGATAAACTAGTGTAAAAAATTTACATATTTGTAAAATATGAGAAACAAATATTGTTTGTGTGTATAATCTTTATAGAATTATTTTAAAACTAAAGCTGTTGTAGTTTTAAAGCATTTTCCTGCATTAACTTTCAATAAATCAAATGCAATGATTAAAATTAAGGGCCACTGTTTATTTAATGCATGTTTTTGTTTGCTTTTCTAGAACAACCAGATGAATTAAAGGAAAAATGGGAGGCATTTTTAACGGGTACTTTAGCAGAAACGAATAAAAGAAACACTGTTGAGTTGGTTAGTGCTATTTTAATACTTTTTTTTTCTTTTTGAAAATATACTTAGATATATTACTTCTGACTCTATCAATCCGGGTCTGCCATCTTAGCACAAAAGGAGTATCAGATTTATTATCCAGTGGTCTCTAGTTTGATCCTTGGCTGAGGCGAATTGCTTAATGACATTGAGTCTAACAGTCATTTGTTTGTCAATGCTGATTTTGAAATCATAATTATGTGATTATTAGACTGTCACTTGAGGTGAAGTTGGTAATTAATGGTTACTGAACAGAAAAGTGGGTTAAAGGTCCGACTTAGATATGACCAAAGACGACATTCTATACAGCAAAGTCATTTATTGAAAGAATATTGAAGTTGTACACTTTACAAATAAAAAAATGTTCATGTTACAGGTTCAAGGTCACGGCCTCGCTTCCAGCAGTGAGGATGATGACGCAGACTTTAGCAACATTCCGTTCCCACAAGACACAGCTATGCAACAGGTATTCAACTTTCATACATTAAAATTTGTCATTGGTATCTGCTTTGCTGTTACATTTGTGAAAATTTCAGGACAGTTTACAAAACTTGACTGGAAGTTAATATTTGTTTTAGCAACTACATGTATATGTTTATTTTTAGTTAATAACATTTTTTGACAGATTATATGGCCCATTATAATTATGCACATTTGTAACAACACTTTTCATTGGATAATCACAACATTTATATACACAGCTGCTGTCAATTCATGAAGTAATTTTCTAATAACGGAAGTTTGCTGTATTATAAAATCGTTAGCAAGATGTTTGACAGGTTTTATGGCCATATATAGACGTTGTTTTCCCAATATAACCCTCCCTTTGTGACTGGGGTTATATAGGCATGCAACTGTTTGTACAGGGCTATTTAACTTGTCAAAAATCTAAAAATCTTAAAACTAATATTGTAAGCAATATTAGGCTTGTAGCAGGTTATATAGCAGATGGCAATTTAAGCACTGTTATGTAGCAACAGGTCAAGTTTTAATCTTAAACTTATTATGCTGTTCAATTATTTTGATAAAAAAAAAATGAAATAAAAAATAAGAACTTTACAGCAGACATGCATATAGATAATACAAACATCATGATTGACCACTGAAAATTTACAAAACAAATGTGTGCTATTTTTAAAGCTTTAAATATATGAACATTTCACCAGTTCTTGACAATGCTGTTTGACATTGATGAAAAAAAAGTAACTCGAAAACATTCTGTGAAAAATCATCAATCTGTTAAAATAGTTAGATAATGTATAAGTATAGTTAGATAATGTATAAGTGACAATTATATGAATGTATCAGCAAATCAGAAAGTGTCAGTTGTATGAAGTGTACGATTGCAGTTATCCACCTAGTCATTTTAATACTTGTTTGGTCAAACGTAGAGCAGAAAAGATTGTCCTAGAGTTAGAATTTTGATCTTGAATATTAGGATATATTATATATGTATATGAACAAAAAAAAAAAGATTTTGATCTAGTGAGACACGGCAAAATAAATTTGATAACTTGACAATAACTTCACGAGCGAACATTGTTTTCACTGAAGTGACAGGTGGATGTTGTAATATTTTAATTGAGATTATAAAGTAAGGAGACATGATTTCTAATATATTGAAAGAGGAGAAACATTAGCACAGAGATTGGAAATGTACTATTTGTGTCTGTTTGAATAAAGCACTGTTATTTTAGTGAGTGCCTTCATTAATTTTTTTTTTTTGGCTATATGTTATTCTTGTTTATTAACAGTGCTGTTTACTGATATTTATACAAGACCCTAGACATAACTTTAAAATGTTTTCTTTATTGAGGAATGGCACATTTAGTTCACTTTTAATATCAATGAATTCTAATATGGAAAAAAATGGAATGTTGACATTTTGTTTCTCTGATAGCTACTGTTGCAAATCTTTCTACACATACACAATGTTTGTACTAACAATAGTGTTGATTCAAATTTTGTTTGTTTTGGGGGGTTTTTTTGTATAAGAAAAAGAAACTATTTGATATTTGGTATAGAAATGCTAAACAAATGTAGAGATGTTATGGCATGATGCTTGGACATTCTTAAATAAAAAATGATTAAAAAAAATAGATTGAGGTAAAAGTTCTCTCTCATACGGTCAAGAAACCAAGTGAAATTGAACCAACCAATTGTTAAATTTTGTTTCATAACGTGTTCAGATTTAAACAGCTTCTGTTATCAGAGTTCTTTACAAATGATGCATGCTTAAAAAACAAAACAAAACAAAAAACGTACTCAATAAGCAGGAATGCAAGAATAAGAAAAATGGTCTGTTTTGCTAGAATTTTAAACTTTCCAGTTTTCACAGAATAGAATAAGTACAATTTAAATGGTAACAGAACCTGTTTGATCCTGTCAGAGAACTATACTTGTTATAACAAGATAGTGAAATTACACACAGTACCAAGAAGTTAATATGACTTAAGTTTGAAATTATACAATGAGCAACACAGTAAAGGTTTATTTCTCATATAATTTTTGACTGTTTAGAAAGCAGCAAAATTCTCAATATTTATATGAAATTAAGTTTTTATATTATTCTTAAATTGTGTGTAATTTTAACTATCCACATGTAATTAAATGATGTAGGCTTTACTAGAATCTTACTGACTTTTTGTAGTCTGTTAATATTAAAGTACAAATTCTGCCTAATAATTTCTTTTCTGTGTAAATTATGTTGAACTGTTTCACACATATGACCCAATATTCACAGGACTTGTACATTGGGGGGAGGGTATTTTGAACAAGCAATAATATAGGGTTCCGCGAGAATCTGGGGATGGCAATTCTAAGGAAAACAACATAAATAAGACACAAAGAATATTGAGTCATATGTGACCAGCTAAATGGTCACAGCTGGGATATTCCAAACTTATACTAAATCATTGCTTTAAAAATCAATTTGCTTTCAATGTATTTTTATTTGTTTTTAATTTATATTATTTTTTTGACGTGGTTCACTTGCTCCTTGTTCTGATTGTACATTTTGTTGTTTGAAATTTTGCATGTTTACCTATCAGAATTATAAAGTTAGTTTTGTTCTTGAATTTAATTTTTGCGAAAAAACCCTAAGATCGCACGCTGCATATATGAGAAAGAGATATAGATTTTAAGTAAGCAAAGTTTTGTAGTTTGCAGTAATATGTAAATGCAGAAGTTTGTTTGCTTAGATAAAATATATTGTAATTTATTGGTCACTACACAGTTATTTGTCTGTTTCTTTATAAAATACATATTTAAAATTATTTTGATTTTTATTTTGCCAAATTTTCCTTAGTTATTTGGGAACGATGTTTGTTGTAAAAAAAATATTCTTAGATATCATCTTTTAAAGAGATTTTGGTGAAGAAAAGTATTAAGGAGTGTCATATGTATGAAATTATAAACATTTTCTCCAAATTTCTAAGGAAATTACAGTGTGTTACCAGTGTGTTACACTAAACTTGCATGACATAATGTAACACACACCCTTCTGTTACCTTCATGTAGAAAATCTCCATATTCCTGTACAATAATGTTCTCAGCAGAATTTAAAATAAAAGACTTGGTGAAATACATTTATTAAAAAAAAAACTAGCTGTTCCTTGAAGATTTCAAGAGATTTTATTTAATGCTTTAACTGCAAAGTTTCTGCCCTGAATTCTAGTTGTATAGAGAATAACTTTTGAAAATGTTTTTTAATTATCTTTAATCATAGATTACTTGTCAGAAAAGGTATTAAGTTAAAGAACTATATTGTACTGCTGAGAGTATTTGATGAGGAATATTTTACCCAATTTTGTTGAAACATTTCCCCTTTTAGTATTGCATGTAGTATCTAGGGATACACCAGTTTGAGGGATAAATGGATCATTATTTACTTTTTGATTGATATATATAAATATATAAAAAAAAATCCCCAAAAACACCCTCTTAGGATCAATATGTTGGAATGATAAATAAGAGGAAATAATCATATAAAATTGTTCTCAGTTAACTCAGTACTGATTCCCATGCTTCTTTGGCCATACAATATATCAATGCAACTGTGTGCAGTATAGGTTACAAAACTAGGCAATGCAGTGATACTTCAAAATGTAAGTGAATTTAGGTTAAGCTTTGAAAGTTTTATTTCATAATGAGAGCAGGAGTGACAAATGTATGGGATTTGGCAATATTAATATAGGTTTAAGCATGGAAATGAATTCTTTTCTTATCAATGAGGGGAGATAATAGGGATTAGGTTGTAATTCAATGCATCACTGCTGTGCTATCCTGGCAGTAAATGGGTGGGGGGGGTGTAATTTTACTTGTACTGAATAAGTCTTAGGGAGATGGGACATGGGGTGTTTGTATAATATTGAATGGCCTCCGCCTAAGTTTCAATAAAGACAAAAAAAGCCTCCCAAAAAATTATAAAGAAATAAAGCCTCATTATTAATCTGGTGTGTCCCTGAGATGGCTTGTTGGTAGTGTGTGTGTTGAGATTGTGTTGCGCCTATAAGCTGGTGACCATGAAATACTGCCTGGTTTATTCAGGCCTTCTCTGATTATCAGCTGCAACAGATGACTTCCAACTTCATCGACCAGTTCGGATTTAACGAAGACGAGTTTGGTGAACACGAAGAAAAAACTGAGTGAGTATTGAATTGTTCTATATATCTGTCTTGTAACCAGTACCTGTTTTGATATATCTTCTGTTTGTAATGGCAGAGTTTTCCTGGCTTCCTTAATTTCAAGAATAGTATCAGTCTTCTTCGTCTCTCTCAAAAAAAACCCTGATAAAAATGCTCTCCATGAGGAAGGTACTTGCATTATGTATGAGATACCGGTACATGAAAGGTTAATGATTAGCATTAAAACATAAAAAATCTGAAATTCAATTGCATTTACCATTTTTAGCTCACCTGTCACAAAGGGGGTCATTGATTTTCCTTATATGTGTATGGCAAAAACTTAAAAATCTTCTTTGAAAAAACCCGTATAGCTAGAGTTTAGATATTAAGCATGAAACATCTTCTAATCAGTGTCTACAAAGTTTGTTCAAATCTGTTCAAATAAACAAATAAAAGCCCTTGGGTAAAAATTGGCCTGGGGGGCTATATACAGGTGAGTGACCTCAGGGCCATCATGGCCCTCTTGTTTGATGTAATGCTGTGCGTGCTGTAATCTATAATTCACATAAGTCGCTATATGATTTTAAATTCTTTATCAGTAAAACATCTTTGAAATATATAATCATTATCTCAAGTTTTCAGCAGTCAGCTTAAGTTCTGTGATACATATAATTGAGATTGTTTTGGTATCTTTATTTCAGTTCCCCATTCACTGACAGAATATCAAGTATTGATTTTGGTGGCACAGTAAATGAAGATGTGGTAAGCTAATATTTTGAATAATTTCTTCGTATGTAATGTTTGCACACAAAAATAATGTAATTATCACAAAAGTGTAGACTTTCATTAAGACAACAAGATGCTTTTATCGATATTATTTTTGACCCGCCTGAATTGTTTCTGTCAGGGTCCATCATCTTTTAGAAAGATATGATTTAGTCAATCACAGACAAAATGCTTTCACAAGAGTAAGTCTTAAGTGGCGAATACTGAGGTGCTTTGCTTGCATTTAGTTATAACTGTGTTTCAGCGACCAAATGCGTCCCGTTTTGAACAGTATTGTAATGAGAGACTTCAACAGTTTGATAACGATAGTGATGAAGATATCTGGGAGGAGAAAGAAATCACATTTTCACCATCATCACAACAGAAACGATCAGAGTAAGTTAATTACTTGTGCCTGAGGCAAGAAATATGATGGGGAAATGATGATTGTATTAACTGAGTTCAGTAATTTATAACTATATTTTGTGTAAAAGAAATGATGGTATGCAGTTCTGTAGGTAAAATTATGTATACTTTATCTATAATAGTGATAGGTGTTGTATCAGTATAAAACGTGAGAAGTAGTTTAATGCTATCTGAACAACCTCTATTGCTGGTTGTTCAGTAATTAAGAAATTTCAAAAACGGACAATTCTGATTTCAAGGCAGTATACAGCTTTTCTATTTATACATAATGGCAGCTGCTGAGTACAGATTAAGGATGAAGACGATGTCAAAGGAACACTATGCTGTGCATCCATATAAAAATAAATAGTTCCTTTGTTATTAATAAACATGTACTATTAACATCTAAGTGTCCATTGTTTGATTATTTCTTGCATTCTGACTGTAGGAACTAATTGCTTGTTTGGTATTCCTTGAACACTTGTTGTTCAATTGACTTTCCAATACTTCCAATTTAAAGTCAAGACTTATCTTTGTGTTTATGCTGTCTGGACACACTCCATACTGCTGGCTGCATAGTGAAATCATTTTAGTATATTAAAAAACATTGACAGTAGACTTCATATTCAAACCTTGACAAGTCCATAATGCATATTTTTCAATCACTGAAAGTTAAGTATGTAGGCCTAGTAGACTGCTGAACCTATTTCCATCATTTGAAATTCGATTTTTTTGCTATATGGATCTACCCATTCTAGAATTGTGATTTAGTTTGTTGTTTTCTCTATGTATGTTATAGAAGATTACCAGTTACACGAGGTAGTCAGGATGATAGTGATAGTACAGACAGTGAGGAGGAACTAGACTCACCTAAACGTATTACACAACAACCAGGACCTGCCGAAAAAATGGATGTTGATTCAAACGAGGGTATGTCTGTTTTCAGTCAGTTGAAGCTGGTAAATACATTGAAAATAAGATCTTCAGTAGTGGTTACACAGGCACAGAACTTTTAATATGCCTTTTTAGTTTTTATCAAATAATGTATATATTGCAGCAATTTTAAAAACACATACATCATCCTTATTTCATTATCTGTTCATCTTTTATGGTCATACTGAAATATGTTGGAGCAGCTGTTCTTTAATTGATATATGAACCAAGTTTATCAATCTATTTATCTTTCTCTGGATTGCTAACTTTAAATAGCAAGAAATTCATGATATCTCACTGAGGCTAAAATGCAAACAAAATTTTAACATGTTGCAACAAAAACTTGAGACTTTCTTTAAATTCTACAGCATGGAGTGCTAACTTTGAACAACAGCAACAGCAATCTGGATCAACAGAGGGTGGTCCAGTCGCCATGGATACATCCCCCTGGGACAGCAACAACCAAGATAAACAAGAGCAATCAGATAACTGGGCAAACTTTGAGAAGTCAACACAGGGCAACACTAAAGAGGAGAAATGGGCAGAATTCCCGAATAAAACCTCAGATGATAGCACTAATAAAGATAATTGGGCAGATTTTACTAGTTTTGATAATATGAAAAGGTGAACTTTTATGCTAGAAATCTTAATATCTTAAGAACCAGTCAATTTTTACCCTAGCTCTGCTTAGTATGGGTAAAAGAGAAAAGAACTAGGGTAAACCTTCCATCTTTACCTGGGTAATGGGGTGGTGTTTTTTTTTATGCCAAAATACCCAATTTACAGTGTAGGGGCATTTCACCAGACTGTCACAGTGTGAGACCTTTATCAGGGGGTTGATTATCTAAAAGTAGATGTCCCTGCTATATTTAAATTATAAATTGACTGGTACCTGAGTTTTTTTTATTTGTTTTTTTTCATCATTGAAGTGTCTGATTGTCAAGTTGCCAGTTCCAATAGTTTTTAAAAATGCATATACATGTGAAAAATATAATTATGAGCTATTATAATTGTTTTGCTCATTATGATTGGAATACCAGATACAAAAGAAAATTGATGTTTTCATTGCAAGATTAAGATTTGGATGGGATACTGGTTTGGGAGATAAACTCGGCCGAAAATCGGTGTTTTTGGGGCATATTTCATTTATTTGTTTACGTATTCTGATGAATCTTGCACCATAATAAACTTCAGCTCTTCGATATTCCAGTATCACCATAAAAGTTATATTTAGAAACAAGACGGGTAATTTTGAGAGGCCCTGGAAGAGGTACGTAAAAAGCACATTTTTAACACGCGCGAGTAGATAATTCCGGCTCTTTGTTTTTCTTCTTAAATCATTTTTAATGAGTAAATTCAAACGTAGAATAACATGTTTAGACATTTTATTATTCCTTTGCTATTCATATATGTCAAATAAAAAAATATTTTTTATCAGAAATTTTCAATAAGGGCAGTTACTTTTATACAATGTTATGTAAAAAAACAACAAAAAACTCGGATACTTTTTAGCTCACCTGTCACAATGTGACAGGGTGAGCTTTTGTGATCGCTTTTCGTCCGTCGTCCGTCCGTCCGTCCGTCCGTCCGTCGTCCGTAAACTTTTACTTTAAACGACATCTCCTCATAAACCGCTGAGCCAATTTCATCCAAACTTCACAGGAATGTTCCTTTGGTGGTCACCTTTAAAAATTGTTCAAAGAATTTAATTCCATGCAGAACTCTGGTTGCCATGGCAACCGAAAGAAAAAACTTTAAATATCTTCTTTTAAAAAACCATAAGAGCTAGAGCTTAGATATTTGGCATGAAACATCTTCTTGTGAGTGTCTACCAAGTTTGTTCAAATAAAAGCCCTGGGGTCAAAATTGGCCCCGCCCCGGGGGGTCATTGATTTTCCCTATATGCATATAGTAAAAACTTAAAAAATCTTCTTTTAAAGAACTCAAAGAGCTATGGCTAAGATATTGAGCATCAAACATGTTCTAATAGGTGTCTACCAAGTTTGTTCAAAGAAAAGCCCTGGGGTCAAAATTGGCCCCGCCCCAGGGGGTCATTGATTTTCCCTATATGCATATAGTAAAAACTTAAAAAATCTTCTTTTAAAGAACCAAAAGAGTTAGAGCTAAGATATTTAGCATGAAACATGTTCTAATAAGTGTCTACCAAGTTTGTTCAAATAAAAGTCCTGGGGTCAAAATTGACCCCGCCCCGGGTGTCATTGATTTTCCCTATATATGCATATAGTAAAAACTTAAAAAATCTTCTTTTAAAGAACTCAAAGAGATATGGTTAAGATATTTAGCATCAAACATGTTCTAATAGGTGTCTACCAAGTTTGTTCAAATAAAAGCCCTTGGGTCAAAATTGGCCCCGCCCCGGGGGTCATTGATTTTCCTTATATGTGTATAGCAAAAACTTAAAAAATCTTTTTTGAAAAAACCCAAATAGCTAGAGTTAAGATATTAAGCATGAAACATCTTTTAGTGAGTGTCTACAAAGTTTGTTCAAATAAAAGACCTGGGGTCAAAATTGGCCCCGCCCCGGGGTCATTGATTTTCCTTATATGTGTATAGCAAAAACTTAAAATCTTCTTTGAAAAAAACCAAATAGCTAGAGTTTAGATATTAAGCATGAAACATCTCCTAGTAAGTGTCTACAAAGTTTGTTCAAATAAAAACCCTGGGGTAATAACTGGCCCAGCCCCAGGGGTGTCATTGTTTTTAACTATATGTGTATAGTAAAAACTTAAAAAAAAATCTTCTTTTAAATAGCCCAATGAGCTAGAGCTTAGATGTTTAGCATGAAATATCTTCTTATGGGTGTCTACCAAGTTTGTGCAAATAAAAGCCCTTTGGTTGAATTGGCCCTGCAACGTTTGGGGGGTTTGGGGGGCCTATATACAGGTGAGCGACCTCAGGGCCATCATGGCCCTCTTGTTTGTAAAAAGACATGCATTTTCATTTATTAACATACGAAATATGTAGTTTAAGAATTAGTGATTCAAAATTATTTTGGCTTGGGTAACTTCGTAATTTAACAGAGTGAAGAAGAAATTAATTTAGTGGTATTCAGCCTACACAATAACATATATAAAGGAGCATTTAACATCAGTTTGTCAATCCATTGCACTAAAAGATTACATTTGTGATTATTTGTGCAATCAGACTTTTTCTGAGTTTGCAAGACAAAATTGAGTCTAAATTCATCTACAAAATGTATCCGTGAACATTGTCTGTTTTACCGGTAGTCGGTCAATATATAAAAGTAACCCCTTACGGGCCTCAAAATGAGCATCTACTGCGCATGCGTACAGCAATCAGATTTCCCATAATATATATAGGCATGTTTTTTAAACAAACGGGTAAATGTCTGTGCTATTTTTTAAATATCTTACCAAACTTGACAAAATTTCCAGATATTGTCTAATTCCAGCGTTTGTACAAGATGGTGAGCTTGATTACATTAAAAAAGCCGATAAGTCGATTTAATTATAAAAAGCCGAGTTTATCAACCAGCCGAAGTTATCTCCCCAACCAGTATGCTTCATATTCCTGTATTAACACCTAGATGTCTAGGGGTGGGATTTATTTTTATGGATTTCATTGTTAGTGAAAGCTGCAAAGGCGTGTTGATGCAATTTGCAGACTATTTCTTTAACAATAAATTAGTAAATGTATATAGTGGTCGAAATATCTTATTTGATTACAGTGATGGAAATGAGCCAAGAAGTAGTTCACCAGTCGCCATGGATACCACAGAACCTAGCTCAAGAACAAATGCTTACTGTAAGTTGAACATTTTAAACACTAGCTTTCTGATACCTCAAGTGTAGAAGTTAGGGCAGCCTGTCTTCATATTTATGATGTCTGACCAAACTTTTAACATGCATAATTTAAGTACAAAATGTAATAGATTTTACTAGCTTTGAATTTGGAACATTCAATTCAAACTTAATTTGAATAATAGATCATTTCAGACTTTCCATTTTGGAATTGTAATGTGATGTCAAACACATCGTGACATGTATTAGGTATATTTCTGTACATCAGTTATCAGTGTTTTGTAATGTTTCAGTGGCCAGTAACAAAGAAATAGATTTAAAGTTAGAAAGTGTGGACACGACGGAAGAAGATTTAGGAACTGATGTTGATAAACTTGTAGAGGCTAATAGTGAATCAGACTCTAGTTCAAAACAGGAACAATCAAATACTGACACTTCTAGTGATAATAGTGAAAATGTCAAGACGGAGGCTGGCTCACAATCTAGTTCACAGACTGGGTCACAATCTAATAAACAGACTGGGTCAACGTCTAGTACACCGGCTGGTTCTCAGTCTCCTGATGGAAATAAATCAGAGAACCAGTCTTCACCAGACACAACACAGACACAGTCAAAAATTCCAGAAAAGGCTGAAAGGTATATTTCTTCTTTTTTTTCGCATGCTTTAATTTTATATTATAGCGGCTTTACTCCTTTGCCAGAAAAAAAATCTTTTGTTCGTTTAGCTTGCATTGCCATGTTCAGTTATTTTCTACTTTATTGCTCTGGACGGTAAATTCATTGGTAATTTATTATGACAGCATGTGAAGTTAATGAGCTTCTTGCTCTGTTGAGACTGTATGAAGGAAGGCTGACGGTGTAAGTGTTACCTAATTTGCTGGCCATTTCATTATGCATGACAGCTCTTGTATATAGTGAATTCATATACTCTTTTTTACCTTTATTTATGTGTAGTTGTATGTGTATTAAAACAAGAAACTTATTTACTACTATTAGTCCGTCTGAGAAGCCCCCCACACCACCATCTAGTCCCTTGCCAGAGGATGAAGGGGCGGAGCCAGTGCCCGAGTCCCCTAGATCTCCCCCAACCCCTAGTACAGACTGTGATTCCGATAAGCTAAACCCAGATACAAATGCACAAGGCGATGGGTATGTATTGTACATAACTTCCTACAGTTTATAGTTGCAGTGTCAAGTCATCAGTCGCTTTGACTAATTTACATATCAAATATTCATTTAATTACGTTGAAATTCACTTTTTATGTATAAGATATATAGTGTAGACAAAACAGTTTTTGTATTATTTCTTTGCATGACCTTTAATTTAGGTTTTAGGCACCCATTTTAATTTTTTCATCTTTTTTAGAGCACTATTTTATGCATCATAGAATATAGATATTCACATAAGTAATATATACATTACACAAGAACTTAGTTATTTCTACATATATATGTATGGGTTTGTTGAGATATTTGTTGCTTTTGGTTTAAACTCTTTTATTTTGGATGAGTAATTATTAATACAGGGCTCACATGTCTGTCATGTTGTTTATTTTTTCATATATTTAAATGAGCCGCGTCATGACAAAACCAACATAATGGGTTTGCGACCAGCATGGATCCAGACCAGCCTGCGCATTCGCGCAGTCTGATCAGGATCCATGCTGTTCGCTATCAGTTTCTCTACTTGTTATAGAGTATATAAGCGAACAGCATGGATCCTGATCAGACTGCGCAGATGCGCAGGCTGGTCTGGATCCATGCTGGTCGCAAACGCATTACGTTGGTTTTGTCGTGACGCAGCTCAAATGTATTCAGTGTATGCTATGTTTTAAGGTGTAACACAAATGAGCAACAAGAGTCGCCTGATGATGATCTTAATTCTAACTTTAAGTGAGTCTGGTTAGCACTAACCATGTTGTCATCTCTAAGCTGTTCTGTATTGTATTACCTTGTTACTATTTATAGCTATTGTGATTGGCTTATTATGTTATTAATCAGAGTTAACGTTTGCTGTAATTTCATTATTTACGGTACAGACAAAATCTTAAAAAAACTTAATTTTGCCACCTGTATAAAGCCAGCCCAGCCTGCACACCATTGTAGTCTGACTTTATACCTGTGGCATGGTCAAGTTGTTGTAGATGCAAGTATTCAAAATTCTTAACAAATCTTTAAATATATTTTTAAACAGTTTCTATGCCAGTTTAAAATAAAATAAAAGAATAATATTGCAAATTGCACTCTCTTTATTTAACTGATGTTTGATTTGAATTAGTTTTTGAACCAAGGTGTAAAGTATTGATTGGTACTGTTAATCTATTGGGTCAAAATAGATACGGAACATTTTAATGAAATTACAGTAAACTGGTGTAAAGTGTTTTTGTCCTAACTGCTTGTAACTAGCTTGTGTCACCATTGATTGATGATATGAAAATGTCATTGGTTTCAAGAGATTGTTATGTTATGAAAGTTTTTCCATTTATCTACTCTCAATTCTAACAAAACAGTATGGAATAGTATTTCTTACCTTTCTTTGCATCTCTGAAATTGCTCTCAATTTTCCATCAAGTTTTTTTTTGTGTGTAAAATATAATAAGCTAGCATGGAAAACAAATTTAGAAGGATAGAATGAATTTCATTTGTAAATGTTCCCATCTCCCCTCTATAAATTGGATGAAAATTACTTGAGTTCTTGTCATTTGAGTAAAGATGAATTGTGCCTAGATGCTGATATTTATTTATTGTAATGCTTATGATGAAATGCACACCATACTTCAGTTAAAGTATGCTACAATTAAGCTAGCTTATAAAAGGTCAGCAATTCTACCCAGTGCTTGCTTATGCTTGTAGCTCACACAAGGTCTTTGCCTGTATGACTTGAGTCATTTTATGGCCGGATGTCTTGAGTTTATGATATTTAAATCCTAACAAAAAAAAACAAAACAAAAAACAGTTCATATTTCGAGCACAATTTTGTTTTAATGGGGAACTGGTTGTCTTTTTGAATGATACAGTACTGGTAGTTTTGATAGAATATTTATATTGTAGAAGAAAGTATTATCATAATGTATGCTATAGATTGTAGAATTGAATAGTCCTGGGCTTTTATTTGCTACCCCACTAGATTTTAAAACCAAAGGACACACTGTTTTATGATGTTGAATTTTGATGTTATAACATTTTTACCTTGAAAGTTGTTATGTATTTCCATAACCCTGATCATCTTGAAATACTAATTCAAGAAAAACACTATTGTGTGTAAGCAATTTACCTCTCTTTGTTAATTGAAGAAAAACATTGTAACTGGTGAAAGTTCTTTTATTGAATGTATATTTTATGAGTGAAGTCTTAAAGAATATATTCAATGCACATATGATATAATTATGTATGTACATGCACATATAATTGAGTTAACTGCTTTATTAATAAATAAAGGAATAGGATATTTAATAAAAAGAGGCTGTTCTGCTAACTTACAGGTCAGTAGTTCTACCAAGATTTACCAATAGGCATCTTGCATCTTTCAATTACAATTTAATATATAACAAAAAAATATAGGGGAGAAAAACAAGCTTTGAATAGTTATCATAAATTTGATAGTATTATTAACTAACAATACATTGACTCTTTAACAAGCATGTGCAAAGTTGTAAATCATAATTTGTGTATAGAATTCTAAGCAAAATCATGTAGTTATTATTTTATATACCTAATAATAATACAGTAAAAAAGGAAAATGATATTAAATACTTTAACCAGTATTTCTAGGAAAGCATGTATTATGTCGAAGTATCAATATAAGTTATAACTCTCATTTACAAAGACTTGTGACATAGTTAATAATGGGATATTGTATTTTCCAGTTTCCTGACCAAAGTGGGACTTATGAAACCAGCGGGTGCTCCTAATTGTGTGACTCCTGGTCAAGCAGATATTCAGGGAAATGGACCAACGAAAGATACCCCCGATATATCATCGGATAAACTAGAAGAATTAAGGTAGACTTTGAGTTTATTACTTAAATCTTCTACATATAATGGTTGGTCAAAACGGTTTACCTTTAGTGCTTATATGCCAATATTAAGATGGGGTTGAAGGAAAGTTATTTCTAGATGAGAGCCCAGGAACACTTGTTTTCTCTAACTACAACAAGGTATATATCTGAATATCGTCATTATAGCACGGAAGAGAGGGGGTTAAGTATACGGACTTTGGATTTGTGAGGTCAAGACCTAGGCAAGGCACCCAAAAAATAATTTAGTTTGCTATCATTTAGTCTTCCATTCCTATTTCAATTATCCTATGTGGAGATGTTGGCAGTTGCTTGTAGAGAAACAAATGATTAGCCTGTACTGGTGCCAATAGGAACAAAGTTTAACTTACACTGAATGGAACTAACCATAGCAAACTTTCTATTCTACCTTGAGACATAATGTATACAAACTTAGTTAGTACAATATGTGAAATTTAGATTTTAACTTATCAAAAGAAAATGTTTCTATGCAACAAAAAGGTTTGGTACAAACTAAAGTCAGTGTAGCACCTCAGTTAACTCCAAGATAAAAAAAGATCAATAAAATAATGTGGTGCAAAAATATTAACATTTGTACAAGTTAAGTTAAATTATTAAGCTGTATTTTGTTTTCAGGGCTCAGGCAAAAGATGCTTTAGAATCATTTGATACAGCAACTCAATCTGGTGCCAATGTTCAGAATGGTCCGGTTTGATATTTCCCCACTACACACAGACTGGTGTAAAAAGTAAACCTAATTCATGTTATAATACTGTGATTACACGGCAGCTGTGTATATAAGTCTGTCTGTTTTAACACTCGTCGTGTGTTAACACGTACATGTGTAAACCTAACAATGTTGTTCAACCTGGTGAACAGAGTCTGACCTTGACATTAAAACTTGAAGGTCAGTGTTACTATATATAGTAATGATGAAATAATGTGAACAGTATCGACCTTGAAAGGTCAATGTTACTATATATAGACATAAATTAATGCTGTGATCATGATTGGACATTTTTCTGGATTTGTTTGGAGAATTGTGTTACATAGATGATAACGAAGGCTTGTAGTGGAGTTGGCTAGAATTAGAAAAGCTGATGACTGTAGCAAGAATAAGGAAAGCACACGCATAGTGGATTATCTAATTGCACAATAATGCATGTAACTATAGCCAAGGATGCGAATCCGGTTTTATTTTAGTTTGTAATTTTGTTTAAAAAAAAGTTCATAATGGGTTTTAGCTAGTTTGTTTGTTTTAAACATGTGTATAGAATATTGAAGAATTGACGAGCTTAAAATGAGCTCAACCCTAGTCTGAATAGAGAGCTCAGATTGTTATATTAATCATTTAACAGTTGTTGATATCATCGGTAGCTTCCGTACTCGATAACTAGGCTCACCAGAAATGAAACATTTAAGGTTATTCTCTGGTCCCTGCAAAACCTGTTAAATTACTGTACATTTATATATATATATATGAGGTTGTGTAATTTAACATATTTAAATATTTTTAGTCAGGATAGAAACTAAGACCATATGTGTTAATTTGTGAGTCATGTCTGTTGTTTTGTGTCCTGGTAGATAAGACCAAAAATAATACTGAAAGTATTTAACAAAATCTGCTGGGCACTGTTAAAATCAACTGTGACATCGCAAACAAACATGCGTATTCAGCTGCCTCTGGTTATTGGTTCTGTGTCGTGGTTCATCCTGTACTGAAAATAAAATCTATTGGGCGTTTATTCAATAAATACATTAAACTTGGTGTTCTACATGTATATAAAGTCATGCTTTGAGTCATAAAACCATACAACAGGTTGAAATCATTTCATATTAAAAAACAACAGTAATGAAAATTAAAGTGTGAATGGTCCTGTACAAATCATAAAGTCCAAACTTATATGTAGTGTCCGTCTACTAGAGATTTCATCTTGAAAAATGGTGCTTTGTTCAATTCATTTATTGTTGAGAAGTAAGAGAAATTTTCTCATTGGCCTATGTATGTACAATAAATAGGCATGTCATAGTCTGTGATTTATGGAAAGTATTTTTCATAAGGAAACAAATAATTAAAGTGTGATAATTTTACCTGTTCACATTTTTTTTAATAGTTTTTATTAGATTTCTTGTGTTAATACTCAAAAAGTGAACTTTTACGAAATCCTGATACATTTCTATATGACTGTCAATTTTGTTTCTGTGGAACTGTAACAAAAGATTTCAGCACATAATTTAATTTATTATCCCCCTGGTTTGATAGTATAATGTTTTGACATAGTATAGGTAAAAGTAAACTTGTGTCCCAATATAAGCTATCAAAAGTACTTCATAATCCAATAGATGGTTGCGCAATTAAAAGAAATTTGACCAATGACAGACTGTTTAATTTGAGATTGTGTATCTGACACTGTGATTGGTTGAAAGTTCTGATTGATCTCATTTCGTATGCAAATTGTTTATACTGATACATAAATCATTGAAAAACAGGAAAACAGGTCAACTTTTATACTAATTTATGTTGGTAGGTTACGAATTATGGTATGAATGTAAACGTTTGAATGTCTTTTATATGATATACTGGTTGAGGAATAGTTTCATTTAAACTTTTTTTGCAAAGATCTTGTTTAAAATTTATTCTACAAAGGATGGTCAGTATTTTGAAGAGGCACTGATAAACTGGCTTAAATGTATATGGAAATTGTTTTTTTTTTAAAAGCATGTATATTTGAGTTTTTTTATCCCATGTGCAACTTTAAACAGCTGAAGTCATGTCTTGTAGATTGAACAAAGATCTGTCATTTAAGTTCACAGTAAAAAAAATCTACAACCCCTATTTGTTGACTGTTCAATCCATTATTATCTTAATGAAAACGAGTCCATCCACTTCCTCATTGCAGGCATTGTGCAAATGTGCCAAATATACATGATACAGGCACCAGGGATGTGTTTCATAGAAAGTCTTAAGTCAGTCTTAATAACACAACTAAGACAATAGAAAACTTACGACTCAAAAATTTCTGATTAAACATTCACACATTGCAAATTAAAGCCCATGCCATTCTATTTCTTTACTTTCTTAGGAATATGGATTTGATTATAAAGTCCTAGGACTTGGGATACATTTAGGACTTTCTTTGAAACAAGGCCCAGCCATCAATATGTACATCCACAAACTTGATACTCTAAACTTGTTTTTTTTTTGTGGAGCCATCTTCACATTTTCTTTTTGTTTTAATTTTTCCTTTAAAATTTCAGGTTATAAATTTATTTTAAAGTTTAATGGAAGCTGACTGTATAAAGGAGCTGTCAATTGTTAGAGTAGAATAGATTATCAAGAGTTTTGTATTAGTAATATTATATACAAATTATATATTTGTTTAAAAAAATTGTGCATTTATTTATAATTTTTGTTAAAATCACTTGCTCTAACATTTTAGTTTTATCATGTAGTTATTCATATCATTAAATGTCCTGTCTCAGATTTTATTTTCACTTTTAGTTAACTGAACACAATTTGATGGAAGTCCTTTGTCTTGTGCTGTGCTTTTTTTCCTTTTTTTAAATTTTATTTGACGCAAATGAAAAATATGCTTTGTTTTTGAAGTCCTATCTAATACTTAACTAAATATTAATAAATTGTTGATGTTAAAAAATTGTTTTATGAATCAGATTAATGAGTGAAAAAGATGTCCATGGCAGGGCGGTTAAGGTTTCCAATTTTGAACCACTTGCAACAGTTGGTTTAAAACCTGATAGGGACTTGACAATTTTATGTGAGGAAGCTTCACAGCTTGCTATATGAAGGTTGTTTTACGTGACCCTACTTGATGGCTGAAATATTGCTCTTAGGGGTTTTCCTTCCAGTTAAGCTAGAAAGTGGCCATAAAAAAATCCAATGACAAGAGATTATTTGTAAATTGTATGTAACTGCAGAATTATATGCTTGTTTTGACATAATTCGATTAGATTCCAGTGTCTGTAATATTTTGTTCATTTGAAAATGTTATTTGTGCCAAAAGGAAATCAATAAGTAAGTCATTCTGCTTTAAACCCAATCTTAGTAGTTTATGTGGTGAAATCTATGTTAAACATTATTGAGCTTTGGACAGCACAAGCCATCTGTTTTATTTGGTCATAGCATTTTATTTACTTAACTGTTGTTATACTCATATTAAAACTGATTTTCTTAATAAACAAATCTTTAAGCTATTAACAATAATCAACAAAAAATGTTTTAATTTATATAGTGTTTATTTATATTTAAAATATTTTGCCATAATGTTATTTTATCTTTTTTTTAAAAAATAAAACAAAACAATGGATTAATCAAAAATGCAAGTACAATTTATTAAATTCTAAGAAAATTAAATGTGCACATTTCATTTATGAGTAAATTATATTATCTATCAGAAGTGTTAGGAAGATAAATCTTCAAATGTCAGAATGCTGTACACCCAAGTGTCAGAATTTCATGAACAAGATACTTGTTAGGTCCATCCTCTAAACATTGGTACTAGGTATATACATGCTTTCTGTCAGGGTCATAACCAAATGTTTGAATGTTGCATGTGTTCTGAAACCGGTATTTTAGTATATGAAAGCTGCATTATGTCAGATGTTGTACACTAATATATGAAAGATGTTATTTTAAATGTCATATGAAACATTGTGAGAATGTCATTATCTGGTATATGAGATGTTTGCTGACATAATGGCATATACCAGTTAATGAACGGTACATGATGTCTTAATGTTGTATACAAGTATGCAAACAGAACATTATGTCTGAATGTCATGTACCTGTTCATGAATGGTACATTTTGTCTAAATGTTGTATGTACCTGTTTATGATAAGTGCATTATGTCTGAATGTCATGTACCTGTTTCTGACATGTGCATTATGTCTGAATGTCATGTACCTGTTAATGAAGAGTGCATTATGTCTAAATGTCATACACGTTTCTGAACAGTACATTATGTCTAAATGCCATAAACCAGTTAATGCAATGTGTATTCTGTCGGAATCATGTATCGGTAAGTTTAAGGTCACAAGTCAGAATTTTTTAATTCCCAGTATTTGAAGTGTTCTGTTGTAATAGTTATATGAATGGTAAATTATTTCAAAATGTTGTTATATACCCGTTCATGAAAGGTACATGTCATATATTCTAGGATATGAAAGTCGTACCGTCTTCTACCAATGTATGGACAAAACATGAACTTGAAATGTCATACATTAACATATATGTAATTTTACACAATACTTTATCAGATGTAGTTCACTCTAAGCCAAAGCCATGTAGCATTGCCACATAGTATGTAAAGTGCAAGAAAAGAATAGAAATATATTAAAAAAGCCTTTAAATAGGGTTGTTGCATAATTAAAATAAAACATGTTCATATAGAAATAAGATGTATTTTTTGTTTTTACAAAATGTGTTAATTCTTAATCATTGTTTCTTTAATTATTATTATTTTTTGCTTTTTGTTACCAAAGATTATCTGTAAATATTGACATTGGTAGCAAAAGGTATTATTGAAATGTTGTTAGGGATAATGAACACACTTCTAAAACTTTTTTAAAATAAAAAAAAACCTTGTTAACATAAAGTTGTAATTTATTTCTATGCTGTATATAGAAAGTATTTTATGTGTGAATCAAACAGAGAAATGTACTATAAGAGTGTTATTTTGTCTCTTGATCATAGATTTCCACATAATCTACCTGTATCATGAAAAAAAAATATGAAATAATAAAATTCTGATGCAGAAATGTTTTCCTTATAATTTACGAAGATGAAATTAAAATATATTAGTACAATATTAACAATATTATCAAGGTCATTTATGAGTGAAGGTCATGGTCTTCTGCTCAACTTGAAGGTCTATCCTTAAAGATTGCTGTGTTCAAGTTTAGAGACAATCCATTCAAAAATAACAAAGTTATAGCCATTTGACCTTGATGGTCAAGGCCACTTATGAATGAAGGCCCAAGTTAAATCTGGTCTACTTGCAGGTCTCTCTCACAGGTTTTTGTGGCAAAGTATGAGGATGATACACCTGGAACTTTAAAAGTTATGAACAAGGTTGCAGAAGGCAATGGGAACAATCAATGCCTCTAAAAATTTTTCATAGAAAAAAGTTCAGGTATAAATCATTACCCTGGTGTAAATTATTAGGTCTTTACCGCAGAGCAGAAATATTTCTCATGTAGCATATTAAGATAAATACCAAGTGTAATTTATATGACCCCTTCCATTAAATGGTGAGTGCTGTGAGTTAGTTGCATATCCCAAGTGTTCGAAAAAAAGAAAATTCGTGACTGATTTATACTTCATGCATGATGGGATTTTAAAACATATTGGTTCACATGACCACCACTAGCCGATGATGTGTCACATGCAATACTCTGGTTCCTCCGTCAAATTTAAAGGTCAAAGCAGGCGAATATATATACCAATGAGGGGGAAACAACAAAAAACAACACAATGGTATTTTAAATCATCAAAATTTATCCTGAGACAATGTCCTTCATTAGAACATTTTCTAACATACAACATCATTATTATTGAGAACGTCTCACCAAAAATATATATATTTATAACAATTATCTTTTTCTCAACAACTACACAAAATATAATCAAAGCATATACATGTACACAAAAAATAAAATGCATCCGAACTAATAGTAATTTACAGACTTTACAAAGTAACATGCTTTTCAGGGTGACTTAAAAACAAAAATGGAGGAAAGATTTCAATTTAAATCTCACTAGAGTTTTGCCTTAAAAGTTACGTCAGGCTTGCCTTAAATCTCCGTACAGGCTTCCCTTATATTTCCCTACAGGCTTGCCTAAAAGAAGACAATTTCTAGCCTGGTTACAAGCCTTTATGTAACCTAATCACAATAATAAAAATATGAACAATTCTTGCTGAACATAAGTACCTAAGTAATTCCAGTGTTAAAATTTTACCTCGTGTCTAATGAATTAGTAAACACACTCGGTCTACCTTCCAAAAACCTGGCAGTGTTTTGAAAGAAAAAAGAAACGAAATAAGAAAGACGTTTTTGTATTTACAACAAGATATAGCACTAGTTGAAAAATAAATACTTCTAGAAAGAATAAAAACCCTCCAGTGACAACAGGAAAATTTTAATTTTAACATTTGTGTTTGTACAACTTGTCGGCAAAAGGGTTTGCTTGTAGTCTGTATCATCCAGATGTTTCGGGAAGTAAAATGCAAACGTCTGGATGACTTAGACTAGATCAATTATTTTATTTGTGACAATTTAGATTGTAAGGTACAAGTAGGAAAAGGTAAACGAGCCATGTGAGACTCTAGATCCGTTTATTCTGCCCAGTTTGTTTATTAGATTTCCCCGCTCCAAAGAATTTGCCTACTTTCATATCAACTGGAAAAATCATGGGAATCTTATTTGTTAACATTTTGCTTGCATAAAAATAACCTATAAAAATAAAAAAAATCTATGTAAATAAAGTCTAAGTACTTTTCCACTTCTATGCTAAATTTGAATAAAAGACAACTTGTCTTTCTATAATCTTTAACCTGTTGTTTATATGTACTGAATGTCTTGTTTGAATTTGGAACAGTCCATCCGAAAATAAAGGGATTTGAATATCAAAGTTGTAAAATACAAATTTAGAATTTTTAACAATATATAAAGCCTGGTCAGATAGCGTGGAATCCGATGTGCATGCTAGATTGGCTTAATACTGATGATAAAGGCTACTCCTTTACCAATGTTTAATAACTTACTCTATGCAGATGCATGTACCAAAACAAGTGCGATATTTTGAAATACAGCTATGTTCCATACGTTGGTGAAGATTTATTACTTTTGGTTCAAGCTCTAATTGATACTTTATTTTGGTACAAGTAACATAGAAATACTATTATAACATTATTTGGTACCAGTAAAGCAGAAATAATACACTTTAAACCTAACTAAAGTAAAATGAAATAAATAAACATGAAGAATGATAACTTAGAAATTAATAATAGTATTATAAATGAAGAAATATTGTAAATATACAATGTTAACTAAGATACACAAGTACATGTATGGGACACTCAGACCTTATATTTTTCCATAACATGTTTAAATTGATTATTATCTAATAAATAACCTAGTCTACATTATTTAAACATTACGTACATTGTACATGTACACACTGAATGGGCTATGATATATCTGATATAGTAAACATGTAAATGTATATTATTAGCAGATTATATGGTCGTATATATTGGTTGTTTGCATAGTGGCTCAGGTTAAATGCAAACAACCATTTATATATGGCCATAAAACCTGTCTGAAATCTTTATATCTTATTTAAAATACAGCAAATCCCTTTTTACAGAAAAAACTGAGATTTTTTTCACCTATTGAAACCAACAATGTATATAAAACTACATAAACATCATGATTATCTAGTTACAAACGATGTTACTGTGCAGTACTATAAACATTTATATTTGAACATTTTCAAGCTAACAAATGAACACCTGGTAATGTTTGAGTATTTACTTTAGTTATATTAACTTGAAAAACATACAATATTTTAAAAACAAATTTTATCGTCACACAACATTCAACCCTGTCTTTTCATTGTATTCGACCTATCTTAACACTAAAACTGACAGACCCAAGTGTGGGCCAGCCTGCATATCCACGCAGTGTGTCCAGACTTTTTACTGTTGTTTTTTGGTAGCTCAATTTTTGTATTATTGACATTAAAATTCCTTAAAACTTTGGATAAACAGTTAAAACTGTTCATAATTAAAACAGGGCAAATCCATTACACAAATTCATCAGGGTAGAAAGCAATTTAATGGAACTATTTCAATTTACTAAAATGATTCTGAATATATTTTGTCCATGGTGCTGTGCCATGGTACCCCTACGTCCATTATTTCATGCTCAAACGGGCACCTGAGTAGAACCACTGACATTCCCTAAGCTAGCTGAAGTACAACCTCACATGAAAGAACTGGATGTGTTGTTTGAATTTGCGGGATTCGAACCCACAGGGGTGAGTGACAAGTCAACAACCTAAACAACTCTAATCACGGACGCCCCAAACTTGTAGAATAAATAAGGCTCACGTAATATAAACATATTAAACTCTTTCAATATCCTCCATAAATTACAATAAAGCTTTTATAAAGAGTTACTTATAATGATTGCTTATATGGATGACGATGTAATTGGTAAGTTTAATGCTGTCGAGACTCTAAAGACAGATCAACATTTATTAAACCAAACACAATAAAAACAATATGCCATAAATTTATCAATATGGGTGAAAATTATGACAAGAAATATTGCTTAGATTTAATTAATGAAATGAAAAAAAGTTAAACAAACAATATAAAGGAAAGAAATCAATTCAAAAATTCTGAAATAAGCTCAAATATTACATTGTTGATGTACCTATTTCAATAGCAAAAATGATGAACAATAATCAAAAATATATAAGCATTCTGTACAACAATAATTGTAATTGAAAAATAAAATAAAAATTGGGCAAAACATTTTACAGGATAAAATAAATAAAGGCCTCTGTCTTCCGAATCAAAATAAGATTAAGATTTCTTCAATAGGTGTTCTTTTCTGTTGGGTCTTAAGTGTATATGAAGACCCAAGATGCCAATCCGTGCATTATTTCAGGCATAAATAAGCACCAGAGTGAATCATGACCTTCAGTAAGTCTGCTGAATAGCTTCCCCAAATTCAAGAATTCGAAATACCTTGTAAAATTCACACCCACAGCAATGAGGAGCCAATTGTTCAATCAGTGACCTTCATAGCTCGACCATGGAGGGCTCATGTTCATATTTAATTTTATAATGAACACTGATTTGTTATTTTACTTTATTCAGAGACATAGATAAATATCTATGTCTCTGCTTTATTAACAGTTATGTTTGTAGAGTGATGTATTAAAAAAGTTGGCCTTTTTAAGAATCCGTTAATGTTTTAATTTTTCCATGAACATGATCATCTGACTTAAAATCAAGACATCATTTTTGCTCTTGTTTATAAAATATTTTTGATAACAACTGACATTCTGTAAGGTAGTTTCCCATGAAAGAAGTTGCTGAGAGAATTTGAACCCAGACAATGAGACTGTAAAAAGTCTTGACATATATGGCTAAAAACTACAAGCCGTTATAATGTGAAATGAACTGATATGTTACATTGTATTCATGATTTGAATGGATGAAAATTCATATATATATACATGTAGATATTACATAACAAAAATGCTAGAGCACCAAAAATCATTTTTTTATCTTAACCAGATAAATTTGCGCAACAGATTTGTCATGTTTTCAATCAAGAACTGTCCACTGTAAAAGATCGGAGAATTTTAACCCTGAATCTGCTGAACCAGTAATGTATAGTGTTTACCACCTGTATAGAGCCAGCCCTGAATCTGCTGAACCAGTAATGTATAGTGTTAACCACCTGTATAGAGCCAGCCCTGAATCTGCTGAACCAGTAATGTATAGTGTTAACCACCTGTATAGAGCCAGCCCTGAATCTGCTGAACCAGTAATGTATAGTGTTAACCACCTGTATAGAGCCAGCCCTGAATCTGCTGAACCAGTAATGTATAGTGTTTACCACCTGTATAGAGCCAGCCCTGAATCTGCTGAACCAGTAATGTATAGTGTTAACCACCTGTATAGAGCCAGCCCTGAATCTGCTGAACCAGTAATGTATAGTGTTTACCACCTGTATAGAGCCAGCCCTGAATCTGCTGAACCAGTAATGTATAGTGTTAACCACCTGTATAGAGCCAGCCCTGAATCTGCTGAACCAGTAATGTATAGTGTTAACCACCTGTATAGAGCCAGCCCTGAATCTGCTGAACCAGTAATGTATAGTGTTAACCACCTGTATAGAGCCAGCCCTGAATCTGCTGAACCAGTAATGTATAGTGTTAACCACCTGTATAGAGCCAGCCCTGAATCTGCTGAACCAGTAATGTATAGTGTTAACCACCTGTATAGAGCCAGCCTGAATCTGCTGAACCAGTAATGTATAGTGTTAACACCTGTATAGAGCCAGCCCTGAATCTGCTGAACCAGTAATGTATTGTGTTAACCACCTGTATAGAGCCAGCCCTGAATCTGCTGAACCAGTAATGTATAGTGTTAACCACCTGTACAGAGCCAGCCCTGAATCTGCTGAACCAGTAATGTATAGTGTTAACCACCTGTATAGAGCCAGCCCTGAATCTGCTGAACCAGTAATGTATAGTGTTAACCACCTGTATAGAGCCAGCCCTGAATCTGCTGAACCAGTAATGTATTGTGTTAACCACCTGTATAGAGCCAGGCATTGGTGGTGGTGTTGGTAGTTTACCCTCCAGATCACAGCAGTAAGCCAATTTAAATTAACCAGAGCACAGTTGATCCACTGCATCGTTCCTGGGCAAGCTGTCGAGCAGTTTACCAGAACTAGATGCCTTCACTTTCGTAAGGAACTGCTAACCTCTGTACATGCAAGGGCAGAGGGGTAGAGAGTGAATGGCCGTAGAAATAATCTCATGATCAATCACAATCAAAGTGACCTGCACTGTTTGGGTATCAAACCTGTGTCATCAGATTCACAGTCAAACACTCTACCTTCTGAGCTAACTAGACAGCTCTTATAGAGCCAGGCAATTTGTCAGGCTCAAAATTTGTATTTGGACTGTTCCAAATTCGGAGCAGGGCAAATCAATTACACAAATTTAGCAGATTAAGGGTAAAAATCCAACTATAAAATTAAGCTTACACAAGAATGAAATACAGCAAACTTAAAGCTGAAATGATTTTGGATCTAAATAGGAATCTAAGTAATGACTGTTACATTAACAAGGAACAGTTCTTGTTCCAATGCAAGACAAATGTGTTACACAAAATCTGCAGAAAATAAATGGATGACTTGATATATATTTGTACTTCTATACAAAGAATAATAGAACAACTTACATTTTTGAATTGTTCAACTTAAAAAAGAAAATGTTTCTTACATAACCAATGTATTAGATCTAACTTAGTAAGAAAACCAAACAACAAACAAATACTTAAATCCTAATTGAGCCGTGTCATGACAAAACCAACATAGTGGGTTTGATCCAGACCAGCCTGTGCCTCCGCGCAGTCTGATCAGGATCATTGCTGTTTGCTATCAGTTTCTCTACTTGTAATAGGGTTTTAAAGCGAACATCATGGATCCTGATCAGACTGCGCGGATGTGCAGGCTGGTCTGGATCCATGCTGGTCACAAACGCATTACGTTGGTTTTGTCATGACGCGGCTCAATTAAAGAAAAACACATACAAAAAAACCCTAAACTTTTACAGAACATGAACATTATGAAATTTTCTTTTCATTAAAAAAGTAAAAATTTGTAAGTTAAAAGGATAATACTATAAGTAAAGAAATTACTACCAGCACAGATCCAATTCTTCAAAACAACGATAGAGATCATTTATAACTACAGAAAAAAACAACAACATGAAATTCTAGCTACAGTCAAACCTGTATGTACAAGTCACTTGAAGTTAATTATTGTTAAGATACAGTCTATCACAAACACGGAAATTAATACTCCATTATCTAATCAAAGTGCAAACAAAAAAACACTGGCAGTTTAATGAGGAAATGAGACAATATTCAAGGTTATTAAGTGGCCATCTTTTATGCAAAGATTATTAGTTTAAACATATTTATTTAAGCTTGACTGTGAAAAAAGTTCTTGCAACTTATATTAATCACTTTTGAGTCCGCTGCCTGAAACCAACCAGTACTGGTGTCACATGAAGAAACATGGTCATGATCCAAGCAGGGCTTGAACCCATGATCCCTGGGATGAGACAGACACCACTTGGCCACCATACCCCTTAAAGATTAAACGTAGAATGCTTACATACTATTCAAAGATTATGCATAATACACAAAGATTTGACTGTAGTTACAATGTCAGTTTTCTGCGCTGTATCATTCAATAATAACCTTGGTATACCTCATGATATCCAATAATATCACCACTTTATATCAGCATTAAAAAAAGATCAGCTCAGGTATATCTGATAAACTACATTCATATATGACAGTAAAAATAACAAACATAGCTCTTCATTACCAAGACTGTATTATCTATCCCTTTAAATGCTGAATTTGTGTACAGGATTTGCCCGGCTTTGAATTTTTCGAGGTATCCATTTAAAGTTTAAGACACTTTAATATCAAAATACAAAAATAAAGCCTTCAACAGTAAAGAGCCTTGTTAGCCTGAGCCTATACTAGAGGCAAGGGTTTATCACTTTTGGTTCTAGCAGGTTAAGGGTTCAATATACTGATAAAAATTTGATATCAGATGCCATGACAAAATACCAAGGTTACACTTGTTTTAGATATTTTAAAACATATTCTTAACTCAGAATGCTTACATGCTATTCAAGTAATCAAAACAGACATCATATAGCATAATGAATCATTCAAAAATATGCTGTACAAACATAAACATATACACAATGTCACCACATGATCTTTTATACATGATTGCACCTTAGTTTAAATTTCATTATCTCTTTTCGAGCTTTGGTTTAGGTGGACGAAACGTTCCTTTCATTTTCTTATGTGACTTGTTCTTCGACGCAAACTGTCTCCAGCTGTCCACTCTCCCTGTTCTGCTATCCTGTGTGGAGGTAAAAATATTTATGTTAGGTTTTACATGAGTACTCCCCTATGTGGAGGTATAAATTTATGTTTGGTTTTTGAAGAGTACTCTCCTGTGTGGAGGTAAAAATGTTTATTTTAGGTTTTACAATAGTTCTCTCCTTTTTGGAGGTAAAAATGTTTATGTTAGGTTTAACAAGAGTACTCTCCTGTGTGGAGGTAAAAATGTTCATGTAAGGTTTTACAAGAGTACTTGTGTGGAGGTTAAATATTTATGAATACTCTTCTGTGTGGAGATAAAAATGTTTATTGTTAGATTTTACAAAAGTACTCTCCTGTATGGAGGTAAAAATGTTTATGTCATGTTTTACAAGAGTACTCTCCTGTGTGGAGGTAAAAATGTTTATGTTAGTTTTACAATAGAATCAATCACATCTTCTCGACCCTTTCTGTCAAACTTCGGATAAGAACATCAAAAACAATAGCAAGTCTACACAAAACAGATATGGTATTTAAGTCTAACCTATGCTAAGAAACTAAACCTTTAAACAAATAGTAATTTAATGCTGGGAGTAGTTGACTAAGTTTATTTCAACATAAAAATCCACTTAATTAAGTAACAGTAAACATTACATTTTTTCATATATTTATTATTATGGTTGTAGGAACCTAAGGTACAAAATACCAATCTGTTGACACTTAGTCGAATTTGGAGGTATAATTGTATGTAAGTAGGCATTTCTTAATTACAAATGGTTGTCAGACATATTTTAAATCATAACTGTACCGAAACAGATTTTCTTTTCCTTTGGATCTCACATATATACAATTGTTTTACATTATCAAAGATTACACTCTGGACTGGTTGCATGGGTAGAATCAGTTACCATTAGCAGACTAGGGGTAAACAGTCATGCTAAACATTATCTATGAGAACATGTTTAAAATCTAGAATCTAAACCCTTAAACGTTTGTAGAACCTAGCCTTCTCCCAATTCATATAACTGATTGAGACAATGCTATTTAGTAGGTATGAAATGTTAAAATTTCTGTCTCAGTACCTCAAAATTTTTGTTCCATTCTTTTTCTATTTCTTCTTTCTCTTTCTGATCCGCCTCATCTTCTGCTTTTCTTTTTCTGTATAAAATAAATGTACTTTATACAGGTGTATTTCTAGAGCTGATATTATATAATAGCTTACCACTGCTCCTGCCATATGTAATTTCATTATGAGGGTCATTTGGCAACTTTCCAGCTTTATTGGACGTGGATGGGGACTGGGGGTGTCTGTGCACCTGTGTACCTCTCTGAGCATTAATTTAGACAAAATTGGCATAGCTGTAAAACCACTTATCTTCTGCTACTTATTTTTTTCTTATTTTTTTCTTATTTTTTTTTTATTTGGATTTTATGTCGCAACAACACAGTATAAGTCGTACGGCCACTTTATAGCTTTACTGGTGGAGGAAAACCTCAGGTGCCCTTCCAAGCATTATTTCAGGCACAAACTAGCACCTGAGTAGATGTTACTTAGCCTGTTACTTAGGAGGAGAGGTTCCATATCAAATGAAATAAATGTACATAGTCACTGGCAGGATGTGAATCAACAACAGTAACGGACAAATTATTGGCAGACAGCATATACTTTGAATATACCAATACAGTGGTTTTTCAAATACTAAGCAAGACATTGATTTCTTCAGTGTGAACAAGATACATGTAATATGTTATTAGTGTTTGAAATTATTTTTTGTACAATAAGAATAATTCAAAGGCCTAGTAAATCAACTGTTTACAAAAATAATTTCAAACACTAAACTGGCTAGTGTTCATTATTTAGCATTTACCAAATTTAATTGGTCGAAAGGGTGAGCTGTTTTTTACCAATTCAACTTTGTAAACGCTTACTAATAAACACTAATCTGTACATAATTTTGCCTAGCATGTGCCATCCCATGACTGAAACAATCTCCAAATGGAGGTTACTTCACAAGTAATGTTGGATAGTTGACGACATTAACAACATAATGTACTTTAAACTAAATTAAACAATTAACTGACATTCAAAATATTTACATAATTTTTTTACAACCAAGATAAATGAAAAAACTAACCTTTCATGCATATCTTTGGCCTCTTTTTCTACCCTCAATCTCTCAAGATCAGCAAATAATTTACATGTCTGTACATATACTGCATGTTTATACTGAAATATAATACAACACAACAATCATATCCACATACATGTATATCATAACCTTTAACCTCCTGAATTTCATAAATGGTCTTGTTCCAGCTTCAAGTTTTGGACCTGTCCATTATCAATTTTTAGGATATCAAGATGAACATTTGAAATAGTGAGCCAGCAGTACAAAGCTTGATCAGACTGCAAGGGCCTGCAGACTGGCTTGGCTCTGTACTGGTGGCAAAGGCTAATCACTTTTGGTTCCAGCAGTTTAAGGTTTAGAATTGCTAAATTAACCTGATTATTTTCAGACACTCCATATCAAATTCAACAGAATAAAGTAAAATCTATAGCATATTTTTACAATGACAAAAAAAACAAAAAAAAAAAAAACAACAGTACTGCAAAACATTTCTTTCACAACTGGTAACTGCATCAAACAAACGGGGTACTAACAATTTTACGATGAATTTTTGTAAACCCTGGTTGATGTCGCAACCGTTCAAACTTTGACATGTTTATGCAACTGAAATGGACACTACCATTATGCATCCCCAATTGTTATAAAAAAGAAAGAAGAAACACTATATAATCACCATAGCAACCACCTACCTTTTCTCTATCATCTTCAGGTACTATCTGAGGTTTTCCTTCCTTTTTTAACTTTTTTCTTTGTACCTTCATCTAAAATAGTCAAAAATACAGCTAGAAATATCAGATTGTTGCAATAGATTTTCAAGACTTTTTTATATTTGTTTTAATCTTGGTCTTCAAATATCTGCTGTATACACTTTATTTTGAAGTCTTTAACTAAATTGTTTTTCTGTGGCACCTAAAATGAAGCACACTTTGGTAAGCCTGTAATCCTTAAAGAAACTTCACTGAGGTCCAAAATATAAAACATAAAAAATTAATTTCTGGCATAGATTACCTGGGGCACTAAAACAGAAAGATATACAAAAGATAATTAAGAAATTTACTATATAATATAATAAATGAAAAATCATATCCTATTCTTAGCTCAATTTGACTGAAAAGCATTGCAACGGTTTTAAAATTTTGGCCATTAATCACAATTAAAATGATTACTGTTTTCGGATACAATATTTCACGTTTTTCAAAACATCGGCATTTTCGCGGAGACAAACTTTCACGGATTTGTAGTAACCGGGAATTCCGCGAACATTTAGTCGCTACAGTCTAAATTACAGTTTTTTAATGCTACGCTATAAACCCACATGTGTTTGATGTCCAGAAACTAAAAAAATTAAATTAAAATTATTCCCGGTCTCCACCTCTGTATATGCGCATGCAGTATAGCCTATTTTCCATTTATGGATGTCATATTAATGATTCAGCAATTCATGCAATTCATGATTTACCTTAAAATTTATAAACTAGAACAAGTGTATTATTTAAAAGTAGCAGGAAATGTCACGTTTTCTTTTTTGGTCCAGACGTCTGGATTTATATAACGGTTATGTTGTGCTAATTTAACAGTATCGGACTGTACATAGCTTTCATTATAACAACATAACAGCCGTTTATCAATGTAGCACTTGATCCCTATTGTACTTTTAATAAGGATTACACCTACTCCAAGCAAATAAAATCAAAGTCATTCAATGCACGCAAACTGTAAATGCTTTTGCATACGCCGTGACTAGCGAATAACGTCAATACGCATGATAATTACTAATAATGGACATTTTTCATGTTTCTTTTTTGTTATGTTGTAATTTTGTCATTACATATTAACCCCCGTATCCGCAAGTTATGTGACTGTATGTAGTTGAGTGATGTCATAGAGTTCTTGTGTCACTTATAGATGTGTCCATATTGCTGTGTTTTTTTCATCCGAAATGTAAATATGGATTACAAGCTAAAACATGAGGTGGTTTAATAAGGAGATGAACTTTACATAATTCTTTACACTTTTCTATAGCACCTGTGTTTATTTGTTTTTGTGTAATTAGATTATAATAAATATTCTGCACGTTTATGTTTTTATTTGGTTGAAGCTAGAAATGTTTGCGGATTTGTAATAAGTGACATACTCGCGGCTATAAAGATTCGCGGAATCATGCCTACCGCGAAAAGCGCTAACTTAAAACGCGCAAAATCTTTTCTAGGAAAAAACTAAGTGAGTGAGTGATCTGAAATTTTGCACACATGTTATTGGTAAAGACCTACATCAAATGGAACATTTATCTCGAAAAATAATTATCAGTCCTGTCACACCAAAAAAACCTCAGTGGAGTCCCTTTAATCATAAATGTTGGTTAACAGAATCCATGGGAAGAAACAGTTGCAGCCAGCAGTCAAAACAAAAAAACACACATTTTCTAAAGGTATACTAACCATTTCTTCAACTCTATCTTGGGCCTCCTCTATAATTTCTCGACATCTCTTCATGCCCTCCTCATTCTCCAGTGTCTTATATGACTTGTTTACAGCTGAAAAATAATACACATTGTATAATTTTCTACAAGTAAAACTTTCACATAATGTCAAGTATCCACATAAGTTAGACCTACGAATAAAGTTCACTATTCAGTCGAGACAAATCTACCTATAAATTCCTGTATTCAGTCATGTAAACCCAACCTATAAAGTTCAGTATGCAGTCAAGACAATCTTGTCCATATAGTAATGTATACAGTGAGGGCAAACCTACCATACTATTTAAGTCCAGTATTCTATGCATTTTATGGCAAATTATCTTCAAGAAACCTAATTTCGTAGATAGGTTTTACCATAGAGCAATTTTAATGTAACCCAAATTTTCCAAGCAATGTTTACACAGCAGAAAAATGTATTTAACATATGTCAAGGAAATCCTAACAATGTTGCAACCAATTTTCCTCCAAGTAAACACTGGTACATAAAACTGTTCTTAAATTGTTACATCACCAAAAACCATACTGTCTTCTTATTATTTTAATGTTTTTGTCAATTTTCAAGTATTGTAATAGGTTTAATTTGATTACATTCCTGTATAAGGTACAACAGTACTAAAACCAGTAGAATCCTTCATAAAATAAGTTAAACTGATCCAGTGTTTGACGTGTTTTTTCTCCTCACACCCTTTAAACAGTTTTATTATAATAAGTAAAAGACAATCATGAACGACAAATACCTTCAAATGCACTTTGTGCCCTATCTTTATCATCTTGGTTTTTGTCTGGATGCACTAATATTGACATCTGAAAGTAAAACAAGTTTTTTTTCTTTGATTTGACCTGATGACCTAGTATCTGACACAAGATGACCTATATTCGAAAGGTTCCATGGGACTACTAATATGATCATTCTAACAAAGTTTAAGTTGAAGATCCAATCAAAACTGTCACCTCCAGAGTGTTAACTGTCGACAGTGGTACTTAAAATGAAGCAAAATCTACTGACCGAGGTCAATAGCCCATTACAGCACACTCAGGTCAGCTTAAAAAAATTATGTTTCTTTTCTCATATAAATCTTTAGTAAAAATATTTCCAAAAACTAAACAATAGCAGTTGGTCTGATTATTTCTTTCACTACTGTCAATATCACCTATTGTATACTAGGCTATGCTATCTTAAGCAATTATCACATATTTGCTGTATAAACTGAATGGCAATATTTAATAATTATTGTACAAATAACAGACATCATTTACAATGTAAATCATGTGTTTTGTTAAATAAAACACTTACCTGTCTGTATTTTTTCTTTAGATCTGCAAGTGGAGTTTCAGGATCACATTGTAGGACCTATAATTTAGATAATCACCATGTATAAAATATTATATTTATTTGAGATTGTATTAAACTATAATGTAAGCTCAAAACTATTTTTTTATGCTTAAACATTTTTAAATAATATTATATTAAATTATCTTGCTCTTGAACGTTTGATTGACTGAAATGAAGTTTGAATGGCCAGAAATTGCCCTTGTTAAAGAATCTTGATTGATGATTATGTCTTTTAAAAGTAATGACAGCCAAATACAAGAAATTTTTTTTTAAAGAAATCCAACAATGTCTCCTTTTAATAATTATGTAACCACCTTTACATGCTGTAACTTCTGAAAATAAGAAAGATTTCCACCAATTCATTTAGAACAAAAATTGTTACACCTTTGCCACAAATATTGAGCAAGGCAAGCCTGCAAATCTATGCAGTCTGACCTAGCTCTATATTGGTGGCAGCTCATTTTTTGTATTTGATTTGAAATACCTTATTCAGCCGGACTGTCCTTAAATTGAACAGGGCACAGGGCAAATCCAATCTATAAATTCAACAGAACTTACATCAAAGGGATTCAGGTTGAAATATGTACATCCAGGTCTATTCAATCGGTCAATCTGTTGCTTTGATGTCAATACTGAGTCATGTTTCTCTATTGCCTTCACCTGAAAATAAAAATAAGCAAAAATAACTAAAATGATACATAAATCATAAAATTTATAAATGTTCAGTAAAATTATGTTGTTTCAATAATATTATGGTCCATTTCATTAAAAGTTATAATACACATTCTCTCTGTTTTTTAACACATATGAATATTATACTGTAGTAAATGACCAAATTTACTGTATATAAGTACTGCACTTCTATATTATTCATTTCTGATATCTTAATTTCCATTTTGGTAATACATGTACTAATGCTATATGATCACTTTGAAATACTATAGTACAATCACTTTTCCTGTTTAAAGCTAAGCAATAATTTTCCTCTGCTTAACACATAAGTATTTGGATATATTTGGTACTTTTGCCAACATAAATTTATCTCATTCTGTATGTTAATTGCTATTCGCAAGTGTTTTGTTTAAGGTAGACGATGGGTAGTGCATTACCTTCACTGTGAAGAGTATTCAACTAAGCTAGAATCACTTGTCAACTACATTGAAATTGAGGGGCGTGGGTTTAAACCCCAGATGGGGCAACTTTTTTTTCTTTCTTTTTTTCTTTTTAACATTATTTATGTATCTCTCTGATCCCTTATGGAAGAAAGAAGTGTTTGAATTAAATTATATAATTACTGTAGGTATTTATTTGCTAAATAATGCTAAAATTTATAGCAAATATGATACCAGATATTTTCAAAGTTCAATAAAATAAAAACTACATGGTAATTTAAGTATTTTATATTTTGCATGATCAACCAATATACCTTTAAAAAAAGAATTGGCAAACTTTTAAAACAGCCCCTCATTGTGGTAAATTTTAGGGATATTTTGAAGAAGGCTTTTTATATAGGGAAATGGTCAAATTAGTGTTTAAAGTGGGTGGGGTAGGGTAACATTTTTATATATATATGAAAACATTTTGTTTAGAAACAAACATTTTGCTCATGTAATTTGTTACCTGAATGTTACATTATTTGTTTCTTAACAATGAGCAATAGAAAAACATTTTTCATAATTATGATATTATAGATAATTGAGAGTTTTCTCATTTCTGAAAATGAGCCCTTCTAATGGCAAAGTCTTAGTTCAAAAATATATCCATAACTCGTAAACCACATAATAATTTTTTTTAAATTTTGCATACAGGTGACCTTGAAGACATATAAATGTCCTATGTTGTCAATTTTACAGTTCCTTATAGTGCCCATTACCCATGGTCTACCTAAAGAAATAGTATATTTCAAACTGTGATTTTATTGCTCAATAAAATCACTGTTTGTCGTTCAGATGTGCATTATTATATCACTCGGGCATATGATTTTATCAAGCAATAAAATCACCAATTTGGGTATATTATTTTGATTCTAACATGACATCAACAAATAAATGCTGCCGTACCTGATATTAAGCTAAATTGTGCCCGATTTGTTTCCGTACTTATTGTCAGCGCGTCACATTTTTAGTGGTTATGTCGCTTGTATAATGATTACGTCACATGTCTAAATATAGTACGTCAAACAGTGATTTTATAGCATAATAACACACCCTTTCCATTCTTCTATGTTCAATAGGGAAAAATGCAGGTTGTGTTAGAATAAAGGACACGTTCAGTTTATAATGTCAAACATGAACGAACACTTAGTTGTGAAGGTTGGACATCATAATAGACCAGAAGTGCTCTGACCACCATTGCAGAAAGCCGTTGTTATATTTCTCTGAAGTTTTATTATTTCCTTTTTTTTTCCCTCACCTAATTTATTTTATATGTATGTAAATTATGAACTTTTGATGTCTATAACATCTAATACAATTCATAAAAGTTACATTTGCTTTTATTATCATTTCTTTTGGTAAGTTAAACAAACAGTCCTGTAATATCAAACCATGACTCTCTGTTCCCCATTTAAAATACATACACAGAACAAATACTACGCTGCAGTTTTAAGTAGAATTTTACCAGTTTAGCAATGATTATGTGCATATGCCAATCCATTTTGAGGCAATATACTAACATATTTCTTCTATACAAGCATTTTGGAAGTTTTCTTTTTTCAAAATTCAAACAATACACCCATAAACACTTTCAATATGATCTACCTAAATAACCGAGGTATATCGAGTGAAAAAATACGAGTTGCTTCCCTTATCTTCGAGTAAAATCGATATCGCTTATGCTAAAACAATACAAAATCAGCTGTTTTTAAACCGCTAGTTTGTTGTGATTAAATGTCCGATTTTAAAATGTATTACACCAATAGAAAGCTTTGGATCTTAGCTTCGTCACAGTATAAAATTCAACACATCTTTGGACTTCAAAGTATTTTAATTAACTGTTAAACCTACCATATGTCAGACCATTTTACATACGATTTATACAGTGAGATACGCAATCCGTTATCTTTACTCGAAATTCTACTGATATGAATAGCCTGTCGTCTGCTAGTTCTGAAAGTGTTTATCGCTGTATTTTTGCATCAGATATATACACTTTTAAATAAGCTTCAAGGGGTATCCTATATATGTAGCATGAAATATGGTAGCTTTCTCGGCTATAGACTACACTGTCATGTATATTACTTTGCCTTTTGGTCACATTTGGGGCTTTGCCTTGATCATATTAATCAACAGGAAGCTCTATCACATTAATTGCAAAACCATAGCAAAGAATATGATTCTAATTTCTAAGCAATAAGAACAAATGGTGAAATCACACAGAAAGCATGACACCATAAACTTTAGCAAGAAATGCTGCATGAAATCCAGCAAAATTAACAAATAATTCAGAGACATCACGAAAACAGATGTCGTAACGATCAAATTAATTCATCGTTTACATGAACTTTTTGTTAGCTGATCAAAAACATGAGGCGATTACCTCAGTGTAAAACTCATTAAATGCGCTATCGTCTTTCTTATTTTCTGCATCTTCACTTGATTTCGACGTCGAAGCAGCTTCGGACGTTCCGGTCGACGCCATTTTCAAAATAAAGAACTTTTGTTGTTTTCAAATTGAAGATTCGATTCACAAAATAATCTTAAACGAAATTAAATTTGGATTTTTTTGCGCATGTTTTTTTTTTAAAATGTGTGCAAGAATAAGAGGTGCACTGGTAAGAAATCCAGGTAATTCTCGCATTATTAGTGGTATACATTGAGCATGTAAAAGAACCCGGACTCCCTTGTATCTCAAACGGTAGCTGTCTCTGAAGTTTAGTCATGTCTACGTCCCCGCGAGGGGTTTGACATTAATGGAAGATGGATGGATGGGTGGATAAGACAAACTTGTATTGTTTCGTGTTTTAATAGATGTTATGAAAGGGAATGGAAGCGACTTATAAATATGTTTTCATTATTTTTAATTCTTTAATTTGTTATTAACAAGGAATAATTATTTCATAATTACATTTATGGTTAGAACACACAGAAGGAAGTAAAGTCACAGAGCTATATTTAATAAAATTCTCTGGTAAAATTCATCCGGGGAGGGGGTAACTTGTCATAGAGTCCCAGTAAGAAAGGAATTTGTTGCGTTTAAGAGTGGCATAGCTATCTCAAAGTTCAGTCGATGTTGTTTATCATATTTTAACCTTTTTTTTTATTAAATTGACAATGCAGTTTTCTGATTTTCATAATCAATGAATCCTGAATGAACAGTTTTCAGATAATTCATTTGTATAAAGAATAAATACTAATATTGCTGTAGTAGTTAATTAAAAAATATATTGAAATATTGTTTCTTTATTTTTTAGGTATGATAGGCAAGGATATTTGAAGACAATTTTTCAAGATCTGAGATAAAACTTAGTTCAGCATTAATGTACATTAAACACTTAAACTATCACCCTTTCTATAATTACCATTTCTATTATCTTCTTTCACATTAATTAACTTCACCATTTTTATTACTATCATTTCTATTCACATCACCATTTCTGTTATCACCATTTTCATTTGTATGTTTGTTTGTCTGGTTTTCACATTAGTTTGAATACATTTTTGGCCATATGCACGGTGATAGGGCGATTACCACAACTTTTCCGCGCAACGTCAAAATATCATCCTTCTGACCGAGACACCGTATATTTCTGGACAAAATATTAATGGCGGGATAAACAAATTCCAGGTAATAGCTTACAAAATATCTTACTGCTGGACATTGCAAGATTATTCCAATTGTTTAAGTATTCCATCGAATTTTTGAGACAATTTATCGTTAATCTAGCACAATACAATTCACAAAAAAACACATACTTCGAAGAAATAGTGTTTACAAAAGATCGTGTGTACCTCAACATGACTCGTACTTGTCACAAAAACATGTGTTATAACGACGATGTTTTTGTTCTATGACCTAACGAGCTCGTATATTTATTATGGTTAACCCTAAGTTCAAGTTCCATACACAATTGTGTGTTTCTATCGTAAATTTCAGGGAATATATGTTGAAAAAAGGCCTACTGGCCCGAATATTGGAGCACCGTACAACACTGAATTCAAACACCGCATTCTTTTTCCGTTAGACCGATAAATACTGGCACCGTCTTCTTTTGTATTATACAATCTTCTTACAAATATGTTTTATTTGATGAAAGATTGTTTACTTGTTGTTATGTTATGTTGCTGTTATCATACGTTATGTTATGGACAATTTCTGAAGGTCTGATCTGTGTTAATACTACCAGTTAGATAAGTGCAATGGTATCTATATATAGATAAGGATGTCTTTTCCTTTTCGAACTTATTCAAACTGATAAACCCCACATGGAAAGATTGAAGTTATTGGCTATATAACTATACCATCTAACAACATCGAGAAACAAAAGGAATGAAATATTTGTTAATGGGAATTTCTTATTGCATACTAATTTGATAAAGTTGCAAAAGTCATAACACAAATTTTCATGGTGTAGTTTTTGCAGGAACCCGGGCAATATTTCCATAATCTCTTCAGTCATGGTCTCCAATGTGCTTTTTTTAAACAATCTTTTGCGAAAGTTTGACTTCGTATTCTTTTTCTTATGTGGTGCGTTAAGCATATCGTCCTGAAATACAGGGAGGCGCTGATCCATTGGCGTACTGCTGATATCAGAAGACTAAGTTTGGCGCTCTCCAGTTGCTGCAGTATCTGCAGCTTTGCCAATTTCGCACGTTGCTTTTGGCTTGTTTAGACATAGGTTTGAACGTCTTCTTTTTCTGAAAGCAAACATTAATATCAAAAATAAACGGTGCTAAAAAAACAGAAAAATGCGGTGATTTTAAGGAGGAATATTGCGGTGCCCTAATCTTATGATTGACAAAGTTATGCGGTGCCTTAAAATACACACGTGGAAACATAAAAATCATACCAAATATACAATCAAAGCACAGAAGGCGCTGAATTTGTTTGGGTCTCAGAATGTAAGAAAGGTGCAGGTTGTGAGATTATATGTATAGTGCCACCAATGCTTTCCAGCGTTAAAATTGGCTATAAGACTAATTGCAACACTGATATTCAATCCAATGTTTATTTGACTTTAACAATTTGAAAAAAAATGAGTTACCTTTACTGGGATTTGAACTCCAGACCTCTCGCTTCCTAAGCGAGCCCGAAAACCCTTCAGCCACGGTGAATTTATATGTGAACGGGCTGAAGAAAACCATATTATTCTAAATTAGGGCTTGTAACGACTTTAACTGTTGTTTATTATTGTTTGATTTTATTAACCTGTCAAATCCATACTGATTATACGGTCAATGCACAGAATATATTAATATTCGATAAATGTTCGGTAAATTCCGTGAGATTTAAGCAGTAAGATATGATTAAATTCATCTGGTTTCTATGCATTAGTTACACTGACCGTTATAGCGCAATTGGGTAAACTATTGGTATATAATTTCTAAATGTCCTACGTGTTGTAAGACCGAGACAGCGTATGTCCAGGCATTTTTTCTTATTCATAACTAGTTTCAACATTTTTGAAGTTAAGGTTGTTCTTTCTGTTTTAATAGGTTTTGCACTTTTTTGTTAATACTATACTTTTGTATATAACATTGTTAAAGAATTAATATTCAAAATTCATTCGGATTAAGATCAATTAGTGTCATTTTAGTGCCGTAAAATACAATACAAAACGTGACAATTTAGTGTTTCTTAGTTGTTTCATATCTGTGTAGAAAATTCTGAAAGCGCTTGACCATTTACATTATAATATACATAAAAATAAAGAAAAAATAAGTCTTAAAATAAGTGACGTTTAAAAAATGTCAAAAGAAGGGATCGAACCTAGGACCTCTCATACATTAGGTAATCACTTAACCGACTTTGCTATTGCGGATGTTGCGTGAAGCTACATTAAGCTAGTGGAAGTTTTCCAAACGTTAGCTATATACTCCATATTAATTCTCGTAAAATAAACGGACAAAACCGAAGTAGGATCGAATATTTAAATGAGGGCTATAATGTATTCATAATTGACAGGTCAATAAAATCAGACTATAACACAGATGTAAATAATCCTGGAGCTTTCTATAAGCATTTATATTTATAAAGAATCAAAGGGCTGCAAGTTCTGTGGTATTTTCTGATCTTTGCAATCTAAATCGTACTGTATATCTGTATGCATTTTTCTGTATAGATTTATTTTTATGTATTATAATTCATTTTGCAAGGCACCAGAGTTTGATACATACGGAATTCTGCATAACTAGAGTTGCATCAAAAAATCATTTATGTTCATTTTTTTCGACAGTCACACTTTATCCTTGCATATCATGGCTACTTCCTTAACAAAAACACTTAAAAAAGAATTTAACAAAAAAAAAAAAAGTTTCCTCGACTGGGATTCGAACTCGAGACCTCTTACTCACTATGCGAGCGCGTTACCAATGTACCACGGAGAAGTTATACACAGAAAGTTTGAATAATATCAAGTCATTCTAAATTTAGAACTTCCATTGCATTTCGGGTTTGTAATCCTTATTAATTTCGAGGTATTTTGTTCAGGGTAAACCTGTTGTTTAAAATTGAAGTAAATATTTAAGCAAAAATCCTCTCGCCCAAACAGTCCGACATGTAGAATCTATATATTCCACTACTCGGTTTGTGTAGTATTCGGTAATAAATAGTATTTTCATTGATAAAATCATATTCATCCGCGTAATTTGTGATTGTGCCTTTATTGACAATTCTATAAGCCAACGCTATTGTTTAACTTTAAATGCGTTGTAATTTGTTGGATACTTGTAACAAAATAAAATATTTCTTTCTTTTAAATCGCTAGTTTTAAGCTGTTTTGAGAACTACTTGTTATTAGGTTCGTCGTAAACTTCTGTGTCAGAAATTGAATGTCCGCTTTGTATTTAGTTATTTTCGATCTAGCCTGGGATTCAGGCGTTGATATATTTTGCTTATTCATAACATACGCGCATCATACTCGATCGTCATAGATAACACAACATCTCTGGTTTTGATAGTATCGTCGATTTGCCAAACAGAAGCACATAAAAAATCGACAGACTGGAACCCAGGCTATTTTCGATCATAAAATACAATAAAACAATATTAGAAATCTTCGACCATTCAGGAATTACTTTGCTTGAAAATTGATGCGCCTGTCTTTGACCATCTTTACGCAGTGATCTCCCCTGAATTTTTCGGCTTTAGTGTACATACAAAAGGGAAGTAACCGTTTCAAAAAAGTGGACTACTTTCGGCATTTGCAATTAACAACATTAGACTCTGAAATTTCGCTACCATTATTTGTTTGGTCTGACGACCCAAACAAATAAAAACGGGTTATTTATGTATTGTAACTTGTTCATACGACAATAATGTACATATTTATATTGTATTTTGACCAGTTATATGAACTGAACGGACTAGAAATACGTTATATTTCGTAATCAAAGCAAGATTTCTTTCAGTATGCCGTAAATGTTTTCACTGTCCTGACTTAATTAATGAAGCATTTTGCATGTAGTAAAGATAAATAAGTTTCAAATTAAATGGCACATTCGATGAAAAGGGAAAAAAATGATTTTACCTTGTTTTGAGCAAATTATCTGCTGTTTTCGTCTCGTTTACAGGCTTGCTGTCCATTTTGTATGACAGAAATATACGGTATCTCGGACAGAAGTAAGATATTTTGACGTTGTGCGGAAAAGTTGTGGTAATCGCCCTATCACCGTGATATGACGGTTGTCAAGCCACCTAACTAGCTTTTCTGGATGGCAAACTAGTAATTACCAATTTCTCTGACAACATAATTTTGGAATAATCACATTCGGATTTCCACATAATTTCAGAATCATCGATGAAAGACATATTGATTTAAACCCAGAGCTCTAGAGGCAAGACGGTGTATCTTTTTAGGAAGACACGTTAACACATTGCTCAGTACTGGTTGATTCCAGGAACAAATTCGAGAATGTGTCCATAAGCTTATAGCTTCTTACACACTCGAATTAGATAAACTATGTATTAAAACAAACATTATTTTAGACTTAACGTCAGAGATCAATTGTCACGGAAGATCGATCGTATTGACTTATGTGTGCCGACCATCACCATCTTGATCTCATTTTTTATTATCATCACTTTTAATATTATCATTTCCATCCTCACCATTTCTATCACTATCATTTCTATCGTCATCATTTTGTAATAATTTTCATCATTATTATTTTCCACCACTACCTTTTTATCATCATTTTTACTATCAAATTTTCCGTTACCATCCCCATTTTCATAATTATCTCATTCATAAAATTAATCACCAATTTTTATCATTTCTTTTCTGAAAATGATAATCTAATCATTAACAAATAAAATCAAATATTCAAACACCGTTGTTTTTATTACCATCATCGCCAAACCTATTATTACCACATTTATTTTCATCATTTCTATCATGATTCACATGATCACAATTTTTAACGTTATTTTTCTTATTGTCATTGATCATTTTTAGCATTATCATTGTTTTAAAATCATTCTTTAAAATTTTATCATTACTATTTCATAGGTTTTATTCTTATGATTATTAATATCATTATTATTGTTATTACAATTTTAGCATCATTTTCAACACCAACATCACCATTTTATGATCATTTCAATAAAAATCATTTACATCATTTCTATTATCAACATTTCAGTCATCACCTTTTGTATCATCATTTATATTACACTACCTTTTCCATTCCAATATTTGTAATTACATGTATCAACATTTCCATTGTGATCTTTTACATCATTTTTTTTCAAACACCATGATCATTCCTTTTATGATTATTTTAATTAATATCAGTTCCATCATCAGCACCATCGCCATTCATATCACCATCCTTTGAATGTTCATCCTTTCTATTCTGATAATCATAATTAGACACTTAATGGGGCTGTGTTCATAAAACGGTCACGTGGAAGTCGTAAGCTTTGTGGTGGTTACTAGTGCCTAGCTTGGTCGTAATTATAAGTATCTGGTCGTAAGATAAGATCGCAGTTACGACCGTCTTTGTTAAAAAAACGACATCAAGGTCTCCTACGGTATGTCCTAATACCGGATATGACTCTCCTTTCTTGTCTATATTTTGAAGACAATGTAAGCAAAATTTTCATTAGCATGGGATATGGCATTGATGTGTAAAATTAATATTTCATTTTTAGACGGGAAGGGCCAAAAAGTTGCGATTGGTTTGTCGGAAAGGGCCGAGTCAATCGCAACTACTCGGCCCTTTCCGTCAGTCTTCGGATAAGGACCTCGAACACAATAGTATGAATACACAGAACGGATGCGGTATTTCGGTCTTACCTACGCTAAGAAACTAAACATGTAAACAAATATAGTGCTTTAATGCTGGGAGTTGTTGACAAGTTTATCTCCAATATATGTAGTAAAAGTCCACCTAAAAAAGTGAATTCATAGGTACAAAAGCAAAGAATACATTATAGTTTCTTAGCGTAGGTTAGACCGAAATATCGCATCCGTTCTGTGTATTCATACTATTGTGTTCGAGGTTCTTATCCGAAGACTGACGGAAAGGGCCGAGTAGTTGCGATTGGGCCGAGTTGTTTTCCCGTAAATATATTTCGTCTAATCACAAATTCTTATTACACTGGCTGTCATTAATGTCCACTTCCGGTTATATGTCAATTTTCGTCGCATATTATCATTTTTTTCTTTTAACGAAACAGTTGATAGAACATCAATTTTCAACTTATTTCCGAATTTTTTTTGACATTGCTTGAAGTTAAATCTGCACATTATCATGTTGCTGTAGACAAGAAGTAAAAAATCTATAATCTGGATCCCAGGTCCTAGATTTGTTGACATTGGACTAAGTTTGGAATACCAGTTGTTGTTATATTTAACAAGAATGACAGCTTTTGAAATAGGTTGTTCTCTTTTTAGAAATCTTAAGTGAGACAACTGCAAAGAATTTTAAAATTCAAAGAACTTTTAAACTTCCTTTGAACAACTATCCAACAACTTTCACCATTTGAGAATTCTGACGTGACTGCCCAAACACTAGCATGGAGTTTAAAACTAATTTGTTGAAAAGAAAACTTCTCAGAGAGATAAATGTAAGTTATGTCATTTAAGCTTTATTTAAAATTATTATACTTGTTGTATTTCACTAAAATAAAGCCTAAAGAAGGGAAACAGGTCGGGATCTTACCTTAACTGGGCATCGCTGAAATCACTGTTCCTAGCAAACTATCGGGGCACTCTCAGTAGTTTAGCAACTTTCATATCCACTGGCAGGTCCAGGAGACTCAGCTCAGATATGTCCTTGGATCACAAAAGACAGCTACTTCTGACATCAACCAATTTAACTCTCTTGGCTTGGTCAACCAGAACCTTTGCGAGGATTTCTTCTAAATTACTTGATGAAAGAAGATGTAGTTCTTGCAAAGTTCTGTCAAGGTGGAAATGACTGTCAAAAGCTTCTGGCAACTTCTCTTCAGGTTCCTCTTCTAGCTTATAAATCACCATGCCTTCTGTAATAGGAAAGTTGGTCTTCCAATACTACTCTCTTTCCTCAGCTTCAAGACTTGCTGCAAGTAAATTCAGTAAAAGCAGTACCTTTAAATGGATTAAATTGACTAGCTCAAATACAAACTCTTTAGGAGCAGTTATCTCCAGGAACTTACAAAAAGCCTGCATAGCATCTGACTGAATTGACGACACCACTGTCTTGTCTGTAGAAATTAATAGTTTCTGGATCTTAATAAATGCCATCTGGTAACTTGGTTAAGAGTACTTCTTCTTCCATGAAATACTATCTCATCATCAGGTTGGAGCCTCTTATGAAAGATACCAGGGATATGAAGCATGAAAGCGTTCACTTTCATGTACTGTGCTGGTTCCCAGCATTTTGCATATATTTTCAAGTCTATTTGGTCTCTTCCCTGTAGATCTTCTTTTATTGTTGCTTTCCTGACTTTGAGTAAAGTATCCTCTGTCTTTTGTTTCATTCCAACTTGTAGAGGTGGATGATGCAGCAGGTCATATTCAGAGAAGGGCTGACTTAGGGTAACTGACTGTCATACCCCTCCCCATTGTAACATTATGCATACAGGCCATCTAGTATGGGCCAAGTAAAACGGTTTAACAAAACATTGCTGAATGCTGTTAAATGTTTTATGGCAAATCTCATGATCATTGGGAACAGAATATTCAACAATTAGCTACATGTATGGCAAAAAATCTTCAGTAACCTTATTACGGGTTTCACACCAAACATTTTAGTGTTTAAGATGGAAGTAAATACACTCGCCCAATGCAAAGGCAGAAGCTCCCGAAAGAGTATGGTGAATATGTATCAAATCTTTTGCAAACCATACAAAAGGCACACAATACTCTTAAAACATCAATAAAACATATAGAGCGTAATTATGACTTGAAGGTAATATGCAGAGCTTATTCAATCTTACAAATATCAACAAAGGTCTACTAGTACTAGCAACATTTCATAATTTAGATTGAGAAGCTATAGGCATACAGGATCAAAACTAAAGTACAAATCCCAGTATAAATATATGGCAAACTATCTACCAGCTGAATATTTAACTTTATTACCCTTCCAGATTTTTTCCGCCTTTTTGATTGGATATTGATCACCCAAAAGAAATTGATATAACCGAGCCAGACGGGTAATATACACACTAAATTTCCCCGTTGGGTACCCAACGTTGTAAACAACATGCGCTGAGGTGATGAGCGTACGGTTCGATTTTACGCGGTGTAAATTCCGATTTACAAGCACTTTTTAACTGTCAAATGATAAATATTTACCAAAGTAGAGAAATGATACATATTACCATCAGTATTGAAAACAAATATGACCTTGTGAAAGCTTGAAAAATAATTACAAAAAAGTGCGTTCAATAGACTACTCCTTTTCTCTTGTTTACATTCGTCAGGTACGGGAAAAATACGTCATGTATTTATGTGACGTCATGTTGTGACGAAGAGGTACCCTAAAGGGAATCTTATTTCGACGTTTCATTTGAAACAGCAATGATTTTTTTTAAAAATCGTCTAAACTCGGCAGGGGAAGGGTAATAAAATTACCTAACGGCTCGGGTGATATAAAATCTTAGCAGGTAATATATCCACATATATCACTCCAAAACCAAAATAACATATAATGTTTACAGAATCCTTACACTAGTTGTTTTACTTGACAGTCTATTGTGTATGTGTGAAATTTTTATAATATTTTTATAATCATCAGAATCACATATCCCGAAATGGTATTTGATTGATTTAAGTTTATGGTTCCAAGTTATATGATGTAAATAATTATTTAATCATATTTATTGTAATGACAGTTTAATGGTAATATTTTCTAGGAGAATATTGGTGCAAGGTTTGTTAGAGAACAGCAAGTGACAAGTACTCTTATTAAACGTCTTGGTCTCGAGGATGAACTCGAAGGTCACATCGGCTGTGTTAATTGTCTGGAATGGAATGAGAAAGGAAGGTAAGAGTGATAATGTTTAATAATAAAATGTTCATGTCACTACGTTTATTTTGTCATTTTCAAGTTGAGCTGAATTGACTATATGTTGGCCTAGTGGTTAAGGCATCCGCCTTCTGATCGGGAGGTCAAAGGTTCGAGCCCCACAGGGAGCATTTTTTGGAGGATGAATGTTTCTCTTGGGACTCATTCTGAAATGGCCACTTCGTGAGCCATGAAGTAGTTAAATTGAATGGTTTACAGATTTCTATCTGCCTGGCGTCTGGCATAGTGGTAGAAGTTGGGAGGTACATGTACATGGTATGAAAGCAAAAGGTGTCTCTTAACCCTTTCACTGCCATAGGGACGGCTTAAGCCGTCCCTGTTATTTTCGGCGTATTTGCCGTATGGACGGCTTTAGTTGCCGTTTCTATAATAATAATAGTAATAATAATAAATTAATAATAATAAGAATAAGAATAATAATAAATATAAAGAAAATTATACCATCGACAATAATTATTATTATACTAACAGATTTGGAAACATTTATAATTATTATAATACTAATAACAAATAATAGTAATTATATTAATTAATAATATAGTAATTTCTTAGAAAATCCTCTGGCAAATAGGTGAACAATAAAACAATAACCCTCTGGCAGCGAAAGGGTTAAGAAATGGATGGCCCTTTCAGTAGGTGTGACACTATAATAAACAAGACCTTTACCTTTTATTTCAAATGATTGACTGATATAATGGTGACTGACCAACAAATGATGTTTGAAAATGTTCAGGATAAAATATAAATCTCCCTAGAATATAAAGACAGTTCACCCCAACCACACACACTCACACATTTTTTTATAAATTGAATGTTACAGATAGATTCTGGTGAATATCTAAAGAAATTTCCTTTGGCCACTTAAGTTATTTATCGTTCATGCAAAATAGATTATAAAATTGAAAGGAATTCTGGCTAAATGTAAAATATTTTTGACTTTCACCTATACTCACAATATACCCTTGGATAGGCATAATGTCACTTTAAAGTGCATATAAAAATTAAAGCTATAATTACTTGATTGCCAGTAGTTTACAAAATTATTGTCTGAATTTTGAAAAAGATCCTCCAAAGAAACATGTTTGTGTATTTCCATAAGAGAAATTAGCACATCCACTAAATAATTGCTTAACATTGTGATAGGGCAATAATGAAAATGTATCTAAATGTATACATGTAACCAAGACGAATTTTTGATTTAGAATATATACATGTAGTTTAAGGAGAGTTGAGTTAATATCTGATTTCTTTAATAATTTAAAGCAGTGTTCACATTTAAAAGATATTCACAACTGTTCATATATGTCTTATATAACAGTATGTTGGCCAGTGGTTCGGACGATACACAAGTTATTGTGTGGGACCCTTTTAGGAAGAAGAAACTGACCAGTATACAGACTGGTCACCATGGAAACATATTCTCAGTAAAGGTAAGATAAGTAAAAGTAACGATTGCTGATCATGTGGGTTCAAACCCTGTCAGGGGCAAGCTGTTGTTTCCTTGAACAAGAAACTTGACATTCATGGCTAAGTGGAACAGATTTGAGAGTGTTTCAATAAGTTTAAAGCTTCCAACACCATCAAACAGTTATTAACTAAAATAAATTTGTATAAACTAAAGGTAAGATACTCAAGTGTTATATCTTTGTTTATCATACGTGTAATCAGTATCTCAAGATAGAAAGTTTATAATTTGTTTTATTTAATTTTACCCATGAAATATGGTGCTATATCAGTCAAATATATTTCATATTTTTTAAAAATAAATATGAAATATAAATATGAAAGTGGGCGGAGTCAAAACTCATATTTATTTTACGGAACTTCTTTTGCCGTTTTGTTTGAAAAAACTGATAAATACAAAACAACTTTTTCTTGAATTTTGTTTGTAAAACTATCTAGAATGATAGAAAATGGTCTAACTAAGAAAATTAATCCGAACGCCAATATCTTTAATTCAGTAGTTAACGCTGTACAGACGTTAAAAGAGTTGTTTACATGACGTCACAATGTAGCGCCAAACAGCGCGTGCTTACGCATAAATTACTGCGCGCTGTACAATTGCAGTTGGTAGCAAGCAAGGGGTTTCGTTACCATTTTTTTTTATGATGAAATTAAATAAAAAGGTTATTTTTTCTTTTTGCGTGAAATATGGTGTATATTTTCACTCAACATGATAAAATGCCACATATTTTCACTCGCCGTACCGGCTCGTGAAAATATGTGGCATTTTATCATGTTTCGTGAAAATATATTCCATATTTCACGCAAACGAAAAAATATCCTCTTAATATTAAAAGCCCCACATCTGGATGAAATAGTGTACAGAGAAGCATGTTTTTTTTCTGACACTTGATCTTGCTGTAACACAATTTTTTTATGGTTTTAAATCATAAATATGATGCTCAAATTAAAATTTATCAATATTGTAGGTTCCAAAAAGCATGATTTATAATGATATTAACGAATTTAACATTTCATGTAAATAAAGAGAGGTAATTAGAAATTTATTTTTTATTAAGTTTAAGTCTAATTTTCCAATAAGAAATGAATGCATATATTTTAATGATTACATATAATATGCACAAATATTTGCAGTACATATTTTACATATTTTTTGATGTTTGAAAATTGTTTTATTAGCATAATTATATATATATATATATATATATATATATATATATATATATATAATATATATATATAATATATATATATATATATATATATATATATATATATATATATATATATATATATATACTTTCCCTGAAGTGTGGTTAACCACTTTAATCACAACATACAGGATCTTTAAATGTTTTCATATTACCATGATAGTGATAGTGTAACTGAAGAAAAATAAACATGTAAAAATTTGAAAGAACAAGTCATTTATCTTGCAATTTTATTTTATGAAACTTCTATACTTGAGAAAGGTGAAATAAATGAATTCATGCTAGATTTTTCATCAGAATTACAGATGGTATCATATTCTTTATGGATTCTTTCTTTCAACAGTTTTTACCCAATTCTAATGACAACATAGTGGTTAGTGGTGCTGCAGATAGCAAGATTAGAGTACATGACATTGAGGGGAAAGAAACAACACATGTGTTTGCATGTCATGCGAGCAGGGTAAAACGTATAGCCACGGCACCAAAAGTTCCATTTATGTTCTGGAGTGCAGCAGAAGATGGATGTGTCATGTAAGGAATCTTTTCTAGTAAACATAGGGTAAAAAACAGCTCAAATAACTCTAATGCTGACCATTATGTTAAATACCACGTCGTGTTTAGACTATATCTTCAGTCGTAACATAATGTCATAACATCATTAAAAAACTCACAAAAATACAAATATTTATCTGACGTGTAATATTTGTGCGTGTTATAAAACTTAAACTATCTAATGTTATAAAGTAAAGTTTTTATTTTCTTTTCAGGCAATTTGATTTGAGATGCCCTGAATTGTGCCATTCAAACAGTAAGAATGTTTTGATCAATCTAGATTCACATGTCGGTGGTCAGGCAGAGTTTAAATGTATTGCCATCAATCCAGCAAGACCGGAGCTGATGGCTGTTGGAGCAAATGATCCGTACGTCCGCATGTATGACAGGAGAATGTTAACATGTCAAAGTTTAAAAATGTCAGATGATGGACATCAAAGGTATGTGAATAAAATACCCTAAAATCTTATACCCTCATCGAAAGCCTGACTGGAAAATAAGCCACCATTATTGTACAACCAAAGTTAACTTAAAAATGTTAGCCGACTGAACTGTAAGTCTCTATTATTATATAAATACAGGATTTCAAGTTATTTTCCTATAAATATATGTTTAATTTTCATTTTTTTGGTATGAAAATTATCATATTTCACTTGTGGCTTCTGCCACTCATGAATTGTTTATTTTCATACCACTCGATGAAAATAAAACCTGTATATATAGAAAAAACTTAAGTCTTTTGTATATTATATGCATTTTTCTCTTTTGTGACAACAATTTCAAAGACTTCCTCTTATATTTTGTGTATTGGCTGAATTTAGAATGAATTTAGGAAAGTAGTCTGGCAAGACACCAGTGAAAATACAGAAAAGATGTTTCACAGCAGTGAAAAATAATTTTTTACAGTGAAATATGGAAAAACAAAATAAGCTATTTTTTCATCAGTATTCTCAATATATACAAGTATATAATAAGCAATAACCCTTACTATGTTTATATCTAAATGCATGATTACAAGTTTATAGGCATTTTCCTGTAGGTCATCTTTTATACTTCTTTTTTTAAATAAAGCCAATTAAAATGATGGTTTTTAGGTTTTCTGACATTTTAAACTTAACACACATGTAAGTGGATATGTCCATCTTTCAACCTGGACATAATCATTCATTATTTTTTGGGAAAATATCAAAGTAAATACTGACTGAATAGCAAACAGTTTAGGTCATGAAGACCAGTATTAAATTTGTTAAAAACTATATTACTTTCTAGCCAAAAGTACATGGTACAAAAATCAGAGCAAACCATATTTGATAATGTGGTTTAAGAAGAAAACTATAGTTTCTAGATTTAAAAACATGGAGTAAATAACAGCTATCTTGTCAACCTTTGTTATATTGTTTGTATTGCAGATTTTCTTCTACAGAAGAATTTCCTCTCCCACGAGGTTGTGTAGAATATTATGTACCAGGTAAATAGGCCAGAATTTAACTACATGTAACCATTTGGTTATTGTTGTGGGGTTTTTTTTGGGTGGGGGGGGTTGGGGGAGGGGGGAAACTTGCAATTGTAGAATGCAATGACAGGTTTGTTGATATTCACACTAAAGGAAATAATAGCATTTTTATCAATTCGCAAAATTCGTCAATATCTCCGCATCCCTAATTATATCAGCAATGCAGAAATGTATTATATTCAATTTACAGTGTTATGGGATATACAAAGTGTACAGGTGCTTTTTAGGTGGAGGGAGGTCACAGGTGCCCCACTGTTAATTATTTCAGGACCAACTAGTATCCTTTAATGTGAAATGGAACCCGCCAGCCTCCTGTAAGCAAGCTGAGTATCTTTCTCACATGAAAGAATTCAAATTTGGTCATGGGATTCTAACCCACATCTGTGAGGGGTCAGCAATATATAAATAACACATGGGTTTGTGGGTAACAGTAAAAATATCATCCCAAGGAAAAGTACTGTTACCCGAGGCGTACTTTTCTTTTCAAAAACAGACAATCCACGAATTAAAGAACCCATGAAAATGACATTTTTTGACAAAACCACAAAATTTTATATCCATGAAATTAAGTGAATTCACAGTACTTTATGCTGCTTGAATCTAGAATCTGTGTGACTTAATATAACTAATGGATAGTAAATAAAATCATGCAGGGCAACTATGTTATTTAAACCTAAAACATCATTAATGTTTATGGAAAATATGATATTAATTAAGATAATCAGATAATTATGCATTTTTCGACAAATTGAATAACATTCAAACAAATAAATATGAATGAAATAACAGAGTTGTGTATTAATCTTTTTTGTATAAAATTTCTAACAACCCATTTGTAATTTTACAGTTGAATATAAGATATGAGCAACAATATTTGGCAGATATGAGATCTTTCAAAAGAAGAATACAGTGTCCCGAGTAAGAATTGTTATCTCATAAATAATTTCAGGTCATATACCACAGAAGAAAGATGATTATAGGAAGAAATTACGCGCTCTCGCAGCTACGTATGTGACATTTAGTCCTGATGGAACTGAATTACTAACGAACCTTGGCGGGGAACAAATCTACTTGTTTGATGTGAATAAAAAGCGTAGCATACAAAAATTTGATATATCCATGGTTTTAAATTCCAATGGCATTGTCAAAGGTAAGGTTATACACTTTTGGATATGTGTTATGACTTTTTTGTTTACCACTGAAATATTAAGTGTTCAATTTGGGCAGTCTTATGGCAGCAACTAAATAAACCCATGCACCCAGTGCAAACCCAAGACCATCTGGCACATCCATGTTGTCTGATCAGGGTCTGCACTGTTTACAGATTTTTTAAAATTTTTAGCTAATATAATGAATGGTTTTGTCCTGATTGAAACAGCCATGTTCTTTTAAAGGGACTCCACGGTGGTCCATAAGCCCAAAAACAAAAATTTGAATTTCTTACATAATCAGCTGAAGCAAATGAAACAGAAAGATATGCAAAACATAATTGAGAAATATAATCAGAAATGAATTGAAAATAGTATTTTCGTGCTATTCTTAGCCAAATTTCAGTTAAAAGCACTGCAACGCTTTTCAAATTTAGGATCTTTTTTCTAAACCTACATCAAATGGGATAGTAATCTCAATAAATAATTTCAAGTCCCATCATGTCACTAAATCTCAGTGGAGTCCCTTTAAGATATTTAGCATGGTAAGATACAATTGTATATCAGTTTGTGTTCATTATCAGTTGATACAGCATCATCTGCAGTGCAATAACACATTTATATAATCATAATGACAACTTTATGGAGATCTATGGCAAATGTATTGAGTTCATATCTATATAACTGAGCAAAATAAGAGTAAAGAAACTTAACTACACCAGGTTTGTTTAAATATAATAAAGTATAACTAGAAAAAATGGAGGGAGGAACAAAGCATCAAAACACTAGTTTTTGTTTACAGTATGTTTTTATCAGAAATATTTCAGAATGTGTTACAACATTGTATATTTCAGAGTCATGTCATGCTAGTGTGAACGGATATAGTACATATCGTAATGGATCTACGACAAATGGAGTTGTGACTAATGGTGTGAGCAAGCATTTACATGATTCCGTCCAGGCTCCACATCCTAATGCACAAGGAGACCACGAGAAACCTGTGAAAAAGTAGTTCCTCTTTTTCCCCAATTTATTACATTAAAACCTTTCTTTATGTCAATATTATTCTTCGATGATTGGGTGGCAAGAGGAAATAATTTATATATATTTTTCTAGCTTATTTAACAATATGCAAGTGTGGGTTCTTAAATTCATGGATTTGTTTTTGTGTGTGTTTTTGTTTGTTTGTTTTTGTTTTTTGTTGTTTTTTTCCAAAAAGATAAAATGTAAATAATGTTATAATGTTATGTAAAATAATCTTATACCAGACTTAATTTTGTTAGATTTTGAATTTGTGGATTGACTTATCCATGAAGAATCATGAAAATAAGTACCCCACAAATAATAATGATTTTGCAGTATTACACATTGTTTTAAAAGTTTTAATCAATTTAATGTTGTTTACGTAAATTTTTTAGACATAAAACAGAAAAGAAGCCATTGCCACCACTAGTGGAGAGTTTGAAAAAGAAAGCAAATACATATTTCGAGAAAGAACAATACACAAAAGCTATTATTCTGTACAACCAGGCGATTGCATGTGCCCCACATGCCTCCATGCTGTATGGCAACAGAGCTGCAGCTTTCATGAAGAGGAAATGGTTGGTTATTTCTTTTATGCCCATAATGACCCAGAAATGCTTTTATTTTTATTTCTTAAAAAGGTATTTTATTTTTTAGCCTTGTTATTATTTTCAAGAAGTTTCTCATTAGTCAATCACCTGAACTATTTTTTTCCGCTTCTGTTGCTTTTTGGCAAGTGGTGCAGTTATAGTGATTTAGTATTATGTATGGAAGTAAAAAATACTACTTTTTTAACATTTTGCTACTGTAATGACAAATAATTTCACATTCAGTGTCCCTTTATTTTGGTGATAAACGTCCAACATGTATTAAACCATTATTTAAATGCTACAAAAATCCTGTTTGCCCTTTCTAAAGAAGGAAAAAATTCGTTCGTTTCTAAAGCATAATATGCGTTTAAATATCACACTAGATTTTTCTAGAATTGGCTGCTACACATAAAGATGTCATCTTACTATCTCCCTAAGTTACAATAAGTGATGCATGCTTTAAATGCTGTCCTTCCCATACCATCTTTATGAATGAGTTGCCTGCTTAGGATGACAATGTTTTACTGATATAATATTACTAGCATTTTGCTATTTTTATTGAAACTATGATTAGTAGTAAATATGTAATATTAGTATACAGGGAAACTTAAGTTATTCACCAATATGTAATATAGAATGAAACTTTAAAATTAATGCTAGATTCTTAATATACAGGAAAACTATAATAGTAAATACAGTAAACTTCACTTATAGTGAACACTGTTATAGCGAACTATTGGTTAAACGGAACAATATTTTTTGGTCTGAATTTTGCCCTTCTTTGATATAAAAACTTATGGTTATAAGGAATTATTGCTTATAAGGAACTCATTTCTTAGTCCCAATTGAGTTAAAAGCACTGAAAATTACACTTTTATTAAGAACTTCAAAATATGGGCTTTTCGTAAATAGATCCCGGATTTTCAACTTTCGTTTTCATTGGCTTGGATTAAAACTCGGTAGAATGTTCCGTTTATTGTTGTATGAACTTCAATAGAGCTGTGAAAATGAATTTGTAAAGCAGTACATAATAGTTTTCTATTTAGGATATTTTTAGCATGAGTTCTTGTCACCAAGATAAAACGATTATTCCTTTTATTGTATTATTTCTTTTCTTTAATAGTTTCGCTCGAGTTAGATAATTATGATCATTTATAAACGGTTTTCAACATAATCATGCTATTCCTTGCTAATCCATTGAAAGCTACAAAGTACGCTTGATTGAAATGAAATGAAATCTATATCTTTCATAATTAAAAGTCACCCTTAAAATATAATAGAAGGAAAAATCGTGTTCATTCTTCATAATGGAAAGAAAACGAAAAGCACTGAGTTTAGAAACAAAATATGATATTTAATGAGAAATTAAGTAAGGGGGTAAAACTAAAACTGAAATAGCAAATGATTTTTAAATTCCAAAAAAGGACGCTCTCGGGTATTGTGTCTAAAGATGACCAATTTTTCTTAAACAAATGCTCTTCAAAATGGAGGACGATGGTAAACAATCAGTTAATTTTATGTGAATCTGTTCACTATAAAAACCCCTGATATAAGGAACTAATTTGCTATATGCTTACAAGGAACTCCGGATATATGGAGTACCAATGAGTTCATTATAAGCGGAGTTTACTGTATTTAATATACAAGGAAAACAGTCTCACACAGGCTACCATCACAGATGGGAGTGCACATGCTCTGGTAACTGTTTATCATCCTTGTTTAGTCAACTTGTATCAATAATTCTCAGTTTACAGATTTATATTCAGAACAGATAAACTTTCATTTCTATAAAGCAAAGATATAGAAGTCACATTGACCTTGTTTTTAGCTGAAAGAAAACAACATAAAATGCAAATCCCAATGGAACTAAAATAACCTGTTGTTATCAAAAACTGACCAATTTGCTGCAGTTCATTCCAGCTTGGTGTGACTGTCAGACAGATGTTACAACACATTTTATTGACAAATGTTTATATATTTTTTATGCTTTGAATGATATTTTCATTGGTTTGAATAAATGATTTTGCCCAATTCAAAATACTTTGTGTAAAGAGCATGAGGAAGTTTCAAAAGGTACAAAATATTTTCCCAATTAAGCAATTATACGCTGCAAAATTTCCCAAACTGGGCTAGGTACTCTTTCCAAAAATGGCTATGAAAAGGCCTGGTTTGTAGTATACAAGACTTTGTTTGTTTCAGGGATGGGGACATGTACGCTGCGTTACGAGATTGTCACAATGCCCTTCGTCTTGACCTCAATCATCTTAAAGCTCATTTCAGACTTGCTAAGTGTCTTAATGAACTGTCATGGAGTAAAGAGGCATTTGAGTGTCTTAATCATTTTAAAAGTAAGTTTCCAGATTATGCAACATCACGGGCATGTGAACAGCTGGACAAAGATATAAGGGCAGCTATTTTCTCAAAAACAGAGAGTGGTGAGTATAGAGTTGCCTTTTTTGACTTCTATTATAAATGGAAAAGTGAACTGAAATGTGCTTAAGATGCGTTATGATAGTGGTACATCCAAAATAATCATTTATTTGATCATCAGTGTAAAAGATAAAAGTTATTTCTGTTTTTTAGCTATCCTGAGCTTGCTCAGGGTGAGCTTTTAGGATCGTTGAAGTCCTTCATCCATCTGTATTTGTTCATTAACACTCTAGCAGTCACATTTTTGCCACAATCATCATCAAACTTTGTCAGGATGCTTGTCTAGGTAATTGCTCGGATGAGTTTGAACATTGGTCATCTCAGATAAAAAAACTAGGTCACAGGAGCTAAAAATAGAAAAATCGTGTTCACACTGGAAATTGGTCTGAAAGTTTGTTTTGATGATTTCTAAGTCAAGGTCAAATATGGGTCGTCTGGGGTCAAAAACTAGGTCACACCGCCCAAATATGGACAAACCTTGTTAACACTTTTTTGACTAAATTGCCATCGAACCTGGAACCAAAAGTGATTAGCTTTTGCTGCTAAATTAGAGCTCAACCCATCTGCATTTCTGTACAGTCTGACCAGGCTCTATTCTTGATATGGTTGCTTGACCTATTACTGGTTATTTTCATCCTGACATCCCTAAAATCGATAATTGATAGTTTTAAAAATTTGAAATTAGGCAAGTTCATTGTAGGAAATACAACAGGTAAAGGGGTCATAGATATATTAAAATGTTCACAGGCACTTGTAGTATCAAAACAGATTTTACCAATTTTCCGATTATTGCTACATTCATAAAAATGGAAGACAGGTCTTTGTCAAGCTTCCTCCCCTGACAATTACATTGTTATTAATTTTAAATGCCATTTTAGGTCTGTAAAGGAAGTCTTAATTGATATTTATATATTGATTACAGATGAAAGCAGCAAGAACAAGAAAGGTGTGTGTGGGACAGATTTTTTCCAAAGTAAATCACAACCATCGGAACTGGAGCAGATATGGAGGGCTGAGGCCAATGATTATGAGGCTAGATTCTGTGGACATTGCAACACAACTACGGACATTAAAGAAGCCAACTTTTTTGGAAGGTTGATATTAGTTGTTAATTTTATTGTGTCACTATGAAATACTACTTTTATCAGTGAGATATAATTGATATTTTTCATTGTGATCTCACTTTCCTACTCAGGTGGTTGGTTTTTGAAATAATGCATTAAAGGGCCCTTGATTTATATTCTTTACCATTAACCAAAGCTGGAAGATTGTCATCATATGACCTTTACATCGGTGGTGTGACCTTGGGCCCTACAAAAAAGAAAAAAAAAGAATTTTTTTTATTTAAAGCTCTTGTTTTAGGCTTGGCTTATAGTTTCTAATATTCATGCCTACAGTGTCGCTGTGAATGTTCATATATCAGTGATATATATCATCATGTTATGTTTAGCTTAAGTTAGAATTTTTAACTCTAAGCCTGCTACCTGCAACAGGTGCTATCTATGTAACCAGTGCACATCAGTATCGTCTGATCATAGTCTGAACTGTTCACTATTCAGTTAGTACATATTTTGAAATTTCCCCTAAGAATTATGAATGGTTATGACCATATTTAATTATGGACAAGTCCATTTAAGATATTTAGTGTGGTAAGGGTTAAACTTAGCATAATTATTATACTTCAAAGCATGTTCACAAGTTGAGCTTTAGTCACATTCATTTATGAAACCACTTGTATCACATAGAAGATCAAAATGTATTTTTGAATCAGTTTGGTACAAAATGTTTGAAATAACTAGAAATCAAATAACCCCCTCCCCAAATACAAGCAGTTGTGAAGTTGGAATAATTCGGTGTGATAATTGTACCTTTTTTTCAGTCATGGACAATATATAGTAGCAGGATCTGACGATGGTTCTTTTTTCATCTGGGAGAAATGTACGACAAACATAGTTCGTGTTTTACGCGGTGACGAGTCGATAGTGAATTGTTTACAGCCACACCCCTCTCATTGTCTCCTAGCAACCAGTGGTATAGATCCAGTAGTCAGGTTATGGAGTCCACAGCCAGAGGTAAGGGTAACAACTTTATAGGCATATACCCATTTTAGCTCGACTTTTTAAAGAATAGGGTGAGCTTTTGTATTGGCCAAAGCTATGGCATCAATGTCACCGTCAAAAGTTTTTTCATGGAAGTTGGTGTTTTCAAAGTTACTGGAGAGAATATGTTGAAGCTTTACACATCAATTTGAGAGCATAATAGGAGGTCACTTTCCAAGACACATAACACTAATGTGGATTTTGACAGAATTATGGCCCTTTTTGAACTTAGAAAATTCCAGAAATTCTACATTATTTAGGTTCTTGTTTTACTCTTTTTGTGCTAAGAGTAGTAGAGCTCATTGTCCTACTGGCATCTCTTGTGTTTTTTCAATATTGATCTGCCCTAGGAATACTGGCAGCCATTATTAAGGTCAAAATATAAGAAATTCAATGAATCTCATACGGACAGTTTGAATATTTAGGGAAATGAGAAAATGTAAAAAATCTTAAAAGTCATGTTGTTTTTTTGCTCACTTAGATAATATGTATTTAAGTAACATTCCTGTACTTTCAAAATGTTTATAAAGGGAGATTACTCTAGTGTTTCTGAAATTTTATTTTAACATTATCTCCCTTGTTTTCTTAAACACTCTTAGTCTTAGCCAGGTCATTACCTTTTGCATAATTTTTTTTTTGTTAAAACATCAGGATGGGAAGAAAAATGATCGTGAAATAGATAATTCGGACGATGCAGCTCTTGCCAATCAAAAACGAATGAACGCCGACCCTCTTGAGGTGATGTTAATGAACATGGGGTATAGACTTAGTAGCGTTGATGATAGTGACGGGGACAGTGACAGGCGTGGTAGCGAAGCTCAGGTTACGTGTCCGACCAGTTGAAGCCGGCATGTTAATGTATAGGTCAATAATTGGTTGAGGTGTGGACAGGATGGGTAATGAATTACCTAGTTTGTGTTGAACAGAAAACAACTGTGTTATATATTGGTGATATTTTATTTTGTGTCGACATCTTTAAAAGATGGAAAATTAACTTTCGTATACTTAATATGGAGTCTATGTATATCTAGATACAGAATATGTCATATATTTACAAGTATATATGCTCTGTGTAACAAATTAATTAATAGAATATGTGGTTGATATTTGTACACAGAAATCATATGCCGGATAAATGCAGTGCTTAAGTGCACTGATTAGCATAGTGAAGTTGTGTATACACATAAATCATGCATATATATTATGTAAACACAAGTGATGACAGCACAGTCAGTGTTTGCAGGCAGTATTAACTTTTGTGTTAATTTTCAAAATTGTACTCCTTTGTTATACAAGTAACATACACTTTAATAAGATTAACCCATTTTATTGTACATTTCATATGAAAAAAATATAGTGTGTGATAATTTTATGGTAGTACAAAAGGTGTACAGTAAAACCTTTGTATAATGACCACCCTTTCGGGATACAGAAACAATGGTTGCAGCTGAGAGTGGTTGCTCTAGAGAGGTGTATGAAACTGTTGTTACGATGTTATATAGTCTAATAGGGTCAAAACCATGTTTCTTCATATGACACCAGTACTGGTTGGTTCCATTAAGTGGGCTCGAAAGTGATAAATTTAAGTTGAAAGAACTTGTTTCGCAATCGAGCTTAATAAATATGTTTAAACCAAGTACCAATATTAGAAATACCATACAATAAATAGACATGTGTTATTGTGGTGTACCCATGGTGTTTCTATTATCAAATTTAGGTATTAATCCTCAGTAAATCAACCTGTTACAAGCACTGTACAGGGAAATAGTCATTTACATTCTTAAATTGTTTAAAAACAGTTTAATACCGTAATATGTTTTGACAACAAAAGCTTCTCCTATTATCAACATTAGTGAATGTGTAAAACAACTACATGTACTCATTTATTACCGTTTAAATGGACTCCATTGAGTTTTTTTTAAAATGACAGGATTGGAAACATTTTTCTAGAGATATGTGTCTTATTTGATGAACATGTATATCTGAATCAATAATTTGTTCAATTGGCTCCCCCCCCCCCCGGGGCGTATATACAGGTGAGCTATATGATTTTAACTAAAATAGGGCTGAGAATCACACTAAAAATAGATTTTCAATTTCATTCTTAGTGTATTTCTATATTTTATCCATTTCAAGTGTCCAAGTTGATCTAAGTAAGAATTCAAAATTTTTTGTATTTAGCTTTTGTTTTTAGTTTAACTTCAAACCTAAGGTTTAAAAAGAGACAGATTTTGTTCTTAAAATATATGTTTTTTGAATTATTTTTTCAAATTTTTATTAAGGTAGGATGATTTCTATTTGACAGGTGTTTTTTTTACATCTTTATACATGTATAAAGGAGACACAATCATGTGATTAGAATTTTATAGAAAAAAAAAAAAATCACATAATTATGTACTACAAATGTATTTCTGATATTGAAATATTTTGATAAATAAAGGGGGCATGAAGTACATTATTGTTTGTAGGGTCCCTTGGAAAGTCACTTATGACAGTCTTTACACTTCTTTTAAAATACTTTTTGGTAAACAACAGATCCTTTCAATAAACGCCAAGTATGTTTGTAAGATATAAGATAGTGACTGTTTCTTTGAGATGAAAATGAGATTTTTCTGTGTATAAGGGTGTTTTTGTTATTTTCTGTGATATTTGAAATGTTTGTTATTAATTGAGGAATTACAACTGTATTGATTAGAAATCTCAGATATGTTACTTGTGCACCCATCATTTGTGTCAAATATTGTTAATCAGTCCTTTGACTCTGGTCAAACTGAAAGTCATTAGCCATTTCCACCAGTATAGACCTAGGCCAGGTAAAACTGAAATTGATTAGCCATTTCCACCAGTATAGAGCTAGGCCAGGTAAAACTGAAAGTGATTAGCCATTTCCACCAGTATAGAGCTAGGCCAGGTAAAACTGAAAAAGATTAGTCCTTGACACCAGTATAAAGCTATGCCAGTCTGTACTTTTTACAGTTTTACCAGGCTCGATACTGAGTTATAATTCTCATCTTCATGTGCTCAAAAGTGACAATGGTGAGTTTCAGCATGTATGTTTGGAACTGCACATTATCAATTTGGAGTCTTCAGAATGAAAATTTCAAGATTATTTGATAGTAAAAAGCCTTTTTTAGACAATTTGCATGAATTTACAGTCTGGGCTGGCTCTATATTGATAACAAAGGCTACACTATACTAGTTATGTAATAAACATGTCCTGCTTTGAAATAGGAGCAATAATTTAGCCTAGACACTAAAGTTTGGTCTGACCACTAGGATGTGTAGACTGGACTGGCTCTTTACTGGTTAGACCATTAGGATATATAGACTGACCTGGCTCTTTACTGGTTAGACCACTAGAGTGTGGAGACTGACCAGGCTTTTTACTAGTTAGACCACTAGGATGTGTAGACTGACCTAGTTAGACCACTAGGGTGTGTAGACTGACCAGGCTTTTTACTAGTTAGACCAATAGGATGTGTAGACTGACCAGGCTTTTTACTAGTTACACCACTAGGATGTGTAGACTGACCAGGCATTTTACTAGTTAGACCACTAAGGAGTGTAGTCTGACCTGGCTCTTTACTGGTCAGGAAACTAGAATGTGTAGACTTGTCTGGCTCTTTACTGGTCAGAACACTAGGATGTGTAGACTTGTCTGGCTCTTTACTGGTCAGAACACTAGGATGTGTAGACTTGTCTGGCTTTTTACTAGTTAGACCACTAGGATGTGTAGTCTGGCCTGGCATTTTACTAGTTAGACCACTAGGGAGTGTAGTCTGACCTGGCTCTTTACTGGTCAGAACACTAGGATGTGTAGACTTGTCTGGCTCTTTACTGGTCAGACCACTAGGATGTGTAGACTGGTCTGGCTCTTTACTGGTCAGAACACTAGGATGTGTAGTCTGGTCTGGCTTTTTACTGGTCAGAACACTAGGATGTGTAGACTTGTCTGGCTCTTTACTGGTCAGACCACTAGGATGTGTAGACTGACCTGACTCTTTTCTGGTTAGATCACTAGGATGTTTAGACTGGTCTGGCTATTTACTGGTTAGACCACTAGGATGTGTAGACAGGCTTGGCTATTTACTGGACAGACCACTAGGATGTGTAGACAGGCTTGGCTATTTACTGGTTAGACCACTAGGATGTGTAGACAGGCTTGGCTATTTACTGGTCAGACCACGAGGATGTGCAGACATGCTTGGCTATTTACTGGTTAGACCACTAGGATGTGTAGACAGGCTTGACTATTTACTGGTTAGACCACTAGAATGTGTAGACAGGCTTGGCTATTTACTGGTTAGACCACTAGGATGTGTAGACAGGCTTGGCTTTTTACTGGTCAGACCACTAGGATGTGTAGACAGGCTTGACTCTTTACTGGTCAGACCACTAGGATGTGTAGACTGGTCTGGCTCTTTACTTGTTAGACCACTAGGATTTGTACACTGACCTGGCTCTTTACTGTTGACACTGGCAACTCATTATCTTTGTTCACTGGTACATGCAAAGGTTAAGTCAGCCAGAGTTGAGTCTGACTAAGCCCTTATACCGGTATGTTGGTAGCTCAATGATTTTGTATATTGACCCCTTGTAGTTCCAAGTTTAATGTCAGGCAAGCCCATGTAAGAAATTGAGCAAATTAGAGGTTAATTGATAAAAACAAACTTTGCAATTTTCTCTCATTAATGTTTAAAAGGTATTTTTTATCATAATATGCTTTAGAATTTTATATTTAGATAATTAGATTGCAACATACGAGTATATCTTGATAGTTTGATATGGCTCGATGTCTTGCAATTTGATTTTGACATATAATTTGTATATTATTCTCAGAGTTATTTTTGATTACCACATATTTCTTTAGTTATGGCAAAGAGAAAATTAAGATATTTTATCAAACAACTTATAATTATGCAATATTTATAAAAAAAAGACACATATCTTACTTCAGGATAAGATCAAATATTCTGATTATTGACCTCAAAATGCTCCCTTATTTTTAAGGTTTTGTATTGTCAGAAAGTTGCGTTGTTGTCCTTAAAAGGACATCATACATTCATTAAGTCTTGTTCCTGTATTTCATCATTATTGCTATATACAAAATGCATTTTCCTTGATTGTTAACCACATTAAGACACCATACTTTGACCCTTTGTGTTATAAGATTGTTACTGTATGTGAAGAGTTTTTGTTAAAATTTGTTATTACAGAAGTTCAACTGTATTCATGCTTTGAACTACTAGAATAAATTGCTTTGATAATCGTATTGTTTTTCTATTTATCATAGGAATGCTTTTTGTGACAGTCATAAAATGATCCATTCTAATAGATGTTTAAAAAAGTACTATGGTAGATACTTGAAAAAAAAGCATCATAACAGCAATGTAACAATAGGTTAAATTGATTAACTTATACTTGGCATCAAGCAATTATCTTTAACTTGGCATCAATCTTTTGTATTCAGTATGGCATTAGTCTATTATCTTTAGCTTGGCATTGTTGTCGTTAACTTGGTATCAATCTATTATTTTAAACTTGACACCAATCTATCATCTTTTACTTGACATCAACCTATTATCTTCAACTTGGCATCAATCTATTATCTTTAACTTGGCATTGATCTATTATCTTTAACTTGGCATAAATCTATTATCTTTGACTTGGCATCAATTTATCATCTTGAACTTGGCATCAATGCATATATCTTGAACTTGGCATCAATAAATTATCTTGACCTTGGCATCAATATATTATCTTTAACTTGACATCAATATATTATCTTTAACTTGGCATCAATCTATTATCTTGACCTTGACATCAATATATTATCTTTAACTTGGCATCAATCTATTATCTTGACCTTGGCATCAATATATTATTATTAACTTGGCATCAATCTCTCATCTTTAACTTGGCATCAATCTTTTATCTTTAACTTGGCATCAATCTGTTGTCTTAAACTTGGTATCGAGAATCGCCATGGATTTTAGTTTTGGGATAATTCACTTTATGTGTAACTCTACTTGCTGGAAATAATTAGGCTTTGCCACCAATATATATATAGCCAGGCCAGCCTGCACATCAGTGAACATATCTGACTAGGCTTGTAAGGAATACCTTTATTTTAATGGACTGGTCTACATTCAAAGCAGGGCAAAATTATAACATAAATTCAGCAGGTTAATCTTGGTATTACAGTGGTCTATAGCAGCCAGCAGTGGTAGAACCCAGCAAGACAAACTGGCCTGGTTGCATACTGTTGCTAATACAGGCAAGTTTTTACTTGCCTCAAGCATTAGAGCCTTAAAATTTATCATTGCAGTTGTTTTAAACAGTCATTTAGCTATATATTTATATGTATACTAGCATCGGCAATATATGTATAAGAAGTTGCGTATCGTAAGAGCTTTTTTTCATGTGTTATTTGTGAATGTATTATTTTCTCAATCAGATAATTGTACTCAGAAGACTTGAGTGTTATCTAATAATGGCTGAAAAGGTATACTTGGATCTAAAATTTTAACCATGTTAAGACAAGACATTTGAGCCGCGTCACGACAAAACCAACATAGTGCGTTTGCGACCAGCATGGATCCAGACCAGCCTGCGCGGATGTGCAGTCTGATCAGTATCCATGCTATTCGCTATCAATTTCTCTACTTGTAATAGGGTTTGTTAGCGAACAGCATGGATCCTGATCAGACTGCGCGGATGCGCAGGCTGGTCTGGATCCATGCTGGTCGCAAACTCATTATGTTGGTTTTGTCGTGACACGGCTCATTTGTTCTATACTATCTGGTCCTCAGCAGATACCATAATTATTATGACAGGAACATGTCTAATTTATGATACTTTTTTGGTTTGTTTTTACGTCGCACCAACGCTGTAAAGGTATGGCGACTTTGAAGTTTAACTGATGGATGGAGATCTCAGGAGACCTACAGTACCTCTCTGTGTCTTATTTCAGGCACTTGAGTAGAACCACTGACGTTCCGTAAGCTAGCTAGATAGTTTACTCACATGAAAGATTCCGAAGTCCCTAGCGGGATTCGAACCCACAGAAGTGAGGGGCTTGTAGTTTGAAGTTGACGATTCGGTTTGTGATTTGCTACTGATATGAGGGATATTAGATAGGCATCACGTCTAACCTTAAGACTTGTCAAATGGCGATCAGCATCGCATACTGCCGAGTTCGTTTTGTCCTGAATCGCTCCAAATAGACTAAGTTGTCAGAAAAAACCAACAACAACAAAAGCGCGAAGTTCATTAGCATATTTAGTTATTTACGATATACTAGCCACGTTAAAATAGCCCAGGGACTTTATTCAATTCAAATAAAACACAAAATGTCTCAGATTGTAGCTGGTAAATTCTGCACAGTTTTCCATAATTATGTTGCCGATTGCCAGATTTTATACATTACTCCTTTATGTTTGTAGTTTTTCTATACATTACCAGAGTATTTTTAAAGGGAAAAATAGGCGTAGTCAATTCACCTTCATTTAGTTTTTAGCTCGACTATTCCCACAATACTAATAAGTTACTCATTTGTCGGGCTCGGCGTCCCTACGTGTAAGCTGGTATCTCCATACCTACTGAAGGGAATGGATTGAAACTTCAAACGCTTGTTCTCTGTGATTATCTAACATAATTGGCACAAGTCCCAGAACTTTGTTTTGCCTTTTTTTTTCATATTTATGCCCATTTTTCGACTTAGAAATTATTGGTTAAGTTTTTGCGTGTAAGCTGGTATCTCCGTAACTATTGAAGAGTTTGTGCCTTTTTGTGACAATTTTATGCATTAATAATAATCAAGTAGTGATTTACTTGATAAAATATCTTCATAACAAGCCTATATAAGTACCTTTTCGGGACAATTTTATGTATTCATATAGGTTAGCATTATACATGTAATACTCAATGAAACACCCTTGTGACAACTGTTTCGAATTGTCGAGCGTTGCTGTCCTCCGACAGTTCTTTTATAATAATATATTTTTGTATCATTAAAGCAAATGTGTTTTATACTGTTGATAGAAACATGAGAAAGTAGCGCCGTATGTGAAATTATTTGTCACCGAAGTAGCAAATGAAATCACGTGCCTTAAACATAATACTAAATCACTGTAAACTGTACTTAATGCAAAAGAAAAATATGGCCCGTAGTATTAATTTTTAAAGGGGTTTGAGAGTAATATTTATCTCTGTTTTTCTAGTCTTTAGTGTGCGTGCCAACTGTCATAAACAATATACTGTAGCTAATTTGGTTACATTGAACTTTCGACCGTATAATAGTAGATACTGCACTTTAAAATATTTCATAGTGGATGCGGATCTTCAGCGTTGTCACGTTTTTGCATTTCATATTAAATAATACGTGGAATTAAGCGGGAAGTTACACTAGCCAATGGTAATGCAAGTTTTAATAGCGTCTACCTATTATTCAGAAAGATCAAATACAATTTTAAAAAATTGATTGATTGAGGAGAGACTCCCTTTGTTACCAATAAATACCACGTATATATTTAATTCAAACACAATAGCATATTTTCTATTCAAAAGAGACTCCCTTTGTTGCCAATAAATACCAAGTATATTTGTAATTCAACACAATAGCATATTAAGATTATCCCTCTCTGTGACGTTTCGGGTCTGTGGAGGGGAATTACCGCTTTTCTATCCGATATTTGACCCAGTCATTGAAAAATTGAACAATGTAAAACTATTGTGGGAAATCCCTATAAATTCAATTTTCATTGGATATTTTACCAGGAAGCCAGGATAAAAGAAAATTAAAATCGATCTCCATTTACCCGAAGTTAAACCATTAATATTCGTATACAAAAGAAATCATTCAATCATGGATAAGGTTATTCATGTTAAAATAGATATGCGATATTAAATTACACATGTATTTACAAATAGAATAATGTATAGAAATAATTTCATTAGCTTTCAGCTGTTATATAACTTAAACTACTACAATAATAATAAAATGATTTAAAGGGACTCCACTAACTTTTTTGACATAGCGGGATGGAAATATTTTTTCAAAATAAATGTTCCATTCGAGGTTTGTCTAGACCAATAACATGTGTGTAAAATTTCAGATCACTCGCTCACTCCATTTTTCCGTAATAATATGAGCCGCGTCACGACAAAACCAACATAGTGGGTTTGCGACCAGCATTGATCCAGACCAGCCTGCGCAGTCGCGCAGTCTGATCAGGATCCATGCTGTTCGCTATCAGTTTCTCTTCTTGTTATAGAGTTTGTAAGCGAACAGCATGGATCCTGATCAGACTGAACGGATGCGCAGGCTGGTCTGGATCCATGCTGGTCGCAAACGCATTACGTTGGTTTTGTCGTGACGCGGCTCAAATATTGTTTCGATTTGATGTTTGTCTGGACCAATAACTTGTGGGCAAATTTCAGATCACTCGCTCACTCCGTTTTTCCATAATAATAATATTATTCTTATTGTGAAACTGAAAAACGATGCAACGCTTTTCATTAAAATCGAGCTAAGAATAAAAACAAAAATACGATCTGAGTATATTTCTTAATTATCTTTTGCCCATCTTTCTATTTCAGTGCCCAAGCTGATCTTTGTCAGAAATTCAAATTACATAGACCTCAGTGGAGTTCCTTTAAAATGTGATTTATATGCTCAGATATTATGCTAAAATGCAAATAACGATTATAAATACAAACAACCAATAAATGGGCACAATATGTACAATAAAGCATTAACAGAGTCTGTTTATCTTTGTAAATCTGTCACGTTAAATACCTCCAGCAAAGAAAGAAGAAAGAGTGACGCATACACTGAAAGATTCTTTTAACGTAATGTTCGTGCATTGAAATATACAATATAAATTGATCGACACCCCATACTTGTTGCTTGTTTATTTCATTTAAGGTTATAAATCAGTACAAAATCTTAAATAAATTTAACATGTCTATTTATAGGTAAAATTGTAAAAATAATCAATACAAAACGTATAATTAACGACTTCTTACAATTATTTTATTACAGCGATTATAACCGAATACATTCTTAAATGTAGCGACTTATAATTTCATACATCTCTGTGTTATAGGCGCCACATAGTTGTGAAAATATCTGTGATAAATTTTCATTCATTTCGATACCATGACGATAACTCCTGACATCGCGCACATACCAATTTAATAATCAATTGAGCCGCGTCACGACAAAACCAACATAATGGGTTTGCGACCAGCATGAATCCAGACCAGCCTGCACATCCGCGCAGTCTGATCAGGATCCATGCTGTTCGCTTACAAACCCTATAACAAGTAGAGAAACTGAAAGCGAACAGCATAGATCCTGATCAGACTGCGCGGATACTGATCGCAAACCCATAATGTTTGTTTTGTCGTGACGCGGCTCAATTAATGTTTTATTTCAATAAAGTATATGCTTCCCGATTGAATTATAATCTTTTAAAGCATTATCAAAACTTCATTACTATTGTTTAAGAAAGTTGGCGGGAATAACGTTTCTGATTTTGAATGGCTCGTCTGACACAGGCAAATGGCACACGGACTTCCCGCATCATATGCGAATCATTTTACACATCAAACATCTTTCTCAGGATGGGAAACATTAGGTTATTGTTAAAATTAATTATAATTTAAGATAAATGTTTAAAATCACAACACTTTCCCCGTGCAGACAGTTGAATTCATGCATATCTGGTCATCCGTCACGGATGAACGAGTTTATCAATATCATTTGCAGATAGTAACCAAAACAATTCTGATGAAACTTGATAATGATCTCTTGAACCATTCTATGAGAAACGGATCTGAGAAGTTGTGCGTTACAGGTGGTTTTCAGTCTATATAGAATATAGAGTTACGATAAATAACAAATGTCATGAATAAAGGAAGTGACGAATGGCACGAGTAAGTAAGTCATATATTTTTAAAAAGTCATGAACCACATAAATACAGAAAAACACGACTAAAGGAACTCAGTGATACCTTTAAAATGTTAAGAATATCGTGAATAAGAAATTCACCAATTACTTAAGAGAGAATCACCAATAGCAAAGTTTAAGAATGTCATCAATAGCAGGGATAAATGAATATACGAATACTGCGATAAAAGGAAGTCACGAATACCAAGAATGAAAGTCCCGAAAATGCAAGTCATGAAAATAAAGGAAGTGTCGAATAAAGAAAGCCAAAGAAAAAGAAAAAAGATAAAAAAAATTAAAAAAAACTTGAATAAGAAAGTAAGTTCCAAAACCTCAGATAACCTGGCGAAATGATGAGTTGAACTATTTATAAAGTACATGCACTATAAAATATCTTGAATAAGAATGCATGTACGCATGTATGTGAATAATAAAACCAAAAAAATAACTAAAATTCTAACAGATAAGTTTCAATGCATGTCATTCTGTCTTAAAACAAATAATATATATTTAGATTTCTTCAAAACGAACCTGTTTTCTATTTCTAGATAGAATGAAAATTCAGATGTTTTATAACAATGCAAAGCAACAGATCTTAAACTTATGCGTTTTGTTTCCTCATTAAATGGAAGCAACGTGTTTAAGCATGATTAAATTTTAGCCGGGTTCCACGATATTATAAGTCTTTGTAAACTACCCTAGACAGTTGTACAGTCCAATATTTGTATACGGAGATAAGAAAACATTGTCCTGCAAATACATTTGAAGAAAATGTAAATAAAAATATTTTTCAAACAAAGCAAGAAATTTCGAATGGGTTCCGAAGTGTAAAGCTGATGTATGTGAATGTTTTTTATGTACTGGTATTTTTACCGCCGACTCGCAAAATAAAACCGTGGCATTCCGAAGTAAACTATTCAGTGACTCAAATTCATATATGACTCGCCTGCTTCGCATCCGATTTAACCTTATTATTGTTTTCTTTTTAATTCTTGTCAGAGTTTCTTATTTTGGCTAATACCTTGTAACGTTTTGAATGTTTTGTGCACGGTCTTGCATCAATCGAGTCCGGTTCCAAATAACATTTTCTGTATTTACAGTTGCAAGACTTATTTCTGACTGATAATCGATTGTACCATCTTTTTCTTCTTTGTCGAGTTCCATTCTTTCGTTTTTTGCAACCATTGTTTAAGTTTTCATGTTCATGTTCGGGAATAACATTATCGTGTTCACGATCGTTTTCACGTTTTCCCTCAAAGGTTAGCGCGTTCAATATATAATTTTCGTCTGAAGAAAAGATCACTTTATTCTTTTCTAAGTCATCTTCGTTATCTAATTCCTCTTTCAAACAGCTGTTTTTATAGGATTTGAAATCATGATCAACTTTTTTCTTCGGCGGACAAAGGCGTTTTTTAAGACGATCAATCAATCTAGATTCCCTGTTTGTAAAGTTAATGTCATCCCTTATTCTAATGAAGGCTTTTAAACGTCGACTACGTACTTCGGACGTTTCAGAATTGTCGTAATTTACAACAACTATATTCTTCTTCGTGTCCATCGTGAAGTGCTTCCAAACTAAATCAAATTCTTGCACAGAGTTATCATCACAGAGATACATATTGCAGAGAAACACAACGTATGTCCTGCTTTTACTAATACCCTCTGCTATTGCATCAGCTCTGTGCGAGCCAAACCCTACGTCGTAAAAGGGGATAAAAAGTGAATATCCGTCTTCTTTCAATACAGGAACAACTTTACGTTCAATCCAGCGGAAAACGTCCATATTATTTTCAGCAAATGTGAACATTGCATCGTATTCAAAGTCGTCAACTTTTGCTTTTTTATTAAAAAGTTTTCGTTTCAAGAGCAGAATCTCGTATCTAAAGTAATACGATAACACACAAAATGTTAACAATAAAACTAGTATTAAGACTAAAAGTACCGGAATAAAATCAGGAACTGTCACCGTTGCAAGACAATCTAGAAAGTCTGAGGAAATATCTTCAGCTGGAACCAAACCTTTACTTGTGGAACAATTCAGATTTTCATGTGCACGGTTATTTCTGACCCAATCTCCTATCCATACATTGTCGCAGTTACATTCCACTGGATTTGTACCAAATATTATTCTGTTTGGATTCAATTTACGGAAAGAGTCAGGTAAATACTTCAATAATTGACCACTTATATCAATACGAACACCTTCACCAATATTTTCTACAGCACTATTATCAATTGTTCGTATATCATTTCCATTCAAGTTCATGCTAACTAGTCTGCTCATGTACTCTTTGTTAGTAAAATGGGATATTTCATTGCTAGGATCACTGCAATCTAAGTTAACTCTATCATTATTCCAATATCCCACTGGTGTAAAATCCGGCATACTTGTTAAACCCTTGCACACAACTTTGATTTCGTCATCTATTGGTGTATCGGTACAAGTACAACCTTTCGGGCAGTTCGGAAGGTCACATGTCAAGTCCTCAAATGATTGTGTTTTATAAATGCTGTTCAGATTTCTGCCTTTCATGTGTTCTGGAGTTCTGCATGTTGTATTATCAATATCTAATCTTGGCCAATATCTAGCTGCATCTTTACCCAAATCAGCTAAAACCGGATATATTTTGCAATCACAGGCAATGTCACTGTCGTCAAGGTCAAATTGACCTTTGAAATAAAATCCAAGCATTGAAAAGTCATCCACACCAAGGGTACTAAAGTTAAGAAACGAGTCAGTTGATGTGTTGCGTAAAATGATATTTCCTGGTCCGTGAATATTGTTTTCGTGCATAACGTAATTTAGTACGTTAGTCTCTGTTGCAATTTCGCATCCCTCATAGTTAATCTCGCAAAATGGACCTGGTCTTACAATATTTGTGATATCTATAGATTCTACGATATTGAAGGAAAAGTTTGCCACTAAAATGTTCCCATTCTTCTTTTGAATAGTATTAGGATCAAGTGTTTCAATATAATTTCTGGACATTGACACAATCCTCAAATAATTCATGTCCCAGAAAGTTACATTGCTGAGTTCCGTTATTTTATTGGAGTCAAGTCTGAGAGTATCCAACTTTTTCAAACATGTAATGGAACTTATGTCCTTGATTCTGTTAAAGCTAAGATCCAATGTTACAAGACTGTCAGCAAAGTCACATAGATTATCAGGAAATTTTGTAAGTCTACCATTTCTGTGAACAGCTTCGTATAAGGTATGATTTCCTGAAGGAATGAACAATGCTGATCCATAAATATCCTTATATTCAACATACAGCTGTCCAATTGTTACATTGCATGCAGTCGGATCAAGTTGCCAGCACGTGACAGCTTCACAACAACAACAGCGTTCGTCTTCATCAGGATTGTTGTAACAGTGATCTGGACAATACATGTCATCCCTTGAGTTGTTAACAGGTGCCCATTTCCTGTATCCATTAAATGTTGCATTTGTAGAAATGATCGCGAACACTGAATAGTATTTCAAAATTACAAAAAAGACAACGAAAAACAAGTAACTTGTTTTTAACATTATTATGTTGCAATTAAAGACGCTAATTCCGATATCAGTTATTATGTGCGTCTTCTATATTATGAACTACGCGCGTGACTATTTATATGCACTATATTTTCTAGTGCAGTGTTTGTGAACACAGTGAAGATATGTAAATAAAACGCGACATTTAATTTTCAACAAACCTTACGTACAATAAGAATCGCGTACTCGTTATAATGATTGACCAATTGTGTATAAAGTGTATAAAGCAGTTGTGAAGCAAAAGGTCATTCCACAGTTCAATGCGTATAAGAAGTACTTTTGCCGTTATTGATATACAGTGATAAAGGGGAAACATGGGAAAATATCGATCTGAGTTAACCTTCATCCTTTGTCCGTCCTTTATATTTATTTTTCTCCAAAACTTGCATTTTCTATTACAGTTTTGCACAGTGTTATAGGTAGAATAATCAAGTTATGTAGCAGAAATACTTTTTGACGTAAATTATGTTCATTGTTCTTGAGAATTAATTTGGATAGTTATTAAGCAATGACAAAATATTTATATTGAAACTGCAATGCGGAACGAATCTGATGATGTCAGAAAATACAAACATTGTTAAGCAACAACTACATTTCTCCCATGCTTTATTTGGACATGTTTATTATATTAAACATTAAACTCGTCACAATCATAGAGTTAGTCCTGTCTTCACATCAGTGCTGTCTGGCCAGGCTCTATATTTTTGATAGCTTAAAGTTTGCATTTTGATATTGAAATCCACAAAATTTGAACAGACTATTCAAGTTTCAAAGCTGGGCAATAGCAACACGTTAAGTATGGATTCTGTACGATTTGAGCTTGGGCACAGCAGCTATATATAAAACTAAAACAGCCTTTTCCAATGAAATTTTGAAATGGATCAGGGGTTATTCTGTTCGCATTTAAGCTTATTGATATATATTGACGTATTTAAGTATTTTTGTTTTGTTATGAATAAAAAAAATAATTAACAAGATATAATATCGGTCTCAGTGGTGTTTATCGGCTATCTAACTACGGTTTTCAGTTTTGATGCATAGGAATTGATCACGAAAGCGGTATGTCCTAGTTGTAATTACATAAAAATAATATGGATAAGGGTAAAATTCAAAACTTCCGCGTTGGTGTCTGAAAGGGATTATTATGCCCCCTTTGAAGAAGTGGGGGGGGGGGGGTATATTGCTTTGCATTTGTCTGTCGGTCGGTCTGTCGGTCCGTAGGCAAATGGTTTCCGACCAATAACCAAAGAACGCTTAGGCTTAGAAACTTTAAACTTAATATGAATATCATTCATGACCAGTAGATGACCCCTTTTGGAGTCAATGGGTCTATGGTCAAGGTCACATTGATCTTGTAGGTCAAATGGTTTCCGATCAATAAATAAAAAATGCTTAGGCCTAGGAACTTCAAACTTGGTATGATGATAGTTTATGAACAATAGATGTCCCCTATACATTTTGGGGTCTATGGGTCAAATTGACTTTGTAGGTAAAAATTGTTTTCGATCAATAACTACAAAGTGCTTTAGGCCTAGGAACTTCAAACTTGATAGGATGATTGTTCGTGACCAGTTGATGACCCCTTTTGATTTTGGGTCAAGGGGTTAAAGGTCAAGGTCACATTGGCCTTGTAGGAAAAAAATATTTCTAATCAATAATTAAAGAATGCTTGGGCCAAGGAACTTCAAACTTGGTTTGATCATTGATCATGACCAGTAGATGATCTCTGTTGATTTTGGGTCAAGGGGTCAAAGGTTAAGGTCTCATTGACCTTGACAGTAAAAACGATTTCCGAACAATAACTTAACTACGTTTAAGCCTAGGCACTTCAACCTTGGTATGATGATTGTTCATGACCAGAAGATGACCCCCATGGACTGTCTCTGAAGAGTATACCTAGAAAAGATTATGAACACGCATTTAAAAATTGGATTAAAAGACTAAATCTTTGTATATGACATGGTTGTGAGTATTTTGAAGAATTGAGATAATTATTTCAGCACTGTTAAAAAAGTTGACCCAGTTGCATTCATATTTGAACACACCTCGTATTAATTTTAGATTTTGTTTGCTAAAGTCCTATTTGACCTCATAAACTCTACTTTTTCAAAAGTTTTTTTTTAATTGTTGAACCATCTTTGCCTTGAGTTTCTTTTTTTGTGGTAATAGTACATCTATAGAGATTAAGTATAATGTATGGAAGTCAAAATAGTACTTTGTACAAATTTTGCTACTTTTAAATTATGATAAATAATCTAATAGTCATTTCTAAGTCATAATTTGACTTTTATAAACTGCTTCCCTAACGGTATTATGTCTTACTACTAGACTAACACTACCGTAAACCCTCAAAATCATGAATCATTTCTAACTGCATGGGATACATCGATGATATACGACAGAACTGTACATGTTAAATGAGCCGTGTCACAACAAAACCAACATAATGGGTTTGCGACCAGCATGGATCCAGACCAGCCTGCGCATCCGCGCAGTCTGATCAGGATCCATGCTGTTCGCTTACAAACCCTATTACATGTAGAGAAACTGATAGCGAACAGCATGGATCCTGATCAGACTGCGCGGATGCGCAGGCTGGTCTGGATCCATGCTGGTCGCAAACCCATTATGTTGGTTTTGTCGTGACACGGCTCAAATGTTGATGCTGCACACCAAAGACGCCGCCAAATGATGTGAACAGTCAATCAGCATTGAAAATCGTTCTCTATTACAGTTGAATATTTATATTCTTTTGAAAATAAATTAATAAACTAAATTACATTAATATATAATTAATGCACTACCCAGTGATGTTATTTTGTAAAGTTATTTTAAATTAACTAATTTACATATTAATGCGATGCCGTAAAGCAAAACCAAACAAAGGAACGTCGTAATACATGTAACATTATCCTATCGAGTATCTATATATACGTAAGTGATTGTTAAATGAAATCTGTGAAACAACTATTTAGTGGTTGTAATTATGTTTTGTAGCTTTATACAGCTGATTTAATTGGATAACAATAATGCTGACGTTTACATGTTTTATTTTTAACTGATCGACCCCTAAATAAGTAACGACAAGTTGGTGCTGAATACTTGGATAGAATTTATAAAAAAAACTTGAAAAATGAAACGATTTTTCATTGGACAACTTATAATTTCACCAATTAAGCCTTATTTAAAGAAGCGCTAAAATATACGGTATTATTCATTTACATTATCAGTGACTGGAAATATAATGGTTTCTTAAACGTGTTAAACATCAAATTGATTTTTCGAAATTCGAGACGGGCTTTGTCAATTCATTCTAAATCACCTCTAGTTTACGTTCGTTAAACTTTACCTCAAGGCGAAAGAGGACTGATTCTTTTAATTATATAGCGTAAGCGATATTCAGTGGTAAATAATGCAATTCAAAACAGTATATTTGAGTTTTGTATTTTTGTTTTCCATAGAATATTGTTCAGTGTTCGCGATCATTTCTACAAATGCAACATTTAATGGATACAGGAAATGGGCACCTGTAAACAACTCAAGGGATGACATGTATTGCCCTGATCACTGTTACAACAATCCTGATGAAGACGAACGCTGTTGTTGTTGTGAAGCTGTCACGTGCTGGCAACTTGATCCGACTGCATGCAATGTAACAATTGGACAGCTGTATGTTGAATATAAGGATATTTATGGATCAGCATTGTTCATTCCTTCAGGAAATCATACCTTATACGAAGCTGTTCACAGAAATGGTAGACTAACAAAATTTCCTGATAATCTATGTGACTTTGCTGACAGTCTTGTAACATTGGATCTTAGCTTTAACAGAATCAAGGACATAAGTTCCATTACATGTTTGAAAAAGTTGGATACTCTCAGACTTGACTCCAATAAAATAACGGAACTCAGCAATGAAACATTCTCGGACATGAAGTATCTGAGGATTGTGTCAATGTCCAGAAATTATATTGAAACACTTGATCCTAATACTATTCAAAAGAAGAATGGGAACATTTTAGTGGCAAACTTTTCCTTCAATATCTTAGAATCTATAGATATCACAAATATTGTAAGACCGGGTCCATTTTGCGAGATTAACTATGAGGGATGCGAAATTGCAACAGAGACAAACGTACTAAATTACGTTATGCACGAAAACAATATTCACGGTCCAGGAAATATCATTTTACGCAACACATCAACTGACTCGTTTCTTAACTTTAGTTCCCTTGGTGTGCATGACTTTTCAAAGCTTGGATTTTATTTCAAAGGTCAATTTGATTTCGACGACAGTGACATTGCCTGTGATTGCAAAATATATCCGGTTTTAGCTGATTTGGGTAAAGATGCAGCTAGATATTGGCCAAGATTAGATATTGATAATATAACATGCAGAACTCCAGAACACATGAAAGGTAGAAATCTGAACAGCATTTATAAAACACAATCATTTGGGGACTTGACATGTGACCTTCCGAACTGTCCGAAAGGTTGTACTTGTACCGATACACCAATAGATGACGAAATCAAAGTTGTGTGCAAGGGTTTAACAAGTATGCCGGATTTTACACCAGTGGGATATTGGAATAATGATAGAGTTAACTTAGATTGCAGTGATCCTAGTAATGAAATATCCCATTTTCCTAACAAGGAGTACATGAGCAGACTAGTTAGCATGAACTTGAATGGAAATGATATACGGACAATTGATAATAGTGCTGCAGAAAATATTGGTGAAGGTGTTCACATTGATATAAGTGGTCAATTATTGAAGTATTTACCTGACTCTTTCCGTAAATTGAATCCAAATAGAATAATATTTGGTACAAATCCAGTGGAATGTAACTGCGACAATGTATGGATAGGAGATTGGGTCAGAAATAACCGTGCACATGGAAATCTGAAATGTTCCACAAGTAAAGGTTTGGTTCCAGCTGAAGATATTTCCTCAGACTTTCTAGATTGTCTTGCAACGGTGACAGTTCCTTATTTTGTTCCGGTTCTTCTTGGTTTGGTATTTCTTTTATTGTTTACATTTATTGTGTTATCGTATTATTTTAGATATGAGATTCTGCTCTTGAAACGAAAACTTTTCGATAAAAAAGCAAAACCTGACGACTTTGAATACGATGCAATGTTCTCATTTTCTGAAGACAATATGGAGGTTTTCCGCTGGATTGAACGTGGGATCATGCCTGCACTTCGCAGAGAAGGGTACTCGGTTTTTGTTCCGTTTTACGATATCTCGTTTGGCAGTAAAAAAGAGGACCATCTTACTGAGGGCATAAATAAGAGCAGAAACTATGTGGTATTTCTCTGTAGCAAATATCTTTGCGATGAAAGCTCTGTTCAAGAATTTGAAATATTATGGAAACAGTTCTATTCGAACGCTTCTAAGAACATTATTGTTGTAAATTTTGACAATTTCTCAAGTTCAGAAATTAAGAATAAGCAATTAAGTGCTTTCAGAAGAATTGAAGACGATGTTAATTTCATAGACAGAGAAATAAAAATTTTAGAGCGCATGAAGCAACGTATTGGTCCTCCGCGAAGCAAACCTTTGAATGTCATTGTAACTGTTGATGAGTTTCAGACAAGTTCCAAAGATGCCTGTGAGATAAAGAATGATATAGTTGATAAAGAAATGAAAACTGTACAACCCAAAACGGTGCACGAACGTCTTGCGCAACCGAAAAAGACTACATGTAATTGCCGATACAGGAAATGCTATTTATGCGCAACGGATATGAACAGTGATGGGAAGTTAAGAAATAGTACTTTATCAGTAGGAATAACAAGACATAGATGCTTTGGAAAAAAAACATATCCTATGAACTAAAACCAAATGCTCTAAGAAAGACAGAGGCACTACGTGTTTTGTACCAGCTTGTTTTTAAGGCATCTTTCAATTCGAATTATCACAAATACAAATACAAATTAATCATGCAACGTTTTTGTTCATCTTAAGTCTTTTGTTAAATGCATTCAAAGAAAACTGCTTTTATTTTATTTGTATTGTTTAAATATTGTGTTATTTTTTTTTTACTTTAATGGTATAAAGCCATATCTATTGAGAATTTTTTTTTTCATCTTACCATGTGTAAATAAATAAACTGAGAGAATCAAAAGAATATAATTACCTCTTGAAACTTGATGCCCAAATAATGTAATGAAAGAATTGAAAGAACGTAGTTAATACGCCTTTTTAATTGCTACTTTACCTTCTTTTCCTTTTAAGTATTATTCATAGTTTTCACAAAAGGTAGTAAAATACAATCACTAAACGGACCACTTTAGGACCAGTACAGAAGTCCGGAATAATAAAGTAAGGATTGTACAATTTTTAACATTACGTATGGTTTTGTTTCGTATATATATAATGTTTAATGTGATTGGCTAGTAGATTTGAATAGGAGAAAAAATAGTTTTCAACAGTTATTTTAATTAAAGAAAATGTTTGTCGTGGCAAACGTTGTAAATAAGTAATTTATAAACTTGAGTAAGAATACACAGAATGAATGTAACCTACCATAAGAAACTAAATCGAGGGCTTAACGCGAAACTAGTGTAAGTGACATTTTTAACAAAAATCACTTTTTTCTATAATCATGTTTAGAAATAACATATCTGTCCCATGTATAAGTATTTTCTATAATTTCCAACATTAAATAAGATTATCTCATAATACATATTATGACAAATGATGTAAGTGAAAATGCTCCATTTTTTTTAAATGTGAAACTAGACTAAGTGACACGGGCACTTACATCAGTTTCACATTCAAATTTTCCCCCTATCCATTTATAAGCAAAAGGTTTAAGTGATGAAAGTATGCAAAAATGTTTTAAATTATTTAATATTAAAAAGAATATGACACAATATTAGTGATTGTAAGCAAGATAGACAACATTTTATTGAAAAAATATGAAGGTTATAAAGCATATGTCACTTACACTGTTTTCATATTCACAATTCAAGTTTTCAAAGAGGTTTAAATATAAATTTAGTGTAAGTGTACTCACTACTTTACATGTGATTACATCATGAGTGATGTCATCAATTTTATAAAACTTTATGTTTTACAGTCACAATGTATGAAGATGAGTAAATAAATAAATACATTTATTTATTTCTTATTTTAATCGGTATTTATGTTAATCATGCCCAAAAACAACAACTTATTTTGATGTCAAAGAAGATTTACAGATTCATAAAAGGTAAGGTATATTTTACTTAATATATAAAGATTCTATATAAAATTTAAACTTTATTTGTTTTTAATGATATCATATAATAGCTGTAATATACAAATATTTAAGATATTCAAAGAGTCAAAACAGCTATATCAAATGAAAACTTCATTAAAAATTTAAAGTTGATACAATTACATTGATTCATAAGCTGATTATAATTTCTCAAATAGAAGTTTTAATATATAAAATGTCTGTTATTTAACAAACATGAATATTGCATATGAACTAGAATAACAAGTTTCAGAACAAAATATGCCCCTACTTTTTTGTGTTGTGATTATTTGGTGCATGTTTCTCTCACTATTAATAAAATATAATTATGAACATTTTTCTTTCATTTCATATATTTTTAATTTTCAAACAACATATTCATCTGATAATTATGTACATATTAAAGACTGCTGGGTTTGACAATTTTACAGTGAATCTTACTTATAGGGAACTCACATACAGGGTACACTCGGTTATAAGAAACTCTTTCAATTGGTCCCGAGTTTTTTCACTTCTTTATCTTATATATA